GAGTATTCTTAGAAATTGTCTTTGTGTGTGTGTTGGTTCCTAAAGATAAATTAAAAACTTGATTAATGAGATTGTCTATCTCATTTGATTTGTTTGTATTTTTGTTTAAATCTATTAAATAAGTTAATTTTCTAGACACTTATTCTAGAAACACTATTATCGTGTTGTTTTGTCCAATAAGGACTGTGTGTAAAGTATACTTCTGAAGTAGGCTTTTTGTATCCTACTGGAGGAGATTTTGTAATTTGTTCGACAGTTGCAAGAGCTGTTTTGTAGTCTTTGCCTAAAAAAGGCTACAGACTTTGTATACCTTCCATTAAAATTATTAAAATAAAAAAAATTGTAAAAAAAAAAACAGGAAATCAGAGAGCAAACAAGAAAATAAAGCAGCATATAAGTAGATGAGAACAAGGAAATTCACGGAATGCACTTGTAAAGTAATATTTATAAAAGAATATAGATAATTTTTATTATTTTTATTTTTATTTTTATTTTTATAAAAGAAAATCTTTTTGGTTTTTATTATTTTTATTTTTATTTTTTATCAAGAAAATAAAATAGATGTACAAAAAATAAAAAATAAAAAGATATACAAGAAAATATTTTTGCAAAGTATTCCTCAACCCATACAAGTAGCTTTGCGGGACTTAGGGTTCTCGTGACTCTCTTAGTCTTAACCTGCCCTACTACAAAGGGTATCCTAGTGAATATAAATCAGTTCAATTGCAAAAATATTCAGATAACTGAGGATTTCTCGCTTTGATACCAAAATGGAGAAAAAAAAACAGAAAATTCCCGAGGGAGGGAACCTAGGGAAAAATTGCTCTGACCCTATGAAAAGGAGGGGGGGAAAGAAGAACATAACGGAAAAGAAATAAATCAAAACATGTTATAACTATTAATCTCTTCTGTGAATCAACGTGACTACTTAGCTTCAAAAGAAGAACCTAAAATCAGACTAGCTTAAATGAAGACTGTCCGAGATAAAGTCGGTTACAGCAATAAATTGTTCAAAATAAGATTATGAGATGTATGAATCGACAGAGCCGCTTAGACATCTCCTCATAAGCTTACATAAACATAAAAAATAAAGATAGAAATTAAAGACAAAAATATAAATAAACAAGTCCATGATAAAATTATGAGATGACTCGAATCTAGCAGAGCTGGTTAGACATCTCCTCGTAAGCTTATATGAACATAAAAATTATACAATTTTTTTTAAGTATTATCACATCTTTTAATAAATATTATTAAAGAATGTCTTTAAAAAAAACTATTCTATACGAGAGAAGTAAACAACACTTAATTCGGAAGAAGAAAAAGGAGAATCGAAAGTACTATTAGTAAAATAAATTTAGATGAGAGAGGAAAATGTGTAAAAAAAAAGAAGAATAAAGAAAAAGAAAGGGAGAGGACTTTTGTGCTTTGTTTGGATGGAATGATTTGAGAGAGTGGAAATGAGAGAGTGGAAAAGGAGGGATTTGAAGAGAAATGGAGATGATTGAAAAGTGAAAGGAAAGTTTATGGGAAATTGTGAATGATTTGATTGATATGAGATATAAAAATTATAATTTTATGTTTATTATTTAAGAAAATTACCATTTTACCCTTTGTATCAAATAAGGTTCAAATGATTATAAATATAATTTTTTAATTAATTATCCATATTTTAACATTGATTATATATTTAAAAGAAAAAACAAATTTAAAAGTGTTTGTAATTGGAAACAAATTTAAAAAATTAACTTTTTTTAGATAGTTATTAAAAATTATATAAATAAACAATTACAAAATTATGTACATTGCATATCCATATTCAAATAATGTTGACATATTAAATAAATTATTTGACTAATAATTAAATAATTATAAAATATAAAATAATAATTAATATTGATTGATAATAACAAATAATTATGAAAACTAATAATATAATTGTACATTATTATTTAAAACAAATATAAAATACAGTGAAAATAGAATAATAATTAAAGGAAAGATTACTAAAATTATAAATCTATGCACACTAATGTTCTTTAAACAAATAATTATAATGTTATCCATCTTTTGTAGTGAAGTCCTCCAGTTCAGATCATTCAATCACCTCCATTCAAGAACATGAACAACTGGGAGAGACGAAGATGTGAGGGCAAGCCAAAAAGTCGTCTAACATGTGATGGGTGAGTACACAAATGATTATAACACTGAAGCATAAGTTGCTCGTCATTTAGGTTCATGCCGACTAACATGTCCCATATATCTGACTCCGAATGTTGAAATGTTGATGATCGTCTCATCACATTAACTTGCTCATTAATTAATTCATTTCTGCGTTCAATGGCGACCACCTGTCTTTCAGCTATGTCAGATAATCGTTGGGTGATTGTATTACCTTGCCCGAGGTAATCTGTAAATGTGTCCAGCCTCGATGTTAGTTTTTCAAATTGACCTTCCATCACATCAACCATAGGCGCTTTTCTTTTTGTGCCCCGAGATGAAGAGGTTCCACCTGAACCAGTAGACGCAGCAGATGGAATTGAGTGAGCACCCTCAGCAGGACTGTCGGAACCCATGCGTGGAGGTGATCGATAAGCTGTATCAAATCCTGCATCAAAGCCAAAGTGAAATGGCTGCTCCTCTGGTGTGGGGTCCACATCAACGTTCAAGTCGACTGTTGCCCTTCGAGAACTGATATTCATTCGGGCCTGACGCGAAGTTCTTGCCATATGTCCACTGGCTCGATCAAGCACCCCACAATTCTTCCATCAAATCATAATGTCTTATAGTTGTCAGTTTCCATTTAGGCTGCAGAAGGCTTCGCCTACAAAATAATGAGAATGGTTAACACTCGTAATTGTTATGTTTTGCTATATCAACAAATGATAATTCATATAATAGTACCTCAATTAGGTCATCCCATACTTCTTGCTCAGCCACAAACCGTTTTGTCATATCATCCCAAGCGAATCCACTAAGTCCATGAAACAAATCGTGGACCTCCCGCCATCTATCCTTAAGACTTTTTTGTCGATTTTTAACATTATTTTTAGTTATACCAATTAATCCAGACTGTCTTAGGGATTCAACTATATTCTTATATGCTTGGGTTGTCCAACTACCATCAACCCGATTACCCAACCTTGCCTCATCAAGCATAGCAGTCAACAACCGAAAGTCCATGTCATCAGTCCATTTTGTAAACTCGCGCACTACAGGTGACGAATCCGGTGCAATATCCTTTCCTCTGTTCATTTTAAACCTATTGGAAAGATAATATATGTAATTACGATACCAACATATAATTATTATAAATAGATAATCGTAATGTAATCGTATTTCAACAATAACAATAGTACATCTTATTAAATATATTATTATATACAAAATCTAATGACTTTGATAATCTATCCACATTTGATTTGCTATAAGTATCTCTTAAGTTTGACCCTTCCCTATAATCCTCTTCCCGAACTTGAGTCGACATATTATCCACATCTTGTTCCATCAACTCTCGATCCACTTCAGCTAACGGTGATTCATCGTTGTCTATCCCTCGAAGAAAATTGTGTAGAATGCAACATGCTAGGACTATATTCGTCATTGTATCAAATGAATAATGAGGCTCTGTTCCACTAGCTATTATAGGAAATCTTTTCTTCAAAACTCCAAATGTTCTTTCAATGACATTTCTAAGAGATGAATGTCGATGGTTAAACAATTCTCGGGGTTTTGTGGAGCTCGTCGAGAATACTCTTTAAGGTGGTATCTAACGCCTCGATAAGGGGTCATTATGTTTCCTTTTAACATAAATCCAAGCATCCCCCAAGTAGTATTTACCTATTTAAAATCATTGAAGTTATACTAATTAGAATATTTAAACTAGTTGACTATACACAAAATCCGCATGTTATAAATAATAAACCTTGTGGTATGATAAGGCGATCCTCTCTCGTAAGAACATCCTTTAATATTCTTGAATCGAGATGCTCGTTCCTTCCCACCCTGCTAGAACATATGTGAATTTCATGTCGAAATCACAAGCTGCAAATACGTTTTGTGTTGGCCAATCTTTTCTTCCACGAAAACGAGGGGCATCTGATCTTGCGACTTTAACTCGAACATGAGTTCCATCTATTGCCCCTAAACAATCCTAATGGGTAAAAAATTTATTGTCATTAAAGTTTAGACAATCTATGTGTATGTTATATAGACACAAAGTTGGTAAGTACATTACCTTAAAGTATGGGTAAAATCGGTTGTTGCTTAATATATACGGACACACATCCCTTCCCGATGGTTGAACAATTAATTGTTCGTCCAACATTATTATCGCATTCAACACGTTATGAAAGTGTCGACTAACGGTTTCACCCGATCGATGGAAAAAAATGAAACAGCTTCGATTTTTAACGTTATGTCCGATAATATGGAGAAATTTAGCCACTTGTTCTTCCACCGTTGATTGTAACCCATCGTTTACTAATCCAGCTTGTCCTTACTCGTTGACACAAGTTAATGAACGCCTCCGGTCCCATGCGAATAATGTGACGAGATTGTTCAAGTATGAATAAGGTATGACATCAACTCGTGCCGACGACGTTCTTTTTCGTAAATAAAGTCTCTAATGTTACTGCTACTACAAGTTACCATAGACAACATATTTAATCCATAAGCTATCAAACAAAGAATTGTCATCGCTCCTATTTCGCTTCGCTTTTTTATCTCACTTTGTATATGTGAAATCATGTTTATATCCGGACCAAGTATCTATATCGTCATTGTCTAAACCAATGACCTCGATGTTTTTGTCTCGCCATCTCAGCAAAAATATATATATATATATATATATATATAATTAATTAATTAATTAATGTTTAATGGAAGTAATTCAAAATTGCCATCTCGCAAACCAAGTATCACAAAACCAAAAATTATTTACAAAACTACTAATAATTTTTTTCCTCTAAATTTATCATATGTAAGTATTGTCATAATAGTTATACCTAAAAATGCTTAGATTTCAGAATTTTGCATTATCCAGATGAAAAGTACGGCAATATTCTTAAGCAGGTTATACATGTCAATACAGATCTTACATATAGAATGGGACAACAAGCTTGGTACCTTGTCTTCAATCCCGCGACTCGATTCCTTGGCAAAACTTTCAGTCCAACAGCGAGCAGTGTTAACAAATGTCTGATAGTCTTTCAGATACTGCAAAAATAATCTCATTTTTTGTAAGTAAAAATAATGTAATTTTTTCCTCTAAGATACAGCCTGCAACAACAACATAACCAATGCACACACAAACTCTTATGCATGCACACAGACTCCAAAAACAAACGTACCAACCAAGTTTTATGTTCCAACCATGACAGAGAAGACACAGAACCATACCTGGGGTGTTCCTCCGACAATATACCAAAAACAAACGTACCAACCAAAGTCACACCAAAGTTAATGGCCGCCGGCGAAGATCCAACCTACAACAGAGTAGCTTTGCTTTGCTTTGCTAGAGTCTTTTAGCTAGTCTTATGAGACTAGCTTTGCTTTATATAATACAATAACTTTCCCTATCTGGCTGTAACTACAGTAAGAAAGAATAAGTCCCGTAACTTCTATCACCGTGAACACGTGAAGTTGGTCTGTACAGCCCGTGACCACCGCATGTACAGCCCGTGACCACCGCCTCGTACAGCCCGTGACCACCGCATGTACAGACCCCGACTTCTGCTCATGACTTACCTCCTTCTGTCGTCTTTAGAATATATAATTTGTCAAATGATCAAGATTTTAGATAACGGTTCCAGTAATAACCGCTAATACAAATATATATAAGATAGCGGTTAAATTGGACCGCTATTATATATACACTTTTAAGAGCGGTTACAAAGACAACCGCTCTTAAAAGTAAACTATGATAGCGGTTATATGTTAACCGCTACCTAAAGTTTTCAAATGATCGATTATTTTCCCAAAATGATCGATCACAGTACCAAAACCTCGACACTTTAGATAGCGGTTCACCTAAAACCGCTATTACAAGTTATATTTCGCTTGAGCGACCGTAAACTCGCTCGAGCGAAGACACCTGCACATAATTTTCATCCTCGGGTTTTATTTTCGCTTGAGCGAAACAGATCTCGCTCGAGCGACTAGCAAAGATCTCGATGATTTGATGAAGTCAAAGATAAAGTCAAAACGCATTTCAATCGATTAAAACGCATTTCAATCGATTAAAATGACTTAGAAAAAATTCGTGCAGTGGTTTTAATCGATTAAAACTTCTTTGTATCAGCTTAAAATAACTTGAAAAGTGTTATAAGAAAGTTTTAAACTGAATCAATCGATTAAACCGCGAATCAATCGATTAAATCACTCTTAGAAAATATTTGTAAAAAGTTTTAACCGATAAAAACTTGGTCGTATCAGCTAAAACAATTCTCGTTAAAGAACAAGAACGCATTAATGGGTTGAAAGGACTTTTAACAGATTATAACTGCTATTTCAACAGATTAAAACAAACTTTGAACGACTTGCTCTCTAATCCCACTCGCGATTGGATTGAACTGAAAAAGCTGGAGCTTAGGTAGGCTACAACAACTCTCAAAGCGTGAGCTCATAAGTCAGTATTTCGCTCGAAGCGACTATATATCGCTCGAGCGAAATATGATCCTGATCGATCATAAGTTGAAATGATCGATCATAATTGGAGGATATAATAACGGTTCCTCTCAGAATCGCTTATCTAAAGTGTATATTAGATAGCGGCTCCAGTGGAACCGCTATCATATACAACCATATTTTAAGTTCTTGAGTCTCGCGTTGTGTTTTGCTTGAGCGACTATATCTCGCCGAAGCGAAATATGATTCTGATCGATTAGATTTTTGAAATGATCGATCATATTTCATAATTTTTTCAAATAATTAATTCTAATCGATTATTTTTCTAAATTATTGATTAGAATTGATTAGTTTTTCAAATAATAGCTTAGAATTGATTAATTTCTAAATATATATTAAAAAATTATAATTAAAAATATAGATTATTTAAGAATATTAACTATTGTAAAGATAAAGTAGAACATGGGAAGAGATGAGGATGATAATATAATGATAGAAGTTACAAAAATGTAGCATTGAGAAGTTTGAAACAAAAAAAAATTAAGAAAATAGAGATTTAATTACACTTTTAATAAATTGAAGATAATTACAATATAATTTTCTAATTTGAGAATGAACAATATAATTAAGAAGATCAAGTGTAATGTTATTGATGCTAATTTTAACAATAATACAATAATATTATTTTGGAAAATGCCCATATTCATGTGAATATTTTGATTATTATTATATAAAATAATTAAAAGAATAAGGTAAATAGAAAAGTAAAATGCATGGTTATACCACTTTCCTTTTAATCTATAATTAGTTAGGTATGAATCAAATGTAAAGTCTAATGTTATTGATGCTAATTTTAAGAAGATCACAAAATGTAAATTAAATAACTACAATATAAATTTCTACTTTGAGAATGAACAATATAATTAAACTCAAAATTGAGAATACTCTTATACATTTTTGAACTCTTTTGGATAAATTTTGTTTTCCTAATTTTTGATAAAGTTAATTTTAATATTTAAAAGTATTTAACATTTTGAATTCTGAAAGGTTTTCTCTAATAGCAAATTTAAAAACATAATATTCAAAAAAATATTTTAAGATTCAGTCTCGGGTTGCATTTCGCTCGAGCGACTATATCTCGCTCGAGCGAAACGATACTGATCGATCATAATTTGAAATGATCGATCATAACTGGAAGATATAATAGCGGTTCCTCTGTAACCGCTATCTAAAGTGAATATTAGATAGCGGTTCCAATGGAACCGCTATCATATACAACCAAATTTTTAATTTCTTCAGTCTCGGGTTGTGTTTCGCTTGAGCGACTATATCTCGCTCGAGCGAAATATTATTCTGATCGATTAGATTTAGGTAATGATCGATCATAATTGGAGGATATAATAGCGGTTTCCATGTAACCGCTATCTAAAGTGTACATTAGATAGCGGTTCCAGAGGAACCGCTATCATATACAACCATATTTTAATTTCTTCATTCTCGGGTTGTGTTTCGCTTGAGCGACTATATCTCGCTCGAGCGAAATATTGGAGGATATAATAGCGGTTCCTCTGTAAGCGCTATCTTAAGTGATATATAATAGCGTTTAAGATTTAACCGCTATTAGAAGTGATATATAATAGCGGTTATGTTTTAACCGCTATTAGAAGTGATATATAATAGCGGTTAAATTTTAACCGCTATTACAAGTGCTGTTATAATAGCGGTTAAGATTTAACCGCTATCATATATTGCAGAGTAACAGTCGTCTTTTCATTACTTTCATCTCTTTTCTTCGCACCTCAGCTGAAGAAACTCTCTCTCTCATCTCCCCCTTTTCCTCGCCTGCATTTAGTCGCAAATCAGTTCAACCAAACGTGGGTGAATCTCGTGTTTCTGTCTTCGTGAACAGTATTTCGTCGCAAATCGGTTCAAACAAACAAGGGCTTGAGGATATCTCTCCGGTATAAAAAATTTACAAGTCCTTTTATAAGTAATTGTAAAAGAAAATAATAATAAAATAATAAATATAAATTTTAAAATGTGAGACCCAGTTATAAATTTTATGTATCTCCGAGAAATAGGGTTAGAAGTAGCTGCTAAAAACAAATTTGATTAAAATATTATTATTATTATTATTATAATATAAAAATGAAAAGGACATTCTTTATTTCTGTACATGCAATAATGCAAAGCGTGTAGGAAGAGAAAAAAAAAATGAAGTTGGAGTCCACTGATAGCTTTCCAGTGAAGATGTAGTAATAGTAGTGTACTCAGCGTTGACTGTTACCCCACTTACACACAGCAAATTGGATTCATCGCCAGACTGTGATGGTGGTTCCACCTGAAACTCAACTTGATGGCAAACCAACTGACCCTCCCAACTTGAGACGCCTCACCTGGAGGGACCTCATCGATTCTTGTTGGTCAGTTCCCTCTTCAGTTCTCAGATTAGTTCAGTCTTCCACTCATGTATTTCATGATCCTTTACAAAACTTTGCTGCTGCTTGGCCTCAGATGTCAATATTATGCTTGATTTCTTGTTTTTTAAGTCTCGTGGTTTTTTTTTTGAGCCTTTTTGAGGATGTCCGTACAATAGGTTGCAACACGGGTATAAAGTTTCAAACTTTACCAACATGGTTTTCGTGTAGGTTAAGTAAATTCACTCCAAGTAAGACAACTATTCATATTTAGTCCCTCAAAAATAATTTCTCATCCTGGTCCCTCATTTTTAAAATGTATTACATGTGGTCCTTATCTTTTACCAAAAAAATTGTCTCATGTAGATGGTAAAACACTAATAGTTTGATGACATTTACATTTTTGATAATATGTGCACGTTGTTAATAACTCTTTTATCCTAAGCAGGGAGGATGCAAATTATAAGCGGGTGGCCATGGCTAGCCTTGTAAAGGCAGTTTACATGCTTGAACTTGATAGACAGGAGAACAGAACAGAAGAAAATGCTCTTGCTCCAAGTTGGTGGATTCCCTTCAAGTACAAGCTCACACATAAATTGATTGATAAAAGGGATGGATCTATTTTTGGTGCAATATTTGAATGGGATAGATCTGCAGCACTGGCTGACTTTCTACCATTTAGACCAAATGGTGCACCTAAAGCTGTTTTGGCACTCAGAGGAACATTACTCAGAAGCCCTACAATGCGAAGAGATATTGAAGATGACATCCGTTTTGCTGTTTGGGAAAGCTTGAAGGGCTCTTTTAGGTTTAAAGAAACATTGGAGGCACTGCAATCAGTTTCTGATACACATGGAAGCAGGAATGTCTGCATTGCAGGGCATTCCTTGGGGGCTGGATTTGGTCTTCAAGTGGGAAAGGAACTAGCAAAAGAAGGGATCAATGTGGAGGCACATATATTTAATCCACCTTCTGTTTCGCTAGCCATGAATATTGGATATGTTGGAGAAAAGACAGAATATGTCTGGAATGGACTTAAATCTATGTTTGCATCAGGAAGTGAAGCTCAAGTCAGCAATGATGGACATAAGACTTATAGTATAAGAGTGAAGCAACTGATGCGTTGGTTATCAGGTATGATGGATGCTCGTTTTGCTCTGGGGAATAGGGTTCCTCATTTGTATATTAACAGCAATGACTATATCAGTTGCCTTTACTTTACTGTTGGAACTAAAGAGATCACTGACAAGGAAAATATGGTTCCGACAGATGGAGAAAATTTAGCGAAGTTGTTTGTTGTCTCTAAGGAAAACCAGGGATTTCTTGAGGCGCATAGCCTGAAACAATGGTTATCAAGTGGTACAGAACTTGAGCAGGATATCCATAATAGCAAACTCATAAGCCAGCAACTTAGGTCTTTGAACGTTGCTACACCCTCACTAGTAATGCTTTTACTTTATCCACATTTTGTTTCATTTGCCATGAGTCACATTAACATCAAAGAAAAGACTGATTATATCTGGAATATACTAAAATCTGTTCCCCTTTCAAGTAGACAAGCTCAAGACAGCAATGATGGAGACAGTACTTCTGGTGTAGGTTTGAAGGGTTGGATACCTCAGTTATCTGGCTTGAAGGATGCTGGCTTTTGGGTGGTGAAATGTGTTTCTTATCTGAACGTTTACAACAAGGATGGTGGCACAGGAGAAAAGATGGTTGAGGAGAATAAGGATCCTACAAATCGACAACTTAGAGCAAAGTTGTTAGTTGTCTCCAAAGAACAACAGAAATTGCTTGTAGCTCATGGCCTGAAACAATGGTGGCCAAGTGATTCAGAACTTGTGCAATTTATCCATGATAGGAAACACATACGGGGGAAGCTTAGATATTTACATACCAGTACTCATTGGCAAGTAACGCATTTATTAAATCCACCTTTTGTTACTCTTGGCACCGGTCCCAGAAATATTGGAGAAAGGCAAGAATTTGTCTGGAAATGGAATAGTCTTAAATCTATGCTTCCTTCAAGTAGTGAAACTGAAGGGAGGATTAGCAACGACAGAGACAAGAGTTCAGAAGTAGAAATGAAGAGTTGGATGACTCAGTTATCTGGCTTGAAGGATGCTGGGTTTGCTGTGGGCAAATGGGTTCCTCATATGTATAGTAACAGCAGTGACTATATTAGCAGGCAACTTAGATCTTTATACTCTTCTACACCTTCTCGAGTATCTCATCTATTCAATCTGCCTTCTATTTTACCAGACATGAGTCACAAAAGTACTGGACAGAAGGTAGGATTTGTCTGCGAAACCCAGGTCAGCGATGACAAGATTTCAGGTACTGATTTGAAGAGTTGGATACCTCAATTATCTGGCTTGAAGGATACTGGTTTTAGAGTGAGCAATTGGATTTCTCAACTGTATGCTCGCAAGAGTATGAATGACACGGCAGAGAAGATGGATGACATGCAGGTAGCACAAGGAAAGCCAGTTTAATGGATCTTGCAAAGTACTTTATTAGATTTTAGTTCACATTGCTTGATTTTACTTTCTTTTAAGTCTCTATATATCATCTCTTAAAAGTATTTAAGTAAGAGTTAAAGTATGGGGTACGTCAACTACTTTTAATTTTTTTTTAAATTAGAATTATTAAATGGATTTTTTTAATTTATTTTAAAAATAAACTTTTAAAATTAATCTCTACATATATTTTTAAAAATTAAATTAGACAAGTTCTTATTTTATAATTGTCAAGCGCAATTTAAGAAAAAGTTATATTTTTTTTAATTGGAAAAAATGTTACATAACCTTACTTTGAGGTTGTTAAATTTTTTTTAATATCTTGGTCTAAGGTTGAGTTATATTTTGATAGATTTTTTTGTTTAAAAAAATGAAAATAATTATATATAATGTATTATTTAAATTAATAGAATAATTGTTATTATATAATTATATTTAAGAAATGTATTTTTTCAATGAATTAATTTTAATTATATTTAAATATATTATTTTTAATGTATTATTAATTTTTCATTTTCACCTTTTTAATTAAGTCCAATATTATAATATTACATTTAATTAATTTTCTACATTTTTAAAAAATATATAATATTTCCCATTTACATGTTTTTAAAAAAATAAGGATTAATTTATGCATTCATATTTGTTTTCCTTTTAAAATTTCTTATAAATAGGTTTATCTAAACAGTGATTTTTACACCGATAAACAAAAGTTTGTCCTGTCCGGTGTCTACCGTGGTGGGGATCTTAATTAACTATTAATGATTCAACTAACTATATTGAAAGGAAAAGACGGTGTGATAGTATTGAAGTTAAAAAAATATTCCAAAAAATGAAGATGAATCTTGCGATTAAGAACTGTAACCAGCACCCTCACGACAAAACTAGATTTCAATTAATTTATTATAACTCTATCGTGAGAAGAGGAGAAATCCTAATAACAATTAAATAAACCTTCTTTCTGATTGGAACGTGATTGAATTTATCAATCTTAACAAAAAAAAATTTTTTGGTTCATCATAAACCATACAAAGAGCTTGTCTATAATTGCCTACTACGAATTGAAGTCGGTCGCATAACTATTAGGGGCACAAAATCATCAATATATTTATTGTCTTTAACTGGGATGCTACCAGGAGATGTAAAGTTCAGAAGTGGATCAAAGTTCTAAAGTGGCTTGTCTCTAGAGAAGCTTCAGGAGGATGAACATGTCCACAGACTGATGTACTCCAATTTTTTATATGATTATTGACAATTTATTACCTATTCTACTAGGATATTCTAGTTTAGATTAAAGACAATAACATATTATTGCATGAAGCTGCCACAAACCTATTCAGAAAAATAAAATGGTAAATAATTAGACCGGTATAGTTTACACTAAAACCTAAGGAATGATAATCGATTACATGTCCATTACTTACGAGTATACTACATTACTTGTTTCTATCTTCCATCAAAAAGCTATATTTCTCTACATTGAATATAACAATTAATCAGGAAAATCCAGAGTAACCAACAACATTAATTCCATTTAAAAAAAATAAAGAGAGGGAAGAAGAATAGAAATGAAAAAAGGAAAGAAAAAAAAAACTATAAATCACTTGATCGCTTGTACCTCATGCTTGCTAGCAGAACTAGCAGCCTCTTGATCGTGGTTCCGCAACAAAACCCTTTTCAACAACTTTCAAGAAGCAAATATGGAAAGTCGCTGATGTGATTTAATTTGCTAGACTACAAATTATTTACTGGATCAAGACTTTGAGGAAGTCTGATCCTTTTCAATCAAAGACGAACCCAATTGAAGCATGAGAGGATAAACAGGGCTAAACTCCTTATCTCCTCTGCTCCTCACAGTCGTAGCATAATCATCAAGTGTTGCTTTGATGCCTTTCCAGATTTGATCCTCCCATTGAGAATCTAGCCACAACGAATACTGCAATGGTGTTAATTTGTTTCTTTGCAGTGGTGACTGCAATTCTTCAGGAGCACGGGTATACAGATGATGAAGTATGACATTCGGTGGCAGATCTTGAAGAAGAGGAGATGATGCAAGCTGGGATGTTTCCAAGAAAATAAGCGGACGAAATGCTCTAAGTGCTCGATATGGTGCACCAAGTTGCTCAACAGGGAACAAATTTTGGCCCACAGCTAACTCCAATTCCGCCATATCCCTAGCCATCCTCAACTTGCCTGATTCTGAAAGTGGTCTGACAAGGGAAGCATGTCGGATGAAGAATACTAGAACCCGTGAAGCCATACTCTGGACAAGCCTGGTGGATATGTTTTCTGTTCCAGGAGCTACAGAATTTCTGGAAGGCAACAACCTAGATAAAAACTCACTCCGAAAGTGAAGAATACACTTCTGGAGCTCCTCCATGTAAGGTGATGCATTGTTGTCCATAGCAGCATCCATTCCATGCACTCCAAAGTTCTGATCATGTATTTGCAATATGCAAGACTCAAGACGATCCAGCATTGCCTGGAATAAAGATGTTACAGAATCACAGGCAACACCGTATATTGCACCTAATGAAGCAGACAACACATCTGCAGCAATACTAGGCATCCCTTTAAGCATAGATGATATTCGTGTATGAACATCTTGAAGATGCTGACACAATGTAAAGTTCTTGAGCTGTGCCGGTGTCGCAGGACCACTCACTTGACGTGATTCAGGACCAGTGGATATCTGCCATAACAATGAAAATGAATAATTAAAATAATAGTAATTATGCTTCTATTATAATCTGCCTCCCTATTCTTGAATAAAATTAACTTTGGGATTCTAAATATTGCAAAAACTCATGGACAAAGAAAGGGGGGATGCCTATAAGTTCCAGAGAGAACATTCAGCATCAGCACTTTTCGGTAGTGACTACCTATCATCAGTCATTACATCTCAATCATGAGCAGTGGGTAACACTTCAGGTAGTAATATCAGTAAAATATTGCACAAGTCTAGCCAAATTATTAATTAACACATAAAAAAGAAAAATGAGCATGTAAGTTATACTTGAATGGTTGCTGATCACTACAACCCCACAATGTGAATGTGATACAGTACAAGATCTGTAATACAACAAGCGTAAACTCCTAAATGAAAGAGCGCACAATTGTTATTCATTAATATCAATATAATATATGCATGCAGTTAACAATTCATTAATATGAATTTAATAAATGCATGCAGCCAAAGTGATTTTCCTTCTTCTGGGTATCCACTATTTCCTGGTAAGAAAAAAATTCTTTATTCCTATGAAAGCTAACTTGATAGCCTTCCTGAAAACCCGTGACCTTGATGGAATCAAATTCCTTTCTAAGCCAATTAATGCAGCGCTTAAAACATCTAATGAACAACATACAACACCTTTGATACAATAATGTCATGTCTGTTTACCTGATATTCAGCCCGTTCTGCAAGAAGAATTAAAACCTTGCCGATTTCGTGCAAAACAAGAAGAGTTAAGCGTGCATCCACCTGAACAGCTTCTATCTCTTCCTGAATGCGTGATATAATCCTTGATATTTGTTCCTTGGAGGGAACACTGCCACGACTAGACATTGGAAATACAGAATTCACTAAATCTGAAAGACGACTCAAGCAATGAGCCAAAAATGCATTCTGGAATATTTCAACAGCTGAAATTATCTGCTCCTTCCCAGACGAATTAATAGCTGGTAACACTCCTTTGACATCTGTGTCATGTGAAACTCTCTCAAGTAAATTCTCTATCATGGAGTAGAGCTTTGGATATCCCATTGTAAAAATCTCTTTAACAAAACTTGATGCAGTGAAAGCAGACTTCATTTGGCTTGCAAAAGCCTTAGTAATAGCCTCCCAAACACGATCTGTAAGCATATGATCACCTTCCTATGCAGCAGCAGTCAACATCAGAAAGTGAGAAAAAATATCCAAAACAAAATAAGGAACTGTGAGCAATAGCAGCTGGAATATGTATGATGAGTGTTCCTCAGTAAGAACTCAATACTGTAAAGTATAATAATAATGAAGACCAATGACCCAGAATCCCCAGGAACTAGGAAGTCCACTAAAACTGTTTATTTTCACATGGTACAAGATAACAACATTTTTCAAAACCTAGGATAAAATACCCGATTAAAAAAATCAAATCAACTTTGTACATCTAACATATTGATCACCTTATTCCATTCTGAATACATACACAGGACTAGATTTTGAAAAGATTGCTTGTCAATCTCATCTCATCCAATTCAATGCAATTCAAATCTATGTAGGGGTGTTCAATGCATCAGAAAAGAAAGGGCAGGCATGTATTTTGGTTATTTCTCTTCCTGCATCTTATACAGTTCGTTTGACGAGAGAAGGTCTTTGACAGTATAATGATGCATAAAGCATTTACAAATTCTACACAAATGCAAAAGAACATGCTATTAAGCATATTCCTTACTCCCTCTTCACTTATTTATAGGTAGTGCAGTCTAGCACAAGTCAACCCCCCAATCTGTTAACCATGACTTTACACCATAGCGGGGGGAGCAGAAGACCACATAAAAGGAAAGATTTAGAAGACTAGCAACGATTTGCAGAGAAAAGTCTTGATTGAGAAGAAAAAATAAAAATAAAAATTGCCTTACACCAGGGCAATATATTCATGGAGCTTGCCATGCCAGTTTCTTCAGAATAAGAATGAACATATATTGACAGAAATTAACAATTATTGACTTGATTCAAACTTCTAACTAATCAACTCAGAAGTAAAAAACTCAAGGTAAAGCAACCCGTTTGTGCTCATAATTTCTACAAGTTCCAAGCTTCAATTCAAACACCAAGATTTGGGCCACCATATTGTTTAAGCCACAGGGTATTGCTACACAACTAGATTATAATGGTAAATTGATTCTACGATAGAAGAACCCAGTATAATCACAATAGTACCTATCATCTACATATCAAACTTTGGCATTCAGAGGACAAAGAATAATTTCTAGTGTGAGTGTTGTGGATACAAGTGAGCATATATGAATCCAAGTAACAACATATTTCATTCTGATGCAAACAAACAATAATAACAGTAACCAATGAGCCTCACCTGAATGACCTCATCAAGCAACAAAACATGGCTAAATGGATCCCGTTTCTTGGAGAGCACCCTCTGCAAATGCCACACAGCAACAGCAATAGAATGCAACTGATCCATGCAATTCCCCAACCTATGCCACAGAGCCTCTCTAGCCTTAGCCCCTCCTCCAATGTGGGGCGTTCCAGAACCCCTAATCCCACCGGGACCGTATCCACTTCCACCCGTAACAGCCTTCATATCCAACGCGACACTCACACTCTTAGCACCCAAACCCCTGTACTTGTTCACCACTTGCTCCACAGTGACCTTCAATTCTCCGAGATTGTAAAAAACCTGCAACCCTGTTCCAACCTCGGCCTGGTTCAACCCTTCCATTCCGCGTTCCAGAACCTTCATCGCCTCACTCCGAAGTAAATCCCCGGTCTCCCTAACCCAATTGAGCTCTTCGTCGACGGCATCGATGCCGCCGAGATCGTACTCCTCGCAGAGGCTTAAGATCTCGTAGTGCAGCTGCGCGGCCTTGGCGAGATCGAGTTTTTCGGGGTCGACGGCCATTAGATCCCGGAGCTTCTTGGAGAGGCGAAGGGCGCGGATGGAGTGCTGGAGGAGCTCTGTGGTAAGGTGGAGATTGGAGAGCTGCGTGGTTTTGGCGGCGACGGAGCGGTGCGGGTCGGAGAGCTCGGAGCGGAGGCGGCGAACGGAGGATTGGAGCGAGGAGAGTGCGGATCGGAGGGTGGAGAGGGCATGGTCAGCGTGGTGGAGGGAGGAGAGCTGCGAGAGGAGATCGTGGTGCCTCGAAAGTACTTCCGAGCGCAGCTGGTTCTCGAGGAGGCGGATCGCGTGGTGGAGCTTCTCGGCGGTGGAGGCCGGGGAGCCGGAAGAGAGCGCGGCGGAGGAGAAGGAGGTGGAGGAGAAGGAAGGGGAGAGGAAGGCGGAGAAGATGGGATCCGAGGCCAGAGAGTCGAGAGCCGACGATGTCGGGGTGGTGGCACTCACAGCGCCGGCGGAGGGATTCTTAAATGTGGAGAGGCGTTGCATCGGAGATGCGCTGGCGGATACCGGCGACCTTACCGCCGCTGGTGACGCCATTGTGATTTTGTTCGAGAGCGAAGAAGGCTCTCTTCTTTAGTCTTAACACACAATATGAACAAGTTAGTTTCTCTCTTTTTGTTGATACGTAACTTCCTACTTGTGTTCTAGTTAATTTTTTTATTTTATGTTTTAGTTATTATTATTTATACTGTATATTATTTTTTTTTATGATTTTATTTTAATTTGGTATCCTTTTTAAATCATTGTAATACAATTGTGTTGTTGAAGTGAAATTAGTTGTGGAAAATAGAATGATTTTAAGACTTAATTATGTTCTTAAATTGTAAATTTTTACTAAACTTATTTTTTGGTCTTTCAAAGTGAAAAAATAATATATACATTTAGTTTGTCAAATTTAGGACTATAATGTATATGAACATTAAATTTCCTCTAAGATGGAAAGAACAAATCTAAAGTTGAGAATTGAGAAAGTCATGATGAACAGAAAAAGAAAAGAGCCATTGCTTAAAAAAAATTTCCGAATAAAAAAATTAATCATTAAAATATATATAAATCATTGATTATTTTATATGTTTAACGATAAAAAGATGATTTTAAATAATATATATAATTAGATATCTTAATATGTGAAAAAAATTTCTTAAATATGTTAACGATAATTTATTATTATATGTGTATTAAAACTTTTTTTTGTTGAGTTTAATTACTATGCGTAGGAAATGTGTACCCTCTTAACCAATTATAAATCATTATTGATATCCTTTTTAAAATCTTACAATTAAAGACAACACATATGTAATTTAATTACGATGTAAAATTCTTTTACGTCATCAATATACTTTCTTCGAATTCAAAATAAAATGAAAATTAAAACTGTTTGCATTAAAACAGCCCGGTAAGTATAGCATAGTTAATAACCACACAACTTCAATTTGGTGTTAAAATTAAGCATTCAAATTATGAAACAGAGTAAGAGGGAAGTGTGAAGAAGAATTTGCCCCTTTGAAGAAACTTGGAGTTGGTTAAGCAAAAAAAGATTAATTTTTTAACGCAATGACGCATGAAAGATGTCTTTGGAAGCTTAATTTCTGTGCATATTAAATTTCTAGTAAGAAACCTGTGAATACAATTGAAACAAAGAAGTAAAAAGCAAGACGAGAAAGCACCTGATGCAATTTTTTTATTTTTTTAACTTATCGATTTAAGTAAATTTAAAAAAATTACGTAAATAAATAAACAAGCGAAAAGGTCATGCATAAAAATACGTTTTTCCAATCTTATTTTTAATACTTAAATCGTGTTATGAAATATAATTTTAATTTATTGTTTTTTTAACGTTTTCAAAATGCTTGATAATACCACTTCATTTTTTCATAATAATTATGCAATTTTTGATATTATTATTATAATTAATTATAATAGTAATATTAATAATAATTAACAATAAAAATATTGACAATCATAATTGTAATATAAAATAATAATTATAATAAATAATAAAATAATAATAAGTGTTAATTATTTTATTTATGAATATTTTTATTATTAATATCATTTTTTTTATAACTAATATCATTATTAGTTTTATTATTTATTATTAAAATTATCATAACTATTTTTATTATAAATGATTTAGAAATTATTATTATTAGCTAAAAAAATAACATTAAAAAATTAAAAACGTTATTAACTAACGAGTTAGAAACTGGATTGGTAAGTGATGTTCCCAGAAGAACCTTGGCGATCCCAGTGAGACCAAGAGCATCAGGGTCTTGATCGAAAGACTCCTCGTCGTCAGCGTCAGCGTCGATGGTGTCCTCCGGCTCTTCCTCCACCACGTCGAGGGCATCGATGGTGTCGATGTTTTCCTGGCCGGCGATGAAGTCGTCATGAACGGAATCGGACAGGAGGGAGTCAAAGTCGACGTCGTGCAATGGGTGGGGGACGGTGGCGCGGCGATGGAGGAGGGAGACAGAGACGCACACCAACAAAAGGAGACCCGAAACGACGACGCAGAGGAACACGCCGTGACGGGTGCGACGCTGGGATCGGAGATTTCTCAGCATTTTCTTACGGTGGAAAATTCTCGACGAGAATGCAACGAACGCATTAAACATCATGCAGATAAAAAATGGAGATGCTTGAGAAAAGGAAAAAAAAAAACACAAATTGGTGCAATTTAAAAAAAAAATTGACCGATTTTACTTTTCTATAAATATTTATTAGAAAGACAACAAAACAAGTCAACGAACCCTTTGATATAAATTTTTTCCCCTGAATCATGAATCAAAAGTGGCAGCCACAGCAGAGGTAGAAGAAGCAGAGTGTGGAGACAAGGACTACAACCTCAGCCACTGAGAGTATTTTATAAACGACGGTGTCTACGATGGTCGTTTGAAGATTCTGTCGTTTCCACCGAAACGGCCATGACACCTTCTTCAACCACAGCTTGCTCTTCCTCTTCTCCTCCATCAAACTTTAACTCTCTCTCTCTGTAATTTGGGTACAAAGAATGAGAGTATGAAGAGATGTTCATGTTATATTGAACATTGGGACAGGGTGGATGCTTAGGATGCTTCAAAGACAAGGGATGTTTCCTGGCCCACCCATAGGTCATAATACAACACTGGACCAATCTTTTTCCGATTTTTAGTTTCCGTTGTAATCTTTGATTATTAAATTTTAAAATTTTGTAAAAGATATGATAATTGCTTTTCATTAAAAAAAAATGTGATTATATTTTAACAATAAAAAAAATATCATCATTTAAACAACTTATTTTTATTAATATAATAATCTATTAAATAATTTAATAAAAATAAAAATAAATTAAAATTATTATTAATAAAAATAAAAATAAATTATTATTATTATTATAATATTAAAAGAGAATTATTTATCAAAAATTTTAAAGAATGATTTTTCTAACAAAATATTTTAAATAAATAATAACACGACACCCAACATATTAAATGGCCTAACGAGAGAAAAAAATATAAGTTTTATAATAACAATGCGTCAATTAGGTTAATTTTAGATTTTTGTTATTATTCATATTTTTTAAAACGCTGTTTTATCCACACAATTAATGATTTTTTTATTTCAGTTTACATTAAATTATTTTTTTGAAATGTCACCTGATATTTAAATAGTAAAGAAACATGTGAGATTTACAATCGTAAATATGATTAAAATCGTTAATTTTAATTTAATGATTGCAAATAAATATTATCATTTCTATAACCAAACGTTTTATTAAAATTAATAACGGTTGTTTCAAAATATTCATTTAATCCCACATGCTAATATATATGAGTTACGGATAATAAATATTTTCTCATCCAAGTCAATTGAAATAAAACTCAAAGATAGTTTACATAGATATTTTAAGATTTTTCTCAAGAAAAGACATCTTCTGGATATTTTTTCTTTCTTTCTGGATATAGATATTTTCTGAAAACATTATCATCTTTTGTAACATACTTATTTATTAATTAACAGGTAAGAAAAATGTAGAAGAGTTAATGAAAATAGTTAATAATTTGTATAAACTCGTTTTCACTTATTTCAATAATTTTTAGGGTAATTTATCAAACTAAGTTTTGTTTCCAATAAATTTATGACAAACTTTATATATATAATAAAAAAACTACTGACACAGTACTCAATCAACTTTGTTATCTTAATACACTAAAGCTTTAGGTGGATTATAAATTTTCTGAATATTTTCAAGGTCCACAATTTTTGGTATAATCATGTAAGAGGGTTTATAAAAAGCACCCTAAGAAAAGTTTGCAATTAATGACAATCGAATATTAATTTTTTTTATACATCATTATTTTTAATATAATTATAGATACATAAATTTGGTTTTAATTAATGACAATTAAAGTTACAATAGATTCGTGTGAAGTAGTATAATGATGTCAAGGATTGAATAAAGAGATTGTGAAACCCCCTTCAAATTAATGTCAAATCACATCAACATAAGTAAAAGTAGTAGTAGTTTAACAAGCAAAGAGATACATATTATGACGTAATCCTAAATTAAGAGTAGTTTAATCCCCTCGTTTTAGTTTCTTCTTGTAGATGAAGTTTTGTTAATTTGACGAGGCTAGTTGAATTTACATAATTATGATTAAAAGAAAGGAAATAATAATAATAATAATAATAATAATAATAATAATAATAATTAAGATCACGTCTTACATGTACATCATAGTGCGGTGCAAGACAACAATGAGGCACGCAACCAAAACAAAATATGTCCAGTGGGAAATCTTTTTCAATGATGTGTATATGAAATTTGCTTAGATAGATACAGGCACTTTCTGCTTTATTTAATTATATATATTTTCTTTATTTGCATTGGAATTATAAATTTGGAATATTTTTCTTTTGTTCTCCGTGTAAAGTACAAGAAGACTTCATTAGTTCTTATGAGATGATGACATCAATGTCATTTTCATTGAAGCAGCATTATGTGAGATACATGTTATGTGTGGGATAAGTTTCTGCCTTGTCCAAAACTTCATCTATCAGGTCGTTTTTACTTGTTTTTTCTGCATTTTTTCTCGTTGAAGTGTGTTGACAGAAGACAAAATCGACATTATTTCATTGGTTCTTTATTTTATTGTGTGGTCCCCCCGAAGGGTCCTTTCATGTGCACTTGTTCTTAAACGTTAGCTAACTGTTGATTTCTTGGTTTCTCCAACTATGTGTCATTTTGCAATTGCATAACTACTAGTATACAGTAAATGTTTAGTTTTTTAACAATAAGATATAATAACATAAAAACATCTTTTTCTTAGGTGTTCACTGTTTCATCAAGGTTATTACGTGGAAATTTCATATTATCATATATATGAGTACTAATCTTCTGTGATTTCAACTGCTCTAGCTATGATGGTATACTCAGTTTGCAGAGGGACAGATAAGATTTTAACGTTATGATATAAAAATAAACAAAAAAATCAGAGTAAAAACAAAATTTTCAACCAAAGAAAGGACTTAAAATAGAAAGAGTTGAAGATTGAACATTAATAGAAAAGTTATAAACCCAACAGTTTAAATGTACAAAGAGAGATAGAGAGCCACAGAGTTCTATAAATTCGGAAGCGATACCCCTGAAAATAGAATTGTACCATGGACTTGGTCTCGCACCATAAATTCTTTCTTCTCTCTTCCCAACCTTCTATACTTTGACAAATCTCTTTGTTGATCAAAATTCATTCTCCCTTTCATGGTAGATGTAAATGATTAGCATCTAATAGATATCGTGGTTACGTTTTTCTTCGTGAACCATTATCAAGCTATTGCTCCATCAAAATGGAAAATAGGCTCGATTTTGTTATTGATTTGTGGAAATTTCTTACATTATAGATCTAGTTTTAAGGTATAGCAATTAGAAACAATGTCGTCCATGAATAGGCAACCTTCGAAAAAATCAATACGTAACAATGGAGGATCAGCAGCTTCTGGTTCCCAAGGAGGAAGTAATGGCGGAGCAAGTGTTAAGTTTGCGAAAAGAACTTCAAGTGGGAGATACGTGAGTCTGTCAAAAGAGGACATTGACATGTCCTCGGACTTATCAGGGGATTATATGAACTACACTGTTCATATACCCCCCACTCCAGATAATCAACCCATGGACACATCTGTTGCAATGAAAGCTGAAGAACAGTATGTTTCTAATTCTTTATTTACCGGGGGATTCAACAGCGTAACCAGAGCGCATTTAATGGATAAGGTGATCGATTCTGAAGTAACTCATCCTCAAATGGCAGGCTCCAAAGGCTCTGCATGTTCAATTTGTGATGGCAGGGTCATGAGGGATGAGAGGGGACATGATGTCACTCCATGTGAGTGCAGGTATGTACGTGGAATTTGATAATTAATATGCATGCATGCATGCACGTTTTACTTTTTGACATGTTACTTGAGCAACTAAGAGAAACTAACAGTAATGATTCAAATTTAGGTTCAAGATTTGTAGAGATTGCTTTATAGATGCACAAAAAGAAACTGGTTTGTGTCCTGGTTGCAAGGAGCCGTATAAAGTGGGGGAATATGAGGAAGACCTCCAGGAGTATCCTACCAATGGGGCATTGCCATTACCAGCACCAAATGGTTCCAAACGTAATCAAAACATGTCAGTTATGAAGAGAAACCAAAACGGAGAATTTGACCATAACAAGTGGTTGTTCGAGTCTCAAGGTACCTACGGAGTTGGTAATGCGTATTGGCCCCAAGATGATGATGATGATGGTGAAGAGGCCTTAAAGACAGGAATGCTTGATCAGGAGAAGCCGTGGAAGCCTTTGAGCCGGATAACGCCAATTCCATCAGGCATCATTACTCCTTACAGGTCAATTAGATTGATTTATATATAGTACTGCCCATAGTTTGTGATTATGTATAATATTTACATGACCAAATCCATGTCTCTCTGATCTCTGTAATTGTTATTCTATGTGCATCTATCTGCAGGTTTATTATTGCTGTTCGATTAGTAGTATTGGTGTTCTTTTTACGCTGGAGAGTGATGCATCCAAATAATGATGCAATATGGTTGTGGCTTATGTCAGTCACTTGCGAGATATGGTTTGGTTTCTCATGGATTCTAGATCAAGTTCCCAAGCTTTGCCCTATTAATCGTTCCACTGATCTTGATGTCCTTCATGATAAATTTGATAGTCCATCCCCGTCAAATCCCACAGGGCGATCCGATCTACCTGGTCTGGACCTCTTTGTGTCCACTGCTGATCCTGAGAAGGAGCCACCTCTTGTCACTGCTAATACCATTCTTTCCATATTATCGGTTGATTACCCTGTTGAGAAGCTCGCATGTTACATTTCTGATGATGGAGGTGCTCTCTTGACTTTTGAAGCCATGGCTGAGGCTGCTAGCTTTGCGGATTTATGGGTTCCATTTTGTCGAAAACACAAAATTGAGCCGAGAAATCCAGATACTTACTTCAGCTTGAAAGTTGATCCCACCAAGAACAAAAGCAGAACGGATTTTGTGAAGGACAGAAGGAGGGTGAAGAGGGAGTACGACGAGTTCAAGGTACGCATAAATGGCCTTCCAGATTCCATCAGGAGAAGATCTGATGCATTTAATGCGAGAGAGGAGATGAAGATGATAAAGCATATGAAGGAGAGTGGGGCTGACCCTACTGACACTGTCAAAGTGTTGAAGGCGACATGGATGGCAGATGGCACCCACTGGCCTGGTACTTGGGCTAGTCCTTCTAGTGAACATTCTAAAGGTGATCATGCTGGAATACTTCAGGTACCACACCTACCTAACTCATTTCATTTTCATCACCAGCAAATTAAACAATGCGTGAATAGATAAATTTGCATATAATTTAGCTTAATTTGCATACATGTGAATATAGGTAATGTTAAAGCCACCAAGTCCGGATCCGCTATTGGGAAGTGCAGATGACAAAATTATAGACTTCACAGAAGTAGATACGAGGCTGCCAATGTTTGTATATGTTTCTCGAGAGAAACGACCTGGTTATGATCACAACAAGAAAGCAGGTGCCATGAACGCATTAGTTCGAGCTTCTGCAATTTTGTCGAACGGACCATTCATTCTCAACCTTGACTGTGACCATTATATCTACAATTGCAAGGCAGTGAGAGAAGGTATGTGCTTCATGATGGACAGAGGTGGCGAGGACATATGCTACATCCAGTTCCCTCAGAGATTCGAAGGCATCGACCCCTCAGATCGCTACGCCAATCACAACACGGTGTTCTTCGACGGAAACATGCGAGCCCTTGATGGTGTTCAAGGTCCAGTGTACGTGGGGACCGGATGCATGTTCAGGAGGTTTGCTCTGTACGGATTCGACCCTCCTCCGGTGGACAAAGTGGAGGAAAAGAAAGAGGTTAAGAAGGGTGAAGAGTCTGAACCACCGACCGTGAATGCTAGCGAGTTTGATCCAAATCTTGACGTGAACTTATTGCCTAAGCGCTTTGGTAATTCAACCATGTTGTCTGAGAGCATTCCTGTCGCAGAGTTCCAGGGTCGTCCTTTGGCGGATCACCCTGCCATCAAGTATGGACGTCCACCTGGTGTTCTTAGGGCCCCTCGCGACCCCCTTGATGCTAGTACTGTAGCTGAAGCCGTATCTGTCATTTCTTGCTGGTTCGTAACAAATATTTTTCATCTCACCAATTTTCTCAAACACGCACTGAAATTGTATGTACAGGTATGAGGACAAGACAGAGTGGGGAGACAGAGTGGGGTGGATTTACGGGTCTGTGACAGAAGATGTGGTCACAGGCTACCGCATGCACAACCGTGGATGGCGTTCTGTGTACTGCATAACGAAGCGAGATGCATTTCGAGGATCAGCACCGATTAACCTCACTGATCGACTGCACCAGGTGCTGAGATGGGCCACGGGCTCTGTCGAAATATTCTTCTCGAAGAACAACGCCTTCCTAGCCAGTAGGCGCCTCAAGTTTCTCCAACGTCTGGCATACCTCAACGTTGGCATCTACCCCTTCACCTCCATCTTCCTCGTCGTCTATTGCTTCCTCCCCGCACTCTCTCTATTCTCAGGGTTCTTCATTGTCCAAACTCTCAGCATCGCCTTCTTAATCTACCTGCTCCTCATCACCGTATGCTTGGTGGCCTTGGCCATTCTTGAGGTTAGATGGTCTGGTGTAGAGCTAGAGCAGTGGTGGAGAAACGAACAGTTTTGGCTCATTTCTGGAACCAGTGCTCACTTGGCTGCTGTGGTGCAAGGACTCCTTAAGGTCATTGCAGGGATTGAGATTTCCTTCACCTTGACGACCAAGTCAGGATCGGACGACGAAGAGGACATATACGCCGATTTGTACCTAGTAAAGTGGAGCTCCTTGATGGTTCCGCCCATTGTGATTGCTATGATGAACATCATCGGCATTGCAGTGTCCTTTTCCAGAACCATTTACAGTGCAAACCCGCAATGGAGCAAGTTCATCGGAGGAGCATTCTTCAGTTTCTGGGTGCTTGCCCATTTGTACCCTTTTGCAAAAGGGTTGATGGGGAGGAGAGGCAAGACACCCACCATTGTGTTTGTGTGGTCTGGTCTCATTGCAATCACTCTCTCTTTGCTTTGGGTTGCCATCAACCCTCCCCAAGGTGGCGATGGACAAGGCATAGGTGGAGATTTTCAATTTCCATGAAAATGCATGTATTCTTCATGCATGCATTCGTGTATTATAATACTGCATGTAGGTGTTTTTAGTTTCTTTTATCATATGTAACATTCATGTTTCATCTTTGTAAAACCTCCAATTCACATGTCTTAATACGTACATAAATAGGGAGTGAAAATTAGTTCTAGATTATTTTAAAAAGGTTAGACTCGTGTATATGGAAAAACATAATACTATGAATTAGTTTTCTGGGTGTCTGTTTTTTATATTCACAGTATTCACCAACACAGATAAATTACATGTGTTTGAATATCATTTGCCTTTACTTAATGAACTAATTTTTCGAATGTCATAATTCACTTTCCCTTACTCCAATGTAGTAATCTGATGTACATATAAACTTTTTAAAAACATTTTCTTTATAAAATTAATGGTGAGATTATATAATCTCATTTTTTTAATAGAATACTTTTGAATAACTCTTGCATATGCACATAAAAAAAAAGGTACTAAGCAGAAGATGATTGATTGAAATAAAGGCTAGTAAGCAATGGAAGCAGGGAGATTGGGCCCAATGCATGTTTGGCCCGCTACCAAACCAACTTCTTAGAGATAAAAAGAACAATTGAATAACACATATTTTCAATTCTCATTGTTAATTGTTAAAATTTAATAAATTTGCTACTTTCATCCCTGTAAATTTAGACTTCATGAAGTTATGATTCAAATACTAAATCCCTATGTGCAAGAGTTTATTCAAAGCGAATTCGCAAAATTACTTCTCTCATCATAATCACCCAATTTTACTTCTCTCGCATTATTTGTTAAGAAAGGTAAAAAGCACCAAATTTTATTTCTTCTAATAGGTAAATTTGGACAAAAAAATATACACAAGTTAAATAAACAATTTAAAAAAATATATAATAATTTTGTTTACAAATTAATTTATGCATAAATTAATTTTTAAAATAGTGACAAAATTATTTTATTTTATTAGAATTGCTTTTATATGTATAAAAATAAAAGTTTGTCGAAATAGGTGCGATATATTTATTTTTAACAAGAGGCACGTAAAAGCTTCTAACTTTGACATTTAATCTAATTTGAAAAAGAAATCTAGCCATTACTTGTTTGTAACGAATTAATTTCTTATAACAATATATTATATTTGCTATTGGTTTACATAACAAAATAAAAAATAAAAAAAAGATTTTTTTTTCTCTCGAATGAAAGTCATAAATTCGAGCATTAATTGAAAAAAGTGGAAGATCTTCATCTTCTTAACTTCACTTGACTAAATTTAGCTAGTTGACAAATATTGCACTTTTTATTACTTTACTTTCTTTAAATGTATTTTCAGAATATAGATATTCAAATGTCAATAATGTATAAAAAAATTGGTCTGGGTAGAATATTCCAAGCACTAAAAAAAAAAGTTTTTTTTTTCCTCTAATCATCAGTGTATATAAGAAGACAAACACTATGTTATTGATATAAATGAAATTAAGCTCACATATCTTAAGCTTATAATGAAAAATAGTTTAATTGAGAGGAAACACTGTTTAACAAATAAGGTTAGACTAAAATTCAGTCACCAGTAAAATTAATAAATACTTTATATAAAAAGTATGGATTTAAATTATTCTTTTCTTAATTGATTTCTCAAGCTAATATTTTATAGACATAACTCTACAAATTCACATACTCGTTTACAGAATTGAAGAAATTTGTAGATAGTTATAAAATCTTAATTCAAATACAATTTTCTTTAAATAACTTTATATTATTACTTAGATTAAAAAAATAAACTTTGGAATTTTCAATCCATCTGTTCAAAACAGAGAGTAAGAAATTTTAGGAATATGTCCAAAAACCATAACTAATTGATTTGGCATGTGAAGGGGAAGCACAGTAGCATGGTGCCAAGCCAAGTTTCAAGATTTGCGTAAGATTTTTCCTTTTCACATAAATAGGACAGTTTGGTGAGCAGACATGACATCAGAGGAAGCCTAGATTTGGTGCTTAGCTTAGCTCCCTCTGTTATGTTGGATTGAGGTTGACCCTCCGCTTTCTCTCTCCCCCCTCTCTCTCTTTCTCTCCACTTTACTTTACCTTTCTTCCTTACTCATTACAATTTATCTTTTTTTGTTTTTCTTTCTACCAGCCATCCATAAACAGTGTCATACATACCCATTCATTTCGCGTTTGCTTTCCCTTCACTGTTTCTCTCTCTCTCCCCCCCCTGCTTTCCTTCATTGCAAACCAAGCTTCCTTTCCAGTTTGTTCTGGCCCTGCCCTCAGACACAACACCCACCAACCAATTTATCACATTTACTCTTGCTCTTCTCTAAAATTAGTACTGAAAGACACCCACTCTCTCTCCCTCTGTATTTTTCATATCAAAATAAGATTTTTGTCTGGCATTCCCTTCCAGTTTTTCTATTTTTATCATCCTACCTGTGAGTCCTTTTTTTTTTTGGCTGAAGTATGGCCCCACTTGTTGCCTACTAGTATGCCACTTCATCTTTTGGAGCATCTGGATTTTGTTATAGGGTATGTGTGTTGCTCAGCCCCAGGCATTTTTTGCACATTGAGTCTCTTGTCGGTTCAAAATGAGGTGTGAAACCTGCTGCTTCTTTGGGTAGAAGATTCAGGAGTCTAGCTTCCTTGGATCACCACAAAGGTAAATGCTTTGTCTTTCTCAACCACTTTTTGGATAATATACATTCCACTTTCTCTTTTGTTTGCTTGGATCATAAGTGATGCTTTCCTGGTTTCCTTTTCTTTGCATTAGAAATTGTTGCGAGAATCAACAATCAACAGGTTCTTCTACTTTCCCAATGAACCGTGGAATCACTCAATATATCTTTCTAATTGTATTGGTTTTGAAACTGCTGAATTATGTATGCTTCTTGTAATAATTGATTTTTTTTTTGTTATGCCATTGCGAATAAAACCTGAGATTAGTTTGTGATCTTCTAATTTAGCTTACAGGAAACTTTGTAGTCTGGGATTATCGTAAATCATGACAAATATGCTATTAGTGATCTGTTGAACTCTGGCTTTTTGTTTATGGCATTGTTGCAACAAACTCTAGCATTGTTCAGCTGTGTGTTTCAAAGCCTTTAATACGGGGAGTGGAGTGCTTAACTTGAATCCTGTACTTGGGTGGGAATGTCTTGGTTCTACCAGCTGAAGAACTTGTGGGGACGATATTGATTGACTTGGTGCAACCAATTATGTCATCCAACAGTTCTTTGAAAGGGGAATTGACAAAGAAGACGCCACTTTTGGGGTTGAGACGATGGGTTTTGATTGGGATAGGTGTTGGTGCATTTATAGTACTGATTCTTTGTATATTATCGATATGGGTGATGTTTCGGAGAAAGACTAGGAGATCTCTGGACAAGTATGCTACATCCCAAATACCAAATGTCTCAAAAGATATCGATGTTGACAAGGTTGGGGTGCAGAATTCTCATGTTCAACCAGAAAATGTGCTTATACCTGTTCATGACAAGACAAGTGAAAAGAATTCAGATAATGTATCAGTTCATTTGGGAAACAGCAAATCTGGTGATCCTGATAGTATCAGTCAGTGCAGCTCAATTTATCATCATGAGAGAGGATTTAGTTCAATGTCGGCTGAAGAAGGAAGCTCTGGGAATGTTAAGAAACAATATACATTGCCACATGGAGGACTGCCCACTGCCTCTCCATTAGTTGGCTTGCCTGAATTTTCTCATCTTGGGTGGGGCCACTGGTTTACACTTAGAGATCTGGAAATGGCAACCAAACGATTCTCAACTGAGAACATTATTGGTGAGGGTGGATATGGGGTTGTTTACAAGGGAAGACTAATTAATGGAATTGAGGTGGCAGTGAAGAAGCTTCTGAACAACTTGTAAGGATATTTATTGATCATTGATGAACTCTTTAATTTTTTCTGACACTACATGTACTTCTTATGTAATTGATTTCTATATTGAATTCATAGGGGACAAGCTGAGAAAGAATTCAGGGTTGAAGTGGAGGCTATAGGACATGTTAGACATAAGCATCTTGTACGCCTTCTTGGATATTGTGTAGAGGGAGTTCATAGGTAATTTTTCTCTCGGGTTTATGATTGTCATATTCTCCTTGGTCCAAAATTTGAACAGAAGCTTTTGTCCATGTTATGTCTCTTTATGTGTTATAATGAATGTACTTCCCATTTGATATTCAGGCTGCTTGTGTATGAATATGTGAACAATGGTAACTTAGAACAGTGGTTACATGGAGACATGCAACAACATGGGACACTTACCTGGGAGGCCCGCATGAAAGTCATACTTGGCACAGCCAAAGCGTAAGTTCCTGTGCAACTTAAAAATATGGTGCCAACTCAGTTAACTATCGTAAATCTCTGGTTATAGACTAAACAACAGTAAGACCACAAACTAAACTCTATAATCTATGGTTATATTTGGATGTCTAGTGACGGGTGGAATGAAGCGAAATGGAATAGAATGAAGATACCATTGCATTGTTAGAATATTTTATGATGAAATGAATTTGAATTAGAAAAACTGGTTCCACCCCGTACTCCTACATTGTGGAGAAGAAAAGGAGCAGTTTTGGATGGAATGGATTCCATTCATTCGCTCAATTCCATTCCTTCAATTAGTTCAAACAAAGTCTTAGTGAATATGTGACCTACTGTAGTTTTAATATTTTACTTAGTTACAAATTTATGTTTATGGAAGTTGGAACAATGGACCTTGTCATGCTGATTAACCCACCTACAATACCGTCACTGGTGGCAGGCTTGCTTATCTACACGAAGCAATAGAACCAAAAGTTATTCACCGAGATATAAAGTCTAGCAACATATTGATTGATGATGAATTCAATGCAAAGGTTTCTGATTTTGGTTTGGCCAAACTTTTGGATTCAGGAGAAAGTCACATAAGCACAAGAGTAATGGGAACGTTTGGGTATGCAGAAAATTTCATGATCCCTTATTTAATACATAAAGGATTTTATACACTTGGAAACTCACTTCTGTTGTGGATTTCAGTTATGTGGCGCCAGAATATGCTAACAGTGGTTTGTTAAATGAAAAGAGTGACATTTACAGCTTTGGTGTCCTCTTGCTGGAAGCAGTTACTGGAAGGGACCCTGTAGACTATGCACGTCCTGCCAACGAGGTGCCTAAGCCTTATGACCTCTGCCAGATTGCTAGTTCTAACCATGCTTTCCACTGGAAGTGATCATTAATAGCTGATGAGATATTGTTCATCCTCATTATGACAGGTTAATCTAGTTGAATGGCTCAAAATGATGGTAGGGACAAGGAGGGCTGAAGAAGTAGTGGACTCAAGCCTTGAAGTTAAACCACCGTTACGTGCTTTGAAGCGCACTCTTTTGGTTGCACTTAGGTGTATTGATCCTGATGCTGACAAGAGACCCAAAATGAGTCAAGTTGTGAGGATGCTTGAAGCTGACGAATATCCATATCGAGAGGTTCCCTTCGATACTTTGTCATTTCGTACAAGTTATGTTGTTTACTTGATGTTGAGTTGAGTCTGGTGTTTTTGTCACATTTTTGCAAAATTTTGACCTCGTTTACATTCTTACCATTATTTCATTCATATCATGTGTTGGCTATCCTCCAAAAAAAATATTTGTTATGATATTTGTAAATTTAATCTTTTTTTTCAGAAGGTGTTTATCATCATGTAGTTATGATGGGATAAACATTACGTTAATGATCACTCTAAGATGATATGCATATAATTATTGACGTATATATGCTAACAAAACTCCAAAACGTAAGCTAGACGACTGACTGATTGATATAATCACTTTCAGGATAGAAGAAATAGAAAGAGTGGCACTGTCAGCATGGAAATTGAAACTACGAAGGAATTGTCTGGACCATCTGATGCTGAAAAGATGGGGCATGCTGAAACAACTCAAGGATAGGAATTGACAACCCCATGACTTAGCTTGCATGTACAATTCCAGTTGTACACGTTATAGTAACTTATTTATTATCTCCAACTTTGTGCCCCCAAGAAAATTTTGATGCATCTGAGGATGGAGTCAGATCAGAGAAAGCCTGTTTGGATAATGAAGGTTTTGGTTTTTGTTTATAATTGAATGTTGCCATTGAAGATATGATACACTAGCCTTGCAAAGAGGGTTGAATGAATATGGGTGGTGAGTGTTAGTGTTGTACAGATGTCTGTGGGGCCTGTCTTCTTACATGATTTTCGATTTATTTTGTATGTCGCATGCTGCTGGAGAGTGGCTATAGTAAAAAAAAATCGATATTTGGGTTCAATTTCCTTTTCATTTTGCTTTTAGCTTCAAGAAACACCAGTCAGCTGATAATATATTTTTCAAGCATATTGAATGACAGTTAATTGATATTTTTATGCAAAAATCAATTTCATACAATGTTACCATTAGAATCAATTACTGTGATTTCATGTATGGATAAATCCTCTTTATCTTCTCTATAACAAAATATTTTCTTGCAGAGGTGAAAAAAAACATTCTTTTTTGGAGAAAGATACTATTCATTATTGTACTGGTGATTTTCTGCAAAGTGGTGACAGTGTAGAAGTCACGTGTAGGAATTTTCTTTCTCTTGAAAGGATATTGATGCAAATGTGAAAAGAAATATAGAAAATTTATATAATTTAACAATAGTTCAGAGGTGGTTCATATGATTTATTCGAAAAAATATATAAAAATGTGAGATTTACTTCAGGTTTTAAATACTTGCACGTTTGAAGTTTCTAAAACTTATGTGGCTATGTGGTAGGGCTTTTGAAAAAAGTTAAGTAAGTTTGGGAGATGTTCTTATGGAGTATTTGGACTAAATTGTGTTATTTTCTCAATAGTCTGATTCCTTACGCTGCTTTTCTCCCCTCTCCAAATAGTTGGGCGTTACGATATGGCAAAGGTTTCTACAGTCAACAAAAGTGCTTATACGTGTAGGGAACTAGGGTTCAAATCCCAACTTGCACAAAAGATCTGACAAGAAAAGGGCACTCAAATTATTTCATTTCTAACAGTCAAGTTTTCATTTGAAGATGCCACGACCGAATGGCACAGCATGTACCAGAGGTGGTTTGCTTTCATGAACAGTAGAATTGTTGGTGCATGCACTAAAATTGTGAATGGCTGGCTAAGCTAGTTATGATTGTCTTTTGATTCTCTTCAACAGAATTTTTGTCCCATTGATGCTACGGTCATGAAGGAATCTTATCTTTCACAAATAGACTAAATTGTAAAATTTGTGTGGTGGGTGTTGGTGAAAGAATGAGAAAGGGAAAAACTTTTTAACTTTGATTTGTTATTTGAAGCGTCTTCGATTCTCCCATTTCACCCGAAGGGAAAAAGAATGCATAGATGGGAGTTTCTTGAGGAAGCACTTATTGGGCAGACAGTCAAAGAAATGATTCAAGTTGAAGGGTTCAAACGGTGAAAGTGGAATACATAATAATTCATTATTCTGATAAAGTAGACCTATTTTCAGGGACAGCTTCTCTAGCATCTAGGGTTCTTGCTTCCATCAATAATCAATAACAATCTTTCTTTCTCTGCTATCACTTTACATGCTCCATGGGGAATGGGGCAACTTGGCCTATACTGCCATAGCTTTTGACTTCTCCTTCCTTCCCTTTAAAAACGTGTTTTTTTACCGCACCTATTCATCAAATTTACCCTTTTATTCTTAAAAGCTTACACTTTTTTTATTTATTTACTCATAGTCAAGTAAGTTTCTTTATAAAAAAAATAAATTTAAAAAGATAAAGTAATAAGAAAACACCCTTTTAATTATAAAATAATTGAGAAAATTAAATGATATAGATGTAGGATAAGTTTTTGCTGTCCCACATTAAAGAAACATTTTATTTATTATAGATATGGCTTGCATATCACTCAAACTTTATTTGGGTAACAACTTTATATTTTTGTGTCCCTATGTGTGGACAAATGAAGGACCCATAATCTACACAACTCGTGCTTCATTGATATACCTAGTTACATAATCTTTGAGTTAAACTTCTAAACCAAATTCTTATGTACTCTTGGGTGTGAGATTGGATTTAATACATGGATAGATAAAAATTTTAGCTAATGGTTGAAAGTAATTTTCTTTTAGGATGTAAGAATGAATTTAATATATTATAGATAAAATTTTTAGCTACGACTTTAACATGGTTAAAAATAATTTTTTTTTTAAGAGTAAAAGTTTATCCATAAAAAATATTCTGATGTTAAAATTAATATTTAAATAAAAAAATATATATTTAAAAATGAATAACAAACAAAAATTTCAACAAAATAAAATTTTAAATATAAAAATTAATTTTAACGACAGGATATAAACTAGTCCAAAAAATTCTCGTTTTTAGATAAAATATATATATTTTTATTTTAATTTCTCGATAATTAAATTCACATTATCAATGTTATTACCTTATCCTTATCAACTTCATTTCTAATTAAAAAAATCGTACATATATTATTAATTAAAAATTAAATCATTGTATTACTAAAAGTTGGATAAATATATTTGGAATTGTAATAATTTTTTAGTTAATGTTTTTATTAATTTATTAGTATATAATTATGTAAAATGCAGACACTGAATAATAAAAATATAAGTACTTAAACTAACATTAAAGTTGTTACTCGTAGAAAAATCAATTACCATCCCACGAGAAAAATGCAGATGTTTTTACTTTTTATTTTGATTGGAACACATTGAGACATTATATATATCAACACCCTTACTTGTTTTTAAAAAACTACTATCCCTATAAATTAGTGGTAAACATTTTAATATATTGTTTTGATAATTAGAATAAACTAAAAAGGGGCACAGGAGACAAAGAAACTGTGAAGGGTTCAAGTTTTGTCGCGAGAAAGGTGAAGGTAATTAAAAAGCTTCAATGGCGGCAAGCAACAATGAATCAATAATGGAGGCACTCAATGATTCATTCATCAAATTAATTAAGACAGTTTGGAAATTTGGATAGTAAACAGTTTGTTAATTAGTTCCGTTAATTATGGTAAACCGATTTTGTAGCAATAATGATTTGGACTTTGCCATCTGCAAAAGTTTCTGTCATAATCTTTAACATGGAAAAACAAAATATGTTTTGTCACTTTTTATTTGTCTTCTGGTCAATTCCAATTTTTTAAAATTACTGTTTTTCCTCAAATTTATATGTCAATTATCCAAATTAAATAAGTTTGTGCAACTTCAGACCCAAAAGTATTTAACTCTTTTTGAAAGTTAATTAACACTAAATTTATATATTATCAATTCATAATTTATATATTAAAATGTTTTGAACGTTGAAGCAGCCCTAAGTTAGTGTCAGACCCGTTAGCTCCACCTGCTCTGACTTTGTATGCCATTTAACATACCTAGGTTTAATTTATCAATCTCTAGGTATTTTAAATGTTTACATATTTTCTAAATTTAAAACAATTACAAGTTTTATTTTTTATACAAAATAAATAAATAAATAAATAAACAAATAATTGGGTATTTGTATGGTCTGTTGGATCATCATCAAAGTAATAAACTAAACATTTTTTTTAATTAATGAAGAACATAAATATGTTTATAAGAGATAATTTTTCAAAACACGTTATGATTAGTAAAACAGTAAAGTTTTACTTTGAATTAAGCTTATACAATTAATTATGAAAGAGTGATTGGCATACATTAAATAATTGTTCAATGATGAACGTGAAAAAGTCAAGTGTCATAAAATATCCAAATTACCCACACACAGAGTGAATATAATGGGTAAACTAAAAGATTTAGATGTGAGAATGAGAAAAGAAAAATCAAATAAAAATGGATGCTTGAAAAAAATTAATACACATAAAAGCACCATAACTTATATGACAAGTTTTGTACTTGTTTGAGTTATCCCTTTTAAATTAATCGTGACTAAAATTACTAGTTCAAGTAGATTTTGAATAATGAGGATATAATCTAATTAAAAAGGGAATTTTATATTAGTATATAACCTACAAAGTGCACACAACACAAGCCAAAAATACAATATAGCAAAAATATAGATATTTCATAAGTTTTATATGACACATAAAGTTAGTATAAAATATACATATCTTAATTCAGATGGGAAAATTAAAATTTTGAAAAAGGAGCAAAAAAAATATTATAGTTTATCTATTTGTCATGATATAACACATAATTTTTGTATAATAATTTTAAAATAAAAGGAAAAAATATATAAAAAATCAATTTCAAAGTGTTCATATATATATAGGAATATGATAGGATATATATAACTTTGAAATGCCTATATTTCGTAAATATAACCATGAATTTGCATTATATGCTTTGGATTTTTTTAAATGAAAAATAAAAATTATGGATGATTAGGTGTGATAAAAAAAAAAACCATCTTGTTTGAAAGATTAATGTATATGAGAGCAAAACCCTTGTTTGCAAGTAGCATTGTTAAGGAATGAAACAGTATATTTTAAAAAATTAATTCACACTTGACCTTGCTTTAAGAGCAAAATAATATGTTCTTTCAGAGAAATTAGATGGAGAAATAAAAGAAATAAAACGTTCAATCATTTCCCTTCCTTTTTTTTTTTAACTTTGTGTTTGTTTATGCAAACGAATTAAAAGAGACAAGAAACCTAAGAAAAGTTGGGTTTTTAATACATTTTTAAAGTCTCATTTTAAGCACAGAAAGATGATACATATATAATAAATAAAATTATTGAAAATAAATATATTTTTTTAATTCATATACACTCATTTCTATTTTTTATTCAAATAATTTTACTTTCCATTATTTTTCTCTTCCACTCTTTATTTTTCTAACTCTCCAAAGAAAAAACTAAATCCCATGGATATGATAAAAGTAAGAGTTATTATATGTGATACTATTGCTCTTTTCTTAAAAAACAAAAAGAGAGGCTATGAATGATTCTCTAACAATTAATTCATTATGCATAGATAAATAACTTATTTCAAACTAGTAGACCTATATATAAATGGTTTAAGCGAGAAATACTGATTTCATCTTTCATTTGAAGCTATTAGAAGGTGTATATGAACTATGTGGATCCTATAGTTTCGTATGCAAAATAAGATTTGTATATTGTAATCTAATAGTGGATTTTCAGCCAGAGTTTTATTTTGATTCTTTCATTTGATTTAAAAAAAAAAAACGAATAGTAAAAACAGTAGCTTCAGGTGATATGAATCTTATAGAAGTTAGGTATTTGTCCACAAGGAAAAGTATAGTTACACACGCAAGCACACACATACTATAACTCAAACGCCGCAATCTTCAAACAACCCTACTTTATACATAATTTGTCATTTAAGATCTGCAAAATGTTTGACATATATATACCAATGCAAAAAATAAGGACCATAAAAGTAGGAATTAATCGTATCTTGTTACTCAAACCTTCCGTTTCTAGTACTCTAGCACCGTATATATATATATAGTCCTTCACCACCCTTTTAACTATGCTAGTGATCCAAGAAACTATCACCAAGTCCTATCAATACCTTTCACTGATAAAGATCTATCACACGTATATATGGTACGTTAATCGTCTTTTCAATCAATCCATTCTGATCTCCACTATATGTGCAACTTGCAAACTACTCAAATGGAAAACTCACCGTCCATCTTTACCAAACTATATTTAAGAATAATCAAGATCAAGGTCATCATCTGCAGTAATTCTAAAATACTCATTTAATGCTCTTAATTAGATCCGCGGCAACTACCATATGTAGACCTGTCTTCCATTTCCATACAAATCATCATACATGACTTAAAGAGAGAAGGAGATAATCAAGTGAAAAGAAGCCAATACTTACTACACATACATATATGGACAGTGTACGTGGATATACACTGCAAGCTCCACCATATGTTAATAGAAATTGGTTACTGCATGTTTGATTTTGTTTATCTTGAAAAAATAATGGTTTTTCTCGAAGATAAAAGACAGCTTCTAAAAATAGTACTTAAAGTTATCAAATTATTGATCAAATTGAGTAATAGAAAATTGCTTTTCTTTTACTAATTTTGTGATCACTAAATTTTAATAACGGAGTGTGGTTTAGAACACATATATAGATCATTCCGTTACTATAACTTTGATTTTTCAAGAAGTGAAATATGAAACTATTATCTTTTCTAAAATAAATAAATCAAAAACATGCACCAAGTTCTTAGTAAGTTCATGGCTCTTGTTTGCCGGGGAATGATGATGGTAGTAGGTCTTGCAACAAACCATTGTCACGAGGGAGTTGGAACTGGTGCTGATGCTGATGTTCTTGTTGGTGTTGTTGCGGCTGGAGATGGAGATTATGGGAAAGGTTTTGTTGGAAGATTGGATTCTGGTGATCATTTTGGCTATAACTTGGAAGCAACTGAGCAAGAAAATCTTGGGGTAAGCTTGACCCCATATAAGAGGAACCAAAAAAGGGAGGTGATGACAACATGCTGGCGGCACTGCCCCTAAGTGTTGCTGGACAGTGATGGTTGTGTTGCCCTTCATATGTTGTGATCACAATTGATGGATCTTGGAATGATCTTTCCACCCTTTTCTTTACACTGCACTTCTGACTGGTGCATCTGTAGTAGCTCCTGCATCAGAAATATCGAGTCTTGTCAGATTCAATATTCATACGTGAAATGTGTAAGTGATGAACATATTAGGAATCCAACTTCGTGATTGGATAGAAGATAACAAAAAACAAGCCATAATAGTGCATAGAAATAAGCCGTTACAAAGGCTTAGTGTAGCTAGGATATGAATCATTACATCCATATGACAATAAATAAGTAAAGGAATAAAAGATTTTTTTTGTGTGTGTGTCAATAGATATATGATGATTTTGGCACACAAATTCGACAACCCTTAATCATTTATTTCGGCCGATACAAAAAAACAAAGCTTCATCATTTTTTTCTTTTGAAACGTTAATGCCCCACGTAGGTAGATAAGAAAATTCAAAATTGGAAAATAATGAACCTTGGGTACGGACTATTCTTGACTGCTTTCTGTCCATATTTTCTCCATCTGTATCCATCTTCAAGGTGATCGATCTCACTTTTAGTCAAGAAGGCAAAACGAGGTTCTCTTGGCTTTTTCTCTTTCTTTTTAGGCTTGTTCCTGAAACGCTCCAAAACATCAGTCAAATTCACCGCAAGATATATATATGGACGTGGCTCATGTAACCCACCAAACCGATAACAATTATTTTAGGGTTAAGTTGTTATATATGATTGTTTCACACTACTTCTCCATTGTAGTCATACACAAAACCTACACAATAATATTTAGCGTTCACGTAGGGCACTGTATATATAGTGTAAGAGAGTATAATACACAACATTGATTGACCAAATTCACTTCATAAGAGACACTGAAAGTCATAAACAACTGAAAAGACACGGAATGATAAATGGGCATCATATAATTGCATTAGTAAATAGTCATTCAAAGAAGAAATTCCAAATTAGATGTATCTCTAGAAAAGAACAGATATTAGCAAGATAATAATCAGATCCCTTTTCATGTGTTATAGAGGAAGAAAAAGAGAAAGTGTACGGGGAAAAACCTTCCCACCCTCCATTGATCTATTAGAAATCACAACGAAATAGGGGGAAAAGAAGAATAAACTAATTAAACCTACTCTTTCTTAGGCTTTTCTTCTCCATCTTCACACCCTTTTGGCTGCTTATCTTTCTTGTGGCTTTTGGTTGAGTCTTCTTCCATCACTGCTTCCGCTTCGTTGGATGATGAGGACACCGATGAATTTGGTGTTGACTGGTTCCCACTGATCCCTGCTGAGTCTCCCGCGCTAGGCTTCTTGGGGTTTTCATCAATGGAGGAGATCACTTCAGATGATGAGCAAGACAGGTCAAAGGCTCTGGAGAGGGTGTTGTAATCCATGGAACCGTGTAAGCAGTCAGTGAAAGTGGTGCGGTGATGAGAAGGATTATGATGATGATGATCAAACCCTTGAAAGTTTTGTGAAGTAATTGGTGCCGAGTTGTTGTCCCTAAAGAATGGAAAGCTTGAAGAGTGGTTGAGTTGTTGTTCATGGTGGTTGTAATGAAAAGGGTCATAAAAACGATCCTTCTCATTCGCCATGGAAGAGAAGAAATGGGAGCAGGAGAAGGTTGGAGGAGGATCAAGGGCGAGAAAAAAAATAAAAATAAAGGTAGCTTTGAGAATGATATTTCAGCTAAGACTTAAATTCGATGTGGTTGCTTGTTATGGGAAAGGGAGCTTTTGGTTTAGAACTTTGTTTTTCTTCTAGCTTTTATTCCTTCTACTTTTGCACCCTCACTTTAGTGTTTGGAGCTAATTGGGGAGTGTTTCCCTATCTTAATCTTTCTAAAGTCAGTGTGTGGTTCATTTTTTTCTAAACCAAATAATCCATTTTTCTTTTTCAAACTATACAAAAACTAAAATTAATTATTATACCTGCTTCTGCATGTGGCGTGATTTCTTGCTCCAATAGTAGTACACCGTATATTCTCAAACAACATCTATTCATATTTTACATCAATTCTTTAACACACTTGAAAATAAATCTTTCATGATTTTTTTGTCTCATGCGAACGATGAAGTTGTCGTCTCATGACCTGAGGTTGCGAATTCAAATCTTAAAAATAGCGAGTCCTCTGTTCATATATATCGTGCAAATTGACATATTTTAAAGGGTGTAAAAGAAATATAAAAGAGTAACATGAGGCAATATTTTAATCCTTAAAAGGCAATTGGTTCGAGAATTATTAATCACTTGGTTGAAATATTTATCACCTATATACATATACTTGATACCGACTTCTCATTTAATTAGAAGCACTCCTCTATTAATTTATTTGATGGTTTTGAATGTAACGAAGGAGAAAGAAAAATATCAAGTTGAAAAATGCTTGCATGCTAAGACGTTTCTCTTTTTCTATAATATATATGTGATGTTAAGAAGGAAACAATACTAGGCATATTTTAAGAAGCTTTTATCGTATGTTTTGAGATCAAAAATGAATTTAAAACATTGACCTCAAATTTACATTGTGTGTTCATTCGAGGTCCACGTACGTGGTTTGGTAGGATCATACATAATAAGTGTGATTCATTGTAATATTATTATATAAAGAAATGTATATATAAATATAGATTATGATTAGTATGATTATTAAAGATTATATATATATATATATATATATATATATATATATATATATATATATATATATATATAGAGAGAGAGAGAGAGAGAGAGAGAGAGAGAGAAGAGAAGTGTCATGGGGGGTCGTAGTCACGTAACACGTTGTTAAGAAGAGGGAGTGGGGTTAGTCAAAAATTCCGACTATACGCATTATTGTGATTTTGGCTTACACGTGTCGTGCGTTTGGGCACCGGCATTTGACCGCAGAGTGGCACGTACGAGAGATTCGTTCGCTCGCTGCTATTGTTGATTTTCCTTTTAATAGAAAAATTAATAGTTTTATATTATATGTTATTAAATAAAATAAAATAAAAAAATAATTTTAAATAGAGTAAATTCAATAATGCAGAATTTGATAGTTTCTATAAGAGAAAAGAAAAATAAAAATTGTTCTGTTCCTGATCACGCCTATGTCTATGTATGTGTGAGTTGTTGTGTTGGTGATGGTGAGTGGGTTTTCACGTCGCATTCCTTTTTGCTTCTCTTTCCTTCCCTTATGCCTTATCGTATATGCTCCTATGCACATATCCTCACACTATCACATTCACATCAAATCAAAATCACCCAAATTAGATGGTCAAAATCTCATGTATCCACTCCAATTAACATTTTTTTTTATTTCAAAAATTGTGAATACATTTTTTCTATGAACAAATTCTACTTACAATATATATTATAGTGTCTCCTAACCAATAAAAAGTACAAAACACCTTTTTATTCTTAATTTCAGTTTGATTGGTTTTGTACACATGGTTCCTGGGAGAGACCAAGTGGTGGTTTGATTCCTTAACAGATGGAAATGTGTGAGAGTGAGAACATTGCATTCCCTTGTCTTCTCAATCTCATCTCAACCATCCATCACCACCGCCCCCATTCAACACTTCCGAAACTACCTTTATTACAAGCTGCAATTTTTAGTTTTGTGTTTTAAAAATTGAAAGTTGATTTTCTTCGATATATTTGTTGTGTTGACCAGAAGAAAATGGATGGGAAACAAGATTCATGATTACCCTTGAAAGCTCTTCACAACAGCATGAGATTGTTGACATATTTGAGTGCTTTTGTGTTGGATTAGACTTTGCTAACTTCAATCTCTCACTTCCTCACATTCTTCCCATACAATGTTAATTTATATCATTATATGCATCAACTCAATGTTCGTTTGAATTCATGCTAAAAGCTCAAATCTTTACATCATACGATTCTCTTCCCTGTATCTAGATTTGAAATCTTAGTATTCTATTAGGCATTTTATTATCACTTAGTTATTCTAATTAGGGTTGTGATGGAACCCAATAAAAAGTATTAAAATGAGGCTTTGTTTCTTTGTTTTTGTTTGTAAAAAACATGTGCATTTCAAAATACAGACTGTTTTGAAAACACAGATTGTTTTTCTAATTTAAATGAATAGTATCAAAATACATAGATTTTGTGAAAAGTAAACAATTAATATGAAAGCAATTTTTAAATTAATAGAACTTATTCCAAATTCACCATCATGCTTCACATTGAAGTCCCCATATTTAAAGAAGAATCACACTAAAAAAATGAATTAACCATGTTTTACACGTGTAAGATTAGTATTTAGAGATATTATCCATATACGTATATAATTTTTATAATCTTTTATATATATATATATATATATATATATATATATATATATAAATTGTATTTCGAAAATTGAGATAAATGATTCGAGAGTGTTAAATTAGGTGTTAAAATATTTTTGCAGATTTTTCCAAGAATTCACGGAAAGATACTTCTAAAATTTACGTCCAAAATTAAGAAAAAAAAAGGGTTTAATAAGTTGGTTAAGAAGATTACATCCCAAACTTGAAGGAAGAGAAAATCCTAATTTTATAAATAAATAATTTACATGTATTAATTCTTTAATGTTCCTGATTCCTCACCCTAACAAGTAACAATATTGATAACATCAGTTGTGAGGTTTCTTAGGTTCCAATCTTTAAGGGTTTAAGATGAGTTATGTTTTTCTTACATAATTTACCAGTGTTCTAATTCTGTGTCTTAGGTTTTGTCTAATATTTGATTCGATTGGAACATGAATAAAATTTAGTTCGGAATTGTTTTCATTAATTATCGAATTTGACAGTGTGTATGATTTCACTTTAGAATCAACATTGTTTCGAACCAAATGCTCAAGAGAACTTGTTTGTAAGTGGAGGGTTGCAGGGTGGAAGGGAGAAAGGGATGATAATGAACTGCGTTAGAGTGACAGTTATGGCTATGGCTGTTCCTTCATGGAGGCCCACGTGCTGCGCTTCTTCTTCTGCTTCTCCAGCCGTCAACAACACAGAGCAACTACGTTCACAACTTGATCATCTTCATGCTGAGGCTGACGCCACCAGAGCCAAGGGTACCCTACGCATTTCAATTCTTCTTCTTCATGCTATTGCTACCTTCTTTTTCATTCTGACTTTTGTTTCTCTATTTGAATTGATGATTTTTGCATAACACCCGTTACAGTCAGCCCAATTAGTACGATTAAGGTTTTAGTTTTTCACTTTTCATTACAATTCTTACCGAAAGAAATATAACTGAAAAGCGATATAAAGGGTTCGTGAAGTAAAGCTTGAGGATTGAGGCTTATATTGAAATGATATGAAGGAGTAATCCATCAATTGGACCTTGAATTATTACTCTTGTAAGAAAAATTACTTACTTAGCTGAAGAAGTATTCAAAGTCATGTTAAGTAGTCCTTAAATATTGAAAAATTCTTCAAATTAGTTTCTGAACTGAACTGAAATTCATCAACTTAGGGAATAAAATGATGGATGTTCAATATTTCATTGTCTGCTTAAACAATTTTATTACTTTAGGAACTATCTAGGAGAAGGGGCAATGGTTTGAGGATGAGATTGGTGGTTTATTCTAATTTAAAGAGTAACTATAAACGTACACCCCAAAATGGGATGTATTGGGGGTGGAAAACAGAGAGAAATTGGAAGAAAAAGTGATAGATAGTGTTGTGATGAAAAGGGAAGAGAAAAAGGAAGAAAAAGGAGTGGAAATTGGATGAAAGGGAAATTGAATGGGTGATTAGTATTTTTCTAATATAAGACTTATGTGATGGTTAACAGCAACTAATGCTAGATTGAGGCTTCTGCGGCTGTCAGAGGCTGCCGAGAAGCTTCAAAAACAGGCAGTTATAAGCATTCAAAAGGGGGAAGAAAATTATGCAAGGGAAATGCTTTTTCAGAGGAAGAAGGTTTTGCAGGCTTTAGACAAGTCTAAAAGACGGATTGAATTGCTTGACGAGCTCTCCGCAAAGCTAAGTGAGGTAAAGTGAATTCATTCGTACGTACAATCTTAGTTTCTATTTTCATTTTGACAATGGTGCCATCATTATCATAAATTTTGATACATTTGAGGGAGAACAGCTCTGTTATGAATTGTTCATATCATTATAGTGTTAGATTCTTAATGTAATGAATGTCCAATATATTTGAGGGAGGGATTTATTTCAAGTGTTTTTGGAAAAGTTGTTAATCGTTTACAAGTAGAGGCATGAGCATCTGTAGTTTCCTTCCATCAGGTCAGTGTATGTCCCGAGCCTCATTTGCTACTATCCTGACATATACAGTATGCACCATGTGAAATTTATCAGTCTCTAGGAAGACAGTAGATGGATGGGGTGGCGTTAACTTTTGAATTTACCTGTCACGAAATTATTTGAAAGGCATCATTTTTTTTACATGGCAAACCCCACTATAATGTTATATCGAGCTGTATAGTTTTTACAATTGCATTTATTTACCAGTTCGAAATACATAAAGTACACGCAGCTTACATTAGATTATTGGATTTTGCTAGAAAACTCATGAGATGTTAAATCATATAACTGGATTTCATATATTCTCGTTTGGTAATTAAGCTTTTAGATCCATCTAACTTGTAGTTCTAAAACTATAAGCTGTTAATATGCTGGTCACTTATAACCATTATGCTGAGAGAAATTAAAAAAAAAAATTAATGATTTTCTATCTTAAATCTATATTTCAGTATGTTCTACTGACTGATGGGCATAACTATACATGTCAACTCAGACTGTTAGTGCCGAATATCTCATGTATTTCAAATGATTTTTTGGGTTTGCATCTATTTATATTGTTTATTCTCTCTTGACCTGTATGTGAATGTTGTTTTTACTTGAAATGATCATTTTTTTTATTAACTTTATGATGAAAGAAAACTATTGTGGTTTCAGGCAATATCTTTGAAAGAAAGTCAGCTAATTGGAAATGTTACTGTGAACATTGAAGACACAAGAGAAGATGCTTTTAGTCCAGTTCGAATTATTGCTCCAAAGGAGGAAGTTCAAAATGATTTCACTAAGGATAATTCGGATCCTGTTACGATGGACTTCGGTGAGATTGAAGATGTGCAACTTTCTATCAATAGTGAAGGAAATCCAATGGATGATAAGGAGATTAAGAATCTTCAAGAAATCCTTAAAATAGAAAGTTCAAATGAAGACAATATAGCCAGAACATTGTCAGAAATATCCTCTTATGAGGATTTCATGGAACATATCGATAAAAAGCTCAATGAAATTGAAGCTGAACTAGTCACTGTTCTGAACGTCTCAACCTTGGTACTGGATAATGAAGAGAGACCAAAGAATTCCAGGTTGCTACAAACAATTGAACTCCTTGAGAGCATCCATGGGATTAGACAGAGGTGCAACTCTTTAATCTATCACAGAAAAATTCTTATTGTCTCCTTTGAAGATTTAACTAAGAAAATCAATTTAGAGTAGGTTATCTTTAGTGATTTTGAATTATTATGAATATTCATATTAAGAGAAAATAATGAAGAAAAGTAACGCAACACCTTTTCAATTTTGAATCTCACAGAATTAGAAGTACCAAGGAGGCAAAACTGAGGATCTGATCAATTTTGTTTTGCTTAACTCATCTTCTACATCCAGGTGAGACAAATTTAATTCGTAAAAAAAAAAATATGCAATTTTTTCTTGTATCCCTTAATCACTTAATGTGGAAACAGGAAAGTTTCATTGAAGATGCTTATTATTAGTTTATTAAAATGAAAAGAGGTGTTCATATATTGATTTACCATTATTCTTTCGAAATTGCAATCATATTATTGGTCATGTAGGAACAGCTTATTGAGAAATTTTCCTAAGATGTAAGGACTAACAATAGCCAAGTGAAGTTGCTTGTCCATTGTCTTTAACCTGTTTTTCAAACTTTCTGACCTTAATCATTCTCGTAAACGTAGTAATGAAGTATTTTTGGAGAATTCCATGAGATGTCCTTTGTGTGTAAGGTAAAGCAGCAATTACCCAGCAGGTTACCCCTAAAAGTTCTTATTGTTGTCATGACTCATGAGGAATTAGATACTTAATCATGCATCTACCTTGTATAAGGCTAAAAGGTTTTTTTTTTTTTTTAGTTTTAAAATATGACTTCCATGATTCACATATTTTATAAGGTTTACTATCTTTTTGTCTCTAAAATTTTTCAGAATTTTTTTAGTCCCTGATCAAAATTTTGACTGATATTAGCCTTTGAAATTTTTTACCATTGTTTTTTTATTATCCAGTAACAACATTAACCGATGAAGTAACAATGAAGTTGACAATCTGGCGATTTGTCACGTTACATATACTTTTAATTATGCTTTTAATTACTCATCAACTGGTATGAACAGATGAGAAATTAACTCATTTATTAATCACTAACTGACCAAACCATTTGTTTTGGTATTATTGCTATGCTATTATTTTAGAAGCTGATTTTTTTAGTCTACTATCGTGATGAATGGTGCAATCCTAAATTTTCGTACCATGTGTTTGCGGAATGTTGAGAACGAAAAATGCATTCATAACTAGACCGCACAAATCTCTGTGAACTAATGTACTAATTATGCTAGTACCTTCAGCAGTTTTCTTGCATATGAAATGTCCCAAGCATGATATTTAAACATATTAGTTTGAAGTAAGGCGTGTTTAACTACTATCACAAATTCACTTGATCACAAACCTACCAATTACAAGATGTGACATGGTAGTCATCATAGAGGGAGCCATTCAGATGGACAGTCCCATTTTCTCCAGTCTCCGAGTGCCTTTTATGCAAGCAAATTGTCAAATATTATTCAGAATAAAGTACCACAAAATTCCAAATTGTGTATTCTTTTTACATTGAGGTATGACATCACATCAGGAAACCAATAGAACTAGCACTACAAAGTGAGAATAATAATGGCCACCCGTGATATTATGCTTTTCAATTTTCAAAGTATTGGTGCAATTAAAGGAAATGCTTCACTTCACTGAGTATCCGTATTTCATGCCTATGGACAACTGATAACAAAATGGTTGGTAATGATGTGCAACAGACTTCTAGGTTTGACCAAAAAATAAAAAATAATAAATGAGGAGCCAATGCTAAAGTTATCTTTTTGGCCTGATGATGGTCTCAGGTTTTAGTAGCGGAAACAGTCACTCGATTCATAGGATAAGACGCAAACATGATACACTCTACATTAGTGGTAGTCTCGTATACTGCTCTGGCCTCTAAGAAGAGATGTTTGAATTAGACAGTTTCCATGAGGTCAGCAAGAGTAATCTTGCCAAACATGCCATGTTCCAAGGAATCAAATTGTTTCCCTATTTGCAGAATGTCTAACTCTGTAATCTTCCCCATTTGCTTAAGCTTGTATATGACAAATTCAGACTTGCTGCACCAATAAAAGTAAAATGGTTAACAAAAATGAATGAAAGTAATACAACTCTGTAATCTAAAGCATTATTTTTTCTCGATTTAAAATAAAATATTCCTTCTTTGAAATGGAGGTACACTATAAATGCACATGTCCAGTATTTCAGTATTAATGAAGGCTGGGTATGAGATGACGAGGGTCGTTTGATTTTTGTCCCCGTCATACTTTTTTAACTGTGCTTTGTAAGGCTAAACAACTATAAGATGTTCAAGGAAACTGATTTACTCAGGTTGCCCTTTGCTATTTTATCATTACTCCCAATTTATCCAATTTATTACTATATACTAAGTGACTAAAACAGGATTTAGCAAAGAACTTCCATTAATATTCTATTCATTCTTTGCTTTTTAAATAGGCCTTGGCTTCTTATAACTATTTTTGTAAACAATGCACTGATTCTGCTGTAATCCATTTATACAAGTGAAAATGATAAGGGAAGATATTATATAAATGCCATACCTGATTGATCCATCATTATCAAGGTCTGCAGCCGCTAAATCTGACAAGGTTATCTTCTTCTGAAGAACCCTTTTTGCCATGTTACGATTTTTCTTGTGAATACTATATTCAGTGAGGTATATAAAGGCCCTGGCAACTGCCAATGTGCTTACCAAAAGCCATATAATTGCAAAGCATCTTCCTGCTACTGTTCTGATAGAAAAATCCCCATAACCAACCGTTGTAACAGAAGTGATGGAGAGATAAATACTGTCATCCCAATTCAGGTCCTCAACAAAGTGCAATGTGACTGTTCCTATAGCTATGCACCCAATGACAACTACCAAGGCCAGACAAACTTTGGTTCTTATCCTCATTCTTCCTTTCTCTGCATCAACCATATACGTCCTGAGAATTTTCTTATATCTATTCTCATCCATCATGCTCAACAAGAAAGCCTCTTGTGTATCGCAAATGTAAGCAACCAACACATTCAGCAGAAAACCAATAAATCCAAAACCCACCAAAATGAAACCACATGTAAAGATTTTAGTAAAAGTGGAGTCAGGAACGATATCTCCATACCCAATTGTGCAGAGAGTTACCATAGTAAAGTACACAGCATCTAAAGGCTTGAAAGTGGTACTGCCCCTGAAACTCCCACTAATCATGTACACTGCTACCCCAGTTGCCACATACAAGAAAACACCAATAAAAGATAGTCTAACTATTAACGTTGATGACTTATGCGGTTCAGAGGGCTCTTGAAAATCTACCCCGGTGTCAGCAAATAATAAAGACGGTGCAGAACGAGAACGTTGGATAATCCTTCCTTTCATGTAGACCAAGTTGGCTATGAGGTTGAAAGAATTCTTAGCTTCATTAGTGATACGAGGAGAACTACACTGGAATTGAGATGGGGCAAGACCAAGATCATGGACTGATAGTTCCTCGGGCAATGGTCTGCTTGGTGTGTCTGCTTCTTCTTTTCCGGAGCAATGGTTCAAGAGGGGCTCCTGCATGGTGCATTCAGATTGCAGTTGAGCAGTGGGGAATAATGATTGCAAGCTAGTATCTGTAACAATCACAGCTTCTTTCAACTACTAGTCAAACCATAGAGAAGAATGGGGGGTACACGCTCTGTTGTGGCCGAGTCTTAATTCATATGGCTTCATATGGCCGAGTCTCATGCATTATTAATATATGTTTCATTGCACAAACTTTATTCTAATAAGGAGAGACAGTCATCAGAAAATTTAGAGAAAAGACAAGTTACAGCTACTTGATGAGGTCAAAGTTCATAAAACTCAAAAAATAGAAGAATTCCATGGAAAACTTCCACTGTATTGATATGGTATTCTTTCCATTTTAGAAGTACTAACCCTCACCTTTTCACCTTCTATTTTTTTTTTTTTTTATTGTCTTCAAATCAATTACTTTCTCTCTCTCTTTTTATTTATTTATTTAAAGTAATGCACTTAAGGAGAGAATAAGACCATTTAAATAAAATTCTTCAAAAAATAATATATTTACTGTTGTTCTTAATACAAATACAATAACATTACGTTAGAGTCACTGTGAAATGGAAAGAGTAAAAGGTAGAGGAAATTTCAGCTCTGTTTAGATAGTTTATTGGAGAGGTAATTAATAATTAACAAACATCATCAACAACATAACTAATTAAGAAATTTCAACTAATTAACATCCTATAACACAAGTGAAATTCTTTTACTTTAATTTCAATTAACAAACTACCAACATTAATAATATGTTTGGCAGACAAAATATGATATCCTATTCTAATTTGTTGTTTGTTCTGTCAACATAATATGATAATATGATGGTGTTATTTTGTAACTTATCTCAGTGTATTGTATTCATTAACATAAGGTGGGCTAGGTGTAACAGGAGATGATAACTCTCCCACAATTTATATATACAGTATTTTTCAAGTCCTTATTATTAACCATAAATAAATATAAAATATCATTTAAAATAATTATATTTTTAAATTCTTCAATTAAATAATATAGCTGATATTTTTTTATAACCAAGATAATCACTAATATTTTTTAATTTTTAATGTATTTCGAACAATAAATTTTATATTTTTTAGAATAATAATCAATTTCTTATTATAAAGTATTATTTGAAGAAAAGTATTAATTTCAATTTCAGAATTATACATTATTCATTTTACTTTTAAAGAATAATTAGTGACAAATATCTTAATATATTATGAGTAAAATTATTTTACATTAGTTTTAAATTCTATTTTATATACTACATAATAATTCTAAAAAATAAATTATATTTTGTTCTTTTTTCTTTAACGGTAAAATCTCTGTTTAAAATAAAAAAATTTAGACTAGTTCAAAATTAGTATATAGAAAATAAATTAGAAGTGTCTAACTATACAATGATTATTTTTATTAAAAATATAATATTAAAAATAAATTATTGGATGAAAAAAATAAAATATTATTTATAATTATCTTATTTATTTATATTGAATAAAAAATATATTACTTAATTAAATTATATTTTTATTACATTAATTACATTAATATTGTCTATTTTTAGCCCTCAAATCGACCATAATTTTCTACGAGAACTAAAAAGAAATAATGGTTAAAAAATGTCATATATTTAAAACTAAAAAATATTTTTGATAATTAAAAATATACTTAATATTAGTTTATAATATATTATGTCATTATTTAGTTTATTATCTTATCATATTATGTTCTCTTATTTTATTATATCGTATAGACTAAACCATCCCTAAATGTCTCATTGTGTGTGAAGAAAAGAAAGAGAGTGCTCAATATACTCGTAGCAAAATTAAATTAATTTCTTTTTTATATTTAAAATATATTACAACAACAAAATAAGAAAAATTAGAATTTTTTACCTGAATCTCCATTTTTGAAACTTCAAAATTATCTTCAATTGTGTGAAAACAATATGCAATCTTAGAGCAATATATGATTATAACTCTTTGATGAGGAAAGAGTGAAACCCTGGAAAACAAAAACAGTTTTTTAAAATTTGGGTGTATACAAAATAGAGTGGAATGAGAAAGATCACACTAATGTATCCCTTTAAATAGAAATTATTAGAAATATACTTTTTAGGGAAACTTTTGATTATATATTTATGTGTTTCCAATTTTTTCCATTACCTTATTTTAAATCACATTTGAAAATAATTGCTTTTAGTTTATGTTTGTATTTTTACATGCTACCAAAAAAAGTATAATGGCTGATAATGCTATTTCTTTTTTTAGCTTTATCAGGAGGATGCCCTAAAATAGTTCCTTCACTGATAAAATCATATTAATATTAATCAGAAAAAGGGTTATTAGTCATCTGTGTAATCATCTTCATCTAAGCACCCAAAGATTTCAAGAGATTAATCATTTTGCAAGTCAAATCAGCCTTGGAATAATTTACTTTTTTACATTTCAACATATCTGATTTCAGTATCACCTGATAGGGTTATAGCAAAAACAAAAACAAAAACAAAAACAACTTGAGACTGAACAACTTTGACATCATAAAATGATGTTTTGTAACCTTTGGTTGCCGAAATCCTTCACTTTGAGTTGAGGAACATCCTTGTGAGACACCTTTTTTCGTACTTGCACGTGAGTTTCTGCCTCATGTTGAAACATCGTGACTAGATCTTGAAGCTCTTGTTTTCTCAGTGCAACATTTTCTTCAATGCTGGGTTTTTTCACCCCAAGAATAAGCAATCCAATTCCAATCAGCACAACCCCTAGCGCAAAGAGAACCACGGAGAACAGAAGAAAGGCATAAGGAGATCCTGAAGATCCAGGTATTCCATCCACATTTATGCCAAATAGTCCAGTGATGATGGAAAGAATAAGACCACAACCCCCAAATATTCCCAAGTTATGGGTAACTGTGAGGCTTCTGTCCTAAAATAAGTAAGAATATGTGATTATTTTGACACAATAAACTCCATATTTTCTATATTTCAATTAAAAATATTTAAAACTGGACTGACACCAAACACACACATGAATATATGTCAAGACTAAAGTATCATTTAGAATTATACAATTTAAACAGGTATCTACTGAGACAAATTTTAGTTTGCATTTACAATCATATAAACGCCATTAAGTAAATATATTACAAGAAATACATTTTTACTTGGTTAAAATATTAAAGTAAATCCTTTTTTAGTCCTCCAAAGATAAAGAGACAATCCAAGTGCTTATCATTTCCACATTATTTTGTACAAAATATCATGCACCAGTAGTAATGTCTTTTATACTGGATGAACTTGGGTACATAAATCAACCCAATGAAACATATTTAGCTTACTAATTTATAGATTATAGTTCTGTAGTTGGTGAAAATTCAAAACCTGCAACCATGCCCGAACTGTGCTTTGCATGACATCTTGGATCGTGAATAAGCGACCTCGAACTGCTTCTTGCTCCTCAATCATGTCCCTTGTACTCTTTATTATACTTTGCAGCAACTCTCTTGCTGCATTTCCTCTCAGCTGTTGAAGAAGTTCAAAAACAATTTCCTCTCGAGCATGGAGTGACCATTTCACTCTTATAACCTATTAGGTCATACAAGAGATAAAGACATAATTAAGAACCAAGAACTCATAAGCTAGACGTTAATATAATTAAGAATTACATCACCAAATAAAGATTTTTCCTAATGAATGTAAGACTCTACAGCATAATCAACAATAATATAATTCACAAAACTATAAGTTCATACCAGACCTTCTACCAGTACAGCATTAGTCGTTCAGTAATTGCATAATTACCTGGGTTGATAATCTTCTAATTTCTTGGTTCAGTATTATAGGAAACAGATGTAAATCCTCGTGGTTCCTCCTACCAGGAAGGAAAGAACATTGTGTATCCATGTTACACAAAAAGAAAGATAAAATATGCACCTATGCTACACTTCTTAATCTTATATATAATGGTCCAATACGATCACCTGTTCATAAACATCAATTCAACTTCATCTGCAGCTCCAAATATGTGTTTACGAAACAACCTATGATATCATACACATTAGCTAGAAATAATTATGAGCACACTGCATACTAGGTTAAAAGTTCATATTATGATTATGAACGACAAACAGATAAAGCAGTTCCATATATTCGTGCAAATTTACACACACTCTTCTAGTGTGATATTTGTTCAAAAATATTTTTTGCTCCAGTCTGTGTGTAATTTAATCCAATCTAACTAGCAACTGAACCTAGAAAAAGTATACCTATGTATATATGCTTGCATGTGAGATAGAGTCCACGAGGCAGATTTAATTTGAAGAATTGCCATCCTTGTAAACTTTACCTTGATAAAAAGCATCATCTTTGAAATTTTGATATTCATAGTTCAGGAGTAAATTTAATTACAACATTTCCAACTGATTCAAACTAGATTATGATTATCTTATATTTGGAGGTCATATATAGAATTATCAGGGGAAGAAAACAAAATTAAAAACTAACTATAAGGCGCAGAGTAATCATCAACAAAAAAAGTAATGAAATAATATAATTTGGTAACCAGATGTAAATAGTATTAACCTATCATCCCATCGGGCAAGTCGGCAGGCTAGGTGTGCTACGACCTCATGAATGCTGCATGGTATGTTAGCACCTCCTGCAGCCAGCAGTTCCTGCATATTTGAAGGCAGCTGCTAAGGACAAACATAGTTATGCTTCTGGCAGAATAATTCTTTAAGTTTCTCTCAGAACTGCATGAATTTCATTCATTCAATTTATTCGTTATATCATAAATTACTACCTTCCAATTAAATTTAATAAACTTCAATGGTTAGAACCACAACAACAGAGGACCATATATGTCTGATTAATTAGGGAGAAAAAGACTAACTGACCTGAACTTCTAAAATACCTAGCACGTTGATATTTGATGCAGAGCCCTTAACATGCAGAGCAGTCACCAAAAAGTTTTGTGCCTGCCATGCCCGTAAGACAATAGGAATGTCATCTTCCTCAGCAAATGGATCGCCAGCAGATTGCCCGAGAAGTTCAAGCAATAATCCTCCAGCAACTCGAACAGGAACCTACCAAAATAAACACCAATAATCAAAAGCTTATCTTATTATAAAATCAAATGTTTTTTCACCTACAGAGATCGAGTTATTGATTTTACAGAAAGAAGGGCAACCATTAAGACATTTTCTGAATACACCCATTTGCACAATGGTAGCAACAAATTCAATTTTTTCAAACATAAAATTAACAATTGAACTTTCAGGTCTCGAACGTCACTAGTTTACTTAATTACCTCATAGAGAAGGTGTTTCATTCTATCACTTATTAATCTGCTTTCTTCTTGCAAAGCAAGGCTGATGGCAGGATGCAACCAGCGAGAACTACCAAACCATGCAGTAACAAAAGGATCAGCAGCATCCAAATGACACCACCAAATGGGCCCCACTGGCCGTTCCCAGTAAGGAGTTGCTACATCAGCAACAGGAATATCACTCTCATCATCTGTGAAATCAAAGGAGTGTGCATGCACTGCCTGGTCAAGTTCAGAAACTCTATCCCAACCAATTGGTCTCCAATAACTCCTTGGAAGATCTTCTTTGCAATGGAAATCAGGTTGAACTGGCTGGTGATCCTTCTCACCCAAATCGTCATGTGATTCAAGCAAACTGCTTCCACTTTGGTTCATTTGAAACCCCTTCTTCTTGGTATGTCCCTTTTCCCTCACGAATTCAAAAGCACAAATAAGTCCATTTGTCCAAAGTTCCCCGACTTGTATACTACCTTTGATTGAAAAATGCGTTTTTTTATTTCCCTTCTTCATTTCATTCCCAATTGAAGCTGAATATTCTTCATTCATCGCATGAATGTCGCTTTCAAGAAGAGGAACCAGAGCCTCCACTACCATTGATTGGGGGGGAGTCAAACTCCCTAATTAAAATCGCTGCATCATCACCCAAGGAAATAACAATTAATGTAAACTTGAACACACTAATGATTCATAAAACACGCGGCAAATTGAAATATCAATCACAAAGTTTCATGAGTTGAACTTGTGCTTAATTTAGACTAACAATCACAAAGTTACTTCTATTTTGTCATAAACATGGATGCAATGTCTGCAAATAGAAGTTTTATTTTATTAGTGCTATGGTCTCAATTTGGATGCAAAGCATAAAAGTAAAAACAAATTGAGAAAAAGAGGCATACTTGAAGCCCAGAAGCCATGGGTTTTATAGGAGAACCGCTACGATGGTCATGTTCACTGTCACTTTCACGCACTCTCAACCTCTTTCATATGACGCTAACCATTCAAACACCAATTTGCGTTTTTTTTTTTTCTACTTCCATTCTCACTTTAATTACGTCATCAGTTTAAAAAATAAAGTTATATTTATAAACACAAAATATATTTTTACAAATTGATTTATATATAAATTAAGAATATCATTTTCTATACAAAAATGATTCAATATACATAATTTTAGATTAAACGTAAGTAACGATTCTGCTACATTTGACTTAACAACAAACAAATTCAGTCTGTAGTTACAACCTCAACACAACTAATCCTGAATCATGTCAAGACTCCGAAAGCACGAGAGCCTTTCTCCCCGCCTTCTACTGTTCTACTACCTAACATAGACCAGGTGCAGAGAGTTTGTTAAACAAAAAAGCTTCACACCCTTGTGATTGTGGGGAACAAAGCTCGCTAATAAAGTTCTCTCTGTTGTTTCCTTCATTGGGTCATGGCACTGTGCCAACATCTTTCATCTTACGCATAGAGTCCTAGTTATGGTTTCCAAACACCTAATATGGCCTTCTCACTATACTTTTATACAGTCTCAAGTTCTGGTTCACAGTATACAAGTTCAGGAACAATAACTAGAATAGCTTGGAGATTTTCAAGATTTGTTATCCAACAGAGAACATCAACATTTGCTAATCATTAACAGCTATCGCTCTTATCTTTCCTCTATTTCTTTCTTTCATTTTGACAGTTAACAGTTTGCTAACGTGGGAAAAACTGTTTGTATTGTTAGTTACAGAGCTAACAGAATAGTTGAAGTATTAGACACTTGATCATTTTCTTCAAATTTCCCTCTCCCTCGCTCTTCTTTCTCTAAGCAATCTAACCCCTTTTTTCCATGAGGGAGTGGAATAGAGTATTCAATTACATATGCATCAGAAAGAACTGAACATGCATCTGGGGCTAGGAACATAGGCATGCAATTCTATGTTATAATAATGCGAGAAAGATGGTGTAGGTGGCTAAGATTGGGAGGTAAAGTGTAATAATTACATGCCATGAGATATCTGTTGGGGAAGGCAATTGACATGAGCCAAGTTAGTCAGAGTTAGGCATAGTTATGCATAAAACAACAATTTTTGGTTGGTTGGTATTACTTAACTCCATCCTAAAAAACAATCATTCTTTTGGGGTCCTATAAAATTTATTGTCATAATTCAACTACTTAAGCTTTTCTATGAAGCAGAAGAGAGCGATTTCCACTTTGTTACTTCACATTTGCCTCAAAGTGTCTTTTGTTTGGCGAAATGGATAGAAAGCAAGAACAAGACAAGGGGAATTCTAACATGTCTGGCATTGATGTTACTCTAATAACTCCCAAAGTCCCAAAAGCAGTTTCACCTGTTTCTTCAGCAGCAGAGGGGGACACCTTAAGGCGGCCACGTGGCCGGCCAGCAGGCTCGAAAAACAAACCTAAGCCACCAATAATTGTCACCAGAGATAGCGCTAACGCACTGAAGGCTCATGCCATGGAAGTGAGTTCAGGCTGTGATGTAAATGAAAGTTTGTTGAACTTTGCAAGGAGAAAGCAACGTGGCCTTTACATACTCAATGGGACAGGCTGCGTAACAAATGTAACACTGCGCCAGCCAGGTTCATCTGGTGCCATTGTAACCCTTCATGGTAGGTTTGAGATTCTGTCACTGCTGGGGTCAATCCTTCCCCCACCAGCCCCTCCAGGGATCACAGGCCTCACAATTTACTTGGCAGGTGCTCAAGGGCAAGTTGTGGGCGGTGCTGTGGTTGGTGCTTTGATTGCTTCCGGCCCTCTAGTAATCATGGCTGCATCCTTCATGCATGCCACTTTCGATCGTCTGCCTTTAGAAGATGATGAACTTGTTGCTGCAATGCAGAATCAGCATTACCAAAATGGACGCACCCACCATCTTGATATCTCTGACTTGTACGCAATGCCGCAGAACCTCCTCATGAATGGTACAATGCCCCCGGAGATATACTCTTGGGCACCAGGGCGGAACTTATCAAAAACCTGAAACTTAGCACTCTATTTGTTGTTGTCTCACATCCATACAATGCACTATAGTGTAGCTATTATATCTCCAGGTTCATGTACAAGCAAGGGGTCTTCCAAGGTTGACGGTGCTAAACAAGATGATATGCTTAATGCTTATTCTACTGTATTACAATTATTTTAGAAAATTAATGAGTGTAATGATTTTCAATATAATAAGATCTACTTTTCAGTGTTAATACTGTTTATAGCAGAATTTGGTGTTTGAACTTCAAAGCAAAACATGCATGAAGCACAGATGTTGAGATTAGCAAGTCTAGCAGGTTCAAAACTCATCACCATAAAAAAAAAAAAAAGTATTTTAGTTACCACTACACTAAACCAGCTAACAGTAAAAGTTGAAAAAGTATTAATACTATTTTTTCTTTCTGGAAACGTAATGTAAGGATTTGAGTCACCTGATGCATATGTCAGTCCGAGATTCAAATTTGTAGAAGTTTTAACAGACACCAGTATTCTAAATAAATTACCAATATGACTTGAATAATTTGGGAAGACGTAATATTAACAATAATGAAATCGATTTTTTCTTATTAGAATTTCATGCATTGTCATATGCCTCAACGTTTCTCTTTCTTCTTTAAGCACTTTATTCCCCTAAACAAACTATAAATCCCAAGGTACTACTGGCAAGGAAAGTGGATATTCAGTTCGATTGTGAGATCCTCGTATATTGTAACTCTTCTCTGTATTAAAGCTACTTCATTAGATACAGATTGATTTTAAAATTTCACAAGTTCATCACTTCGGAGATATTCAATCTTGTAGTGGAAAACCGGAGTCATTCAGTAAAGAGTAAATTTCTCTATCTTTAGGGTGTAGCCTCCCCCCTGCTAAGAACTCATGAACCTCTCCATATAGTTCTATTGAACTGCATCCTGGTTCCTTCTCTACCAATCTTTCTTTCATCAAAATTCTGTGCTCCAATGCCTCTTCAAATTGGATGGATGAAGCCTTAACACTGGACATAAGTAAATAACCGCTGGCTTCACTTGGATTTAACTTAAAAACTCTTTGTGCAGCTCGTTTTGCAATATCTACATTCCCGTGCTTCCTACAAGATGAGAGCAAAGATCCCCATATAATAAAATCTGCCTCTATAGACATACCCTTTATTAGTTCTTCTGCTTCTTCTAGGAGCGCAGCATGACCTAGCACTTCGACCATGCAAGTGTAGTGCTTTATTGATGGCTCAATCTCATACTTATCCATCATAAGTGCAAAATAGTCCCTTGCTTTTTCTACTGCTCCTGAATGTTTGCAAGCAGTTAAAACACCAATGAAACTTACGCTGTCTGGCTTCAAATTTGAGGAGTCAAGCTTAGAGAAGTACTCAATTGCTTCCCTCTCATGACCATTCATGGCTAGTCCTATTATAATAGAGTTCCAACATGATAATCCTTTTCTGGGTGATGCCTCAAACACTTCAATAGCCTTTTCAATAGATCCACACTTGCAGTACATGTCAATTATTGCCGTAAGAACAATGACATTCAACTCAAAATGACCCCTTTTTATATAATCATGAACCCATTCCCCATGTTGAAGTGCTCCTAAATGGGCACAAGCACTTAGCAAGCTCACCATTGTAAACTCACTAGGTTCAACCCTTTCTCCCTGCATCTTGCGGAAAAGCTGCAATGCCTCCATTAGCCTCCCATTCCTAACATATCCACTTATCATAGAATTCCAACTAACTGCTGTTCTTGTAGGCATCTTATCAAACAAAATCCTAGATTGTTCAACTTCCCCACACTTAGCAAGTCCCATAATCATTGAATTGCAAGCTACCACATCAAGTTCCAAGAGTTCATCAAACACTCTTCTCGCCTCACCCATTAATCCACTATTAGCGTACATGTACAAGATAGTATTACCAATAAACTGGTCTTTTTCAAGCCCCAACTTTACAACCCTCCCATGAAGCTGAGCTCCATCACGGCCAGCACCCAATTGAGCATAAGCCTTGAAAACAGAAGGGTAAGTGAGCCGCTGGGGTTCAACAGCAGAATACAACATATCAACAAATAGAGAAATTGCAAATTGAGGGGTTGAGCTCCGAGAGAAGCCTCTGATGATGGTGTTCCAACAATACAGATTTGGGTTTGGAATCGTGGTGAAGACCGAGTAAGCATAGTTTATGTCACCAGATGAAGTGGTACAGAAAGTGAGAACACGGCTAGCGGCAATGTTGTCAAGAGCAAGACCAGTTTTGATGATGTGGGTATGAATCTTTTGGAGGTCTTTCATGTTGGTGCATTGGTTTTGGAGCATGGTAAGGCATGGGTGGTCAGAGATGAAGTTTGCTATGGAGGGTGATGATGATGGAGGAAGTGCAGAACAAAGAGTTGACATTGTGTGGTCACGAAACTGTGATGCAGATGATGATGATGATCTCAAGAATCTACAAGAGTCACGGACCAACGTTTATAATAGATAACTTCATTTCTAAAAAGAAGTGTATTTTACTATTCAAGACTGAAATAACATATCTGTCAGAAGAACATGAGAAATATCCCTGAGGGCTCCATTAAATAAATTTTATCAAGATTCATAATGAAGTGTTTATTTTGGGTGAGCTAGAGTAAGTGTTCAATTCACAGTGATAATGCATATCAAAGTAAAAAACTTTTTTTCTTATGAAAAAACTTAATACTATTTAAGGTAATGTTAAACATTAAAATGTAAATATATTTTTGTTTACTATTTTTAAAAATATTTTTCAATACTTTAACTATAAAAAAATTAAAAATAAATATTATAATTATTTTATTAAAATAAATTTAAAATATGTTTCTTTTTAATTTCAAAAATTGAATACATATAAACCACTTTCATTATTATAAAATTATTAAAATCATCTTTAAAATTTTATTTTATAATTTTTCAGCAATATTATTTTTTATTTTCAAACTAATGATATAAAACATTTTTTCTCAACTAGTTTTCAAAAATAATTTCTAAATTTATCTGTAAAATTATTTTTTAAAAATTTAAAATTAAGTTAAATGAAACAATTTTTTTATTTTTTATAGTGTAAAGAAAAAAGTATAATATAAAATAAAGGAAATAAAAAAGAAAAGTAAAAAAAATATATAAGATTTTTTGTATTAAATATAAGAGAATAAAAATGAGATAAAATATATGTATTATTAATTATATTTATTTTTTATTATAATTAATATTATTTTTTAGTGATTCTTATTTAAAAAATAATCTCATCATTAATTATGAGTATAATCGATTAATGGAATGTTTTTAACCATTAAAATATATTTAAAAAGGATAAAATAATCATTATGGAATTATGGTAGTTTTTTTTTCACCATATTACTTATAAAGTGGGTAATTTTTTTGAATATATATATATATATATATATTGAACCAACATGACCTGACTTGCAAATTCAATTCTTCCAGTACAGTAAATTAATTGTAATAAACAAATACTCAATGATTAATAATTTCAATCAATAAATGTTATTTTACGTTAATTTTTTAAATTTCTGCAAATAGAAATATATTTATTTTAATCATTAAAAAATCATTTATTTATTTGTTCATAAAATAAGTGTCACTTTTTATCCTTATTTATAAAAATAAAGACTAAATATAGCACATCTCCTTAAATGAAAAAGAAAATTACATTTTAAACTAAAACAATATTATCTTATATTTACAAGAGTTAATGAAACATATCTAATTTTTCATGAAAATTTGATTTGAAACAACGTTAAAAAAGCGTCTTCATCGTTGTTCAGTAAGAACATCTCTGATGATGTAATTCATCAGAGTTAAATAAATTTATTGTTTATAGTTTTATATAATCCCCATCACTTATTTGAACTTCGTACAACTAAACTACATGAGTAACCAATTATTTGAAAGGTGCTACTCTATTCTAATAGCTCCACACATAACAGTGCAACCCAATTTAAGGTGTGAAACAAACTCTGGTCTGAAATGCTGTGTGTGAACAAACTCTAGCTGCATTGGAGTTTGTCCAAGGTAACTTTGGGCCATTGGTCAAATCACATTGTTTTCTAACCACATGCTGATTATCACATGGACCACCCACATGAACCCCCCTCTAATTTCGCCACATTATAATCACAAACAAAAAGTTATCCATGACTGACTATGGTAAAAATCTTTACTTAGAAGAGGAATGAAATTGCAAGTAACTTCTTGTGGGAATTGAATGACTCAGACACAAGTGGTTTTCACTTGAAGAAAGTTAGACTTTTGTGGTGATGAACAAACATGGGACATGGGTTGGGCTGCAACATCATGGCCACCGTTCTTTACAACAAACAAGGAATCTGTTAAAGCACAAAATTATGAAAAAAGCTGATAGTACAATCAAATGGCAGTAAAAATAAGTAATACACTTTCCCTCCTGCACGTAGAAGTCACACTCAAACAACTACCCAACCGTGTCACACCTTCATTGCAAACAAAAACATCACAACTGAAAACAATACCTTTCATAATTTTCCCTTGATGCAGGAACATAACTGTGTTAAGACAAGACATAAAAAAATATGAGAGAAGCACAATATGCAAAATACAAAAATAAACCACTACTAATATAAACATAATCTAAGACTTGCACAACAAAGTACTAACAGATTGCAAGACAGTTAAAATTGTGAGATTTATATTCTGATAAGCATAAAGGAGAAAAAGAAGAGTAGAAGAAGAAGGAGGAAGAGGATTGGAATAAGTCATACACAACAGTAAAAAAGTGGAGAATAGGAAAAGAGAAAGCCAAAATGTACACATAAGCGCCATCATTACAATCATCACTTACAAGCCCACAAACCAAGTCTATATTCCAAACAATTCTTCCATTACTTCGTTCCCAACCTTCTTCTTCCACACCTTTTTGCTCCTTCTCTTGGCTTGCACTCTCCAACACTCTCTCCCTCACTACACCCCATTTTTCTTAGATCCTCTTCTTTGTCCCTAACAACCGCATGTAGTCTTCCACTACCATTATATATACTTTTAGTTGCATGATTAGCCACACAGAACAAACATCTTCCCTTTTTTCTTCTATAGACCATTTACCATTTTCCATCATATCTTCCTTTCTCTTTCATTGATTCAAAGGAACAACTACTAAAACCGGCAAACTACATTGATGAGCAAGTGCTACAGAAGAAGCTGAATAGTAAAATCAAACATGGAAAGGAGTGCATTTTACTGTGCAATATTTCTCCTAGTGTGTCAATTCCTCTGTTCAGGTAATCCCCTCTCTAGTTTGTTCTATAGTTATTCTATCTTCTCTCTCATTTTGTTTTTGGTTTAGCTCTGATGATCCTATATTGAAATGGGTAGCTCAGTTGCTTCTGGTTTTAAGATATTGTTTCTCAATTCTCACTGTCTTTGGCTCCCACTTTTCTTCTGTGTTCAATTGCTTATTCTTTATCTTTTGCACATATTTTGTGCTTTTCTCTTTGACTAATCTTACTTTGGACTCCTTGAACATGTTTTGAATTCTGAAACCACAAAACACTTTTCCTTCTCTCAAGTTTGGCATTTCAATTGCTTTATTCTCTTCTAGTTTTTCAACTAAACTTGTATCAGTATGGATATATATGTTGGACTGATTTGGAGCAAATCACTTTTGTTCCCAATCCTGGATTCTTTCTGTTGGAATATAGTTTACTAATTGAGCTTTCTACTGTTTCTTTTTTATGGATAATAATTTCCTCGATCAAAATATTGTCTCTTGTATTATTCCATTAAATACTTGTTCCAGCAATTATAGAGCCACACACACCATAGAAAAATTTAAACAAGTCCTTTTCTTGCTCATTTTTCTCGGGTGTCACATAGGACAGTTGCATCCAACCTTTCTCCAGTTCCACCGTTTCTTGGAAAGATACAAAGGGCCCAACTGTTTTGACTCCTGTATGCCTCTCTGTACATAGGATACCACATGTCCTTAACTGCCCATCTAGATGCCCTGTTACAAGTTGTTGCCTTTTGAAATAATAGAGAGGTCTAAGGGCATAAATATAACCATTAGTTTGTTTGAATCAAATTTTCCACAACTTTCTACTGAATAGCATAACAGATTTTGTTTTCCATACAGGGTAAATAAATGCAATAGTCTTATAGGAAAAATTTGAATCCAGCTACACTTTTTTTTGCCCCCCTCTGAAAAAGAAAAGGGCTTGAACCCATTTCAAAATCTATATTTGATTTATCTCTTCACATGCTTTAGACAAAGTGGTACAGAACAAAAGTAACTCAATTGTCATTTCAAACACAGGTTCAAGTAGGACAGTGAAGGAAGTACCTGGACATGTGAATGTACTAGGACATGATCAAAGGAAACAAGAATTCACTGCCTCAATTTCCACAGTCCAAAGGGATATTACCACTCCCATCCCTACCATTCCCAACTTAGTTCCCACCACTCCCACCATTTCAACATCCCCATTCCTCAATCCTAATTCCGATCCAGACACTGTCTCTCCAGCTTCCACACTCCCTTTTACCACTCCAACCACTGTGAATTCCCCAATGTCTTCAGGTGCAAGCTGGTGTATTGCTAGCCCAACTGCCTCACAGACTACCTTGCAAGTTGCATTGGACTATGCCTGTGGCTATGGTGGTGCTGACTGCTCAGCAATTCAATCTGGTGGAAGCTGCTACAACCCAAATTCCATCAGAGACCATGCTTCTTATGCCTTCAACAAGTATTATCAAAAGAATCCTGTCCCAAATAGCTGCAATTTTGGTGGAACTGCTGTCATCATTAGCACTAACCCAAGTAAGGCTTTTGCTGCTATAACTCTCACTGACACTTTTTTCAATAATGTTACATGCATTTTAATTGTTGGGAAAATTAAAAATTTAAATGAAAGTTCGTTTTAAGTATATTTTCTTTCTTTATTGGTAAAAAAAATTCACAAATTTAACTTTATTATTTTAATTGTACTAAAAGGTTAAGATAACACTCTAATAAAGTGTCACGTTAATATAATCATACTAAAGCAATTGGATGACCCATATTATTTAAGTAAAAGGTCGAGAAGTTAAAAAAAAAGAGAGAAAATTGCAATTGAACTTAAAAACTATAAGGTGAACTTTACTAGTAAATGATAGCATTAAAAAAGAAAAGGAGACCAGAAAAATAGTAGTAGAAGTGTTTGCCAAATTGTTTCACAGATATATATATATATATAGGATTGTAGGGTCACTTGGGTTGGTAACCGGACACATTCCTGTTTATGATTGTTGGGTTCCCTTTTGAACAGACTAGAAAAAGAAGAAACTTTTTTATTTCATCTTTGATTAGATTGTAGACTGTGACTTGGGGTTGGGATGCATGAGCCAAAACCATTTGAGTGATGCAAAAGTCAAACTTTTTTCAACTTTTTTGGAAGCACCATCTTCAAAGCTTGCTTTATGTATTGTCACAATTATCTATAACAAGAATTGCTGTTCATCTCAAGTTTTTCATTAAATCTGCATACAAAACTAGTAGAGTACTGATAATTGTGAATTAAAAAATGTCCTGCTTATTAACCAAATATAAATTTGTAATATTCACTCTGACCCACCACGTGTCCAACTTACAACAACTTTTTTCTTCCACCATAACAGTACCTTTATCTAGTACTGCACAAAACATGTACATTTAAATTTGATATGTTTGTTTTGTTCTCAGCGCACAGCACGCTACAAACATCAGTATTATTCAATAAATATATATATATATATATATATATATATATATATATATATATATTTTTTTTTTTTTGGTTGTTGAGAACATTTGATGGATGCTTCAGTTGTTTTGCAGGTACTGGGGCATGTCAATATCCATCCACTAGGTGACCCTTCCTTTCTCATATATAATATATACTTTCATTCATTTTATTTTATTTTATTTCATATGCGCATTATGGTTTCATTTGTTATTATGTTGCAACAATTGGAAGAAAAAATATGACCATATAGTTACTAAATTGGTGTCAAAATTACAGCACTAGTACATCAGTGTTGAACACAACAAACTCAAGCGGTGCAAATGTTTTTGGTTCAGTGCCAGTGCCCACAAACCCCTCTCCCTCTGCTGCAGCACCTGACACATTAAATAGCGTTGCAGATATTTGTGTTATTGTGTGGATAATTTCATTTTTAGAAAGAACTTATCTCTAATGTTTGAGAGTTGGATGCACTGCTGCTCTGAGCATACAAATTTTGCCCCTTTTACAGGCTTTTTGGGAGACACAAAGCAAATAGTAGCCCCATGACCATCAACAGCACATAAAAGGGCAATATATATATTACTGTACATATTTTTCGTTAAATTTTCTGTGTTGTTTCACATTTTTCTGCTGAATTTTTAAAACTTAGAAAAAATAACATATCTTTGAAGCTTCCTTATCTGTTTAATCATATAAATTAGGATCATTTTTGTTGTCTTTAACTCGAAAGTCTGATATGTAGTGCCAGAGTCAAAGACAAACATTTATTATTTTTTTTTTGTATTACTTTACACGAATTAGAAACTTGAAAAGCAAAGAGTAATGATTACCTGTATAAAATATCGTGGTGATAGAACAATTTGGACAACTAAAATAGCTTCTTTTTTTTCCTTAATGAATTGTTCATGTGAAACTTTGCAATATAGTTGTACACAAATTGATTTAAATCCAACTCGTTATTTTCTTTCATAGTGTGATTAAGATGAATGTTAGCATAGTGGGGATGTGAACTTTTGGCTCTGACCACTGGAATTTGTTCACTTGTCATGTACTAGATATCCCACAGGGCATTGGTCCCCTACTCATTGTGTTTGTGGTATACTGCTTTGCAGCCATAATAATAATTGAAATTGATCTGGAAGATCAGTTTGGTAAATTCCCACATCTTGAACTGCATGCAGATAAGGAAGAGGATAAACAGTGTTATGCCATTTTCCAACCACTGCAGTGCAGTGATTAACTTTTTCAGTCACTACACAAAACAACCAACAACCATCTTTACCTTCACGAGTAATGACCTGAACTACCTTCTAGAAACACATCTCCATTACCATCAATGTCACAGGAAAAAATAAAATAAAATTACGTTTAGAGTATAAATAGATGTACGAAGTTAAGTTAAATATCCAAAGAAAAATATATATATTTAAATCAACCTCATTCAATTCCTATGAAATTAGTTCTTTTAGATAATACATGTAGTTTGTCCATGTAAAAATCAATACTTTTTTAAATCTCCTTCAGATACAGTAGTATCAAATTATAAATTTGATCTTGTGCAAATTATCTTCATTTAATGAATATATTACATTTTTATTATAAAAAAATTATCTAAATTTTTCAAAGTAATCATCTATATTTGTAATGATACTAAACTAAAAAAATTTCAAACATTTTTAGCATAGAAAAAAAATCTGGACTCTTGACCACATTTACAACATTGATTCTGTTCGGGCCATGACATGCGATGAGACCAACAACGTTGTCTTCATATTTAAAGTCTTTAGCAAAATTTTGTTGAAGTTGTTGATAGTTTCCCACCAGATACTAAAAAAATAAGAATAAAAAATATCTTACCTAAACTAAATTCTTAATTCTTTTATTTCATAAACATTCCTTGATCATATAGCCAAAATCTTTTTTTTTCCACTTTCCTAAATATAATTTCATGTCATGAAAATTTGTATGATGAGTTAAGTTAATCAATTTGTTTGCCGTACCAAAAGAGTTATTCTTTAGAGTATTTAAATTAATTAAAACCTATTCAGGTAATTACATAAACTCTGCCCAAAATCTAGGAATTCCTAACATCACCCATAACTGTTTTAAATATAGGATGTTTTGATAAATAAAAAAAACTATTTAAAAAATATATGATATTTTGATAGAAAATATTTCACAATAATATATTTATTATATTAAAAATATAATCATTTATATTCATGTGCAAAGTATTTACTTTATTATACTCTTAAGTACAATAGATAAGCTGAAGTGATTTTCTCTTACTTTTACCTGTAAGAATTTCGCTAAATTTATTTTTCTTAAATCCTCTTGCTCCCTATAATATTAGGAATATAATTTTGGTTCATATAAAATTGTAATTGGATAATTAATTTTTTAAATTAAATTATTTTAATGCATTGTTAATATCTCATAGTTATTTACTAAAATAGTGTCAATTACTCATTTACATATAATATTAACTGTATATTTGACAATTAAATCTAATACATGTGTATTTTGATAGATAACAATTAACTGATATACTGATAATAAATTTAAATGGTTTAATATTTTAAAATTGAAAATTATAATTAAAATTACACCATTTTGACACTATAAGTCTGAATAATTAACTAAGCCTATCAATTTAAATTGTTTAATATTTTAAAATTGAAAATTATAATTAAAATTACACCATTTCGAAACTATAAGTCTGAATAATTAATTAAACCTATCTCTCTTTTATTATATGCGTCGTAATAAGTATGAGTTATGAGCAATGGGACAAGATGGTTGATCCATCATTTAATGATGTTTAACTTATCAACTTCTCGGTGGGACAAACTTATGCATGCGTTGGTAAATTTTTAGAGTGAATTCAACTCTCACACTGTTCAAACTTAAATATTGAACGAAATTTAAAATGAACAGTTCATTCAACAACAGTAATAAAATTTGGTGGTCTAAGTGTCTGTCATTTTCTCTCCAAAGCAATCACAACCATTAAAGTAATGAAACTGTGTTAAGTATTTAAAAACCAATGTAAAAAACTTTTCAATATTTAAAAGATGAGTTAAACTTGTACTTGCAATAGGTACGTAAACATGCATGATACTGTGATTCAGTCAATATCGTACATGTCATATTCAACCAGAAAAAAAAAAAAAAAAAACACAGATAAGGCAACAAAATAATAGATGTACAAGACAAGATGAAATTTCAAAAGATTAGTGGTATCTATTAGTAGCATTTTTTCCACTTGTTTCTTTGACAATTCCTTCATTCCCTGCCAGCTTCAGGTACTTATCCCTCCTTGTGAGTGTGGTGCACTCAAATCCCAAGGCATCAGCCAACTGTTTCTGTATATAGTTTGCCACTTCACAGCTTGATCTGCCTCCAGCACATGTTAGTTCTTTGGGAACTTTTCCAAGAACCTCAATATAGCAGCTCGGCCTTGGATTCATGAGAAAGAAAATAGGGTCCAAGCATTTCAACCCGCTTGCAGTGGTCCCATAGAACATGCTCACATGGGTATTGATAGCCACAGGCACAATTTCATCAGCCAATTCTGCAAACAGTGAGCTGAACCTTAGTAAATATGGTTCCCTACAAGTTGTTCCTTCAGGACACACCACCAAATCCCCTTCTCTCAGAAGCCTTTGCATGGTTTTGCCATCTTCTTTTCTGTCCCTTGTTAGTCTCACCGTCCTAATAGGCGCTATCAACTCAGACACCTTGCTCAAGCTGTATGTGACTGCAGTTAAAGGCTTTGCCAAACATGTGCTTAGGAAAACAGGATCAAGAAGAGTCCTGTGCGTGCAAACATAGAGGACCCCTTGGTTTTGCTCTGATTTTTCAAGGGCACTGCCTTTGATTTGGAGATTTAAGCCACTCCAAGCACCTAATGACATCGCCCATCCATAAGGCAGTAGAATTCCTAGGAGGATTCTGTAAATGGCCAAAAGAATTCCAAATGGCAACCACATGAACATATAAAGAGCTGCTGAAGGAGTAGGCAGGAATGCTAGTCTTCCATCATGAAATATTAGGGGCTTTGGATATTTGTCCCTTGGCATGACTGAGCTTGAGTTGCTCTTGTCATCTTCATTGTTTACCACATATGCTTCCTGTCATTGTCATTGTCATGTAACTGGAGTTAGACACAATACATCAATAGACTTAGTAAAATCATGGCTGCATCGGTTGTATTTGTCTGAAATATTAAAGATTGTGACAAAATTGTGATGGTGACTGCAATTCAACTTTGACGTAAATGCTATTGACTTATAATACCTTGTGCTAACGAAACTTGTCAAAAAGGAAATAACACTTTACAACTGAACAATAGTATACAGTACATGTTATACGGTCAACTTTGATTCGTCTTTACTTTTTAGTTTGAATGGTCGGTCTTGTTGTTTAATATGGAATGTAAATAGAGATGTCTAGGTTCTTAATAACATTGAACACGCAATAGTTAAACAGTAGATGAAGTCGTTAAACAATGGAACTAACTTCAGACTTACCTTGCAGAGGGAGAGGAAAAGATGATCATGAACGCTAGAGCTTCCAACCCCAATATCAGGTTGTGTGTCTCCAAAATAATCCTTCAGTGCTCTGTGTTTCACAAGTAAGCCAGAACCAGAAAGCAAACCACTGAAGTAGCAACCAACTGTGTGCAACTCTGTTCCTATAACAGCACCAACACTCAAATACTCCTTAAGAAACCCTTCCACCATAACTCGAGGAACACTTGTGAAGACAACTTTAGACCCTGCTGAGGCCAGAACCTCATAAGCATGAAGGTTGAGATTTTCCAAATAAAACTTGGGCAAAACCGCCCTTGATATACTTTCCATGACAGTTGTTCTCAGCCCACAAAAGGTGATGAAAGTCATGACCCTAAGCCTTAGCTCATGGTTTAAAATCCACAGCACAGGGCAAGACAAAAGCAAGAGGAGTGCTCTGAAAATGCTGCCACCTTCAAAGGCAACAAGCATGAAATAAGGAAAGAAAGAATGAGACATCAAAAGGACTCTATGAATGTCACAAGCTACAAGTGTTTGTGACCCTCTACCCTCCAAATCATATTTGGCAACACTAGGGAAAGCGGAAGGTTGTGGGGGTGGTTTGGATGACAAATACCCCAAGTTGAACCCGTAACTCTTCATTTTCTTCGCTGCTCTATAACAAGAGTTGGCAAGCAGCTGGTACAAGACCCAATCTGCAAGCCTTAGGAGTACCATTGCGAACTCCATGCTAGCTCTTTTTGAAAGCGGTTGATGATTATGTGTTTGAGAAGGAGCAAAAACAGTAAATGGAAGAAGAAGAAGAAGAGTGAGAATGTGTATCTGTGGTGAAGAGCAAGATGAGGAGAGAATATTTATAGAGTCATCAAAAGGTGCAGGAGAAAGGTTTGATTTTAGCATTTGGTTAACCACACCGCTGGCATTAACTTCACCTTCCAAATTTTTTTACCTTTGTTGTCATTTTTGGCATTGTCTTATAGCGTTTTCTTTCATGCAAATGCTCTCTACATGGTGCCAGATCATATAGCTTGGCTACTCTGCCTTTAATACAGTTGGTAGGTTTAAATGTTGGTGACCGCCATTGAGAGCTTTTGGTCTCTCTTTGAAATGATGCCACAAGCACACGCCGTGCCACCAATTTTAAATGCCGTTGGAATGTGTGTGAATCATACTTTGTAAAACACCCTTTGGTCAAACAAATTTCCATCCAATACTTCCATTTCTTTTCTTTTTTTTTCTCTTGCCATGGTCCAATAGCAAGTTAGATCACCCACATCGTCGAATCAATTGACTTTCTAAATCCAATTACAGGATCATCGCTAGTCAAATTGTAATTGCTCCATTCATTAAAAACCTGTCGTTGACTACTGTTTCTATTTCTATATTCTCAGCATTCATAGACTAACATTTATTTTACGTTCTGAATTGTTTTATTAACCGTTTGACTTTGTTATGCTGTACTGTTGCATTCCCAAGGCTATTAACCATCATAGCTGGGACAGTTACTGGGTTTGATTTTAATTTCCTAACTAATCTTCTGTTTGTGACGTACTTATCAAAGTCACATGATTCATTTGAAATGAAGCAACAGTCATATACTGTCATATAGGTTGAATGGAGATAACTAGGCACTCTGACAAAATCATAAACTTTTGATGATACAAGTTAAATATATATCTCATTTAATAAGTGTAATTGTCATTAAATTTTAATCTACATTAGTATTACTTCTACATCTACACACTTGACACATGAGTATATTCATTTATTTTTTGACTGAAAATTTAGTCGCTTCAACTTAAGTCATATTGTGATGATTGTAATGGAGAAATGAGAAACATAAGTTATTTATTCTTTATGTCATTTAGTACAAGCCATGCATGGTAGGTAAGTGAAGGAAAGTTATTATTGAAAATGCAATGACATGCATTTGAGTGATAGTTTAGAAAACCTTGTGGAACTTGTTTCTTTGGTGTTGTGTTTATTTGTGTGACAGGTTAGAACACCAATTCATGTCATGTCACCCTCGTTGTGTGGTTTGGTGGAGCCTTAATCATTTGATATGGCTGCTCAGTGCACATAGTTTGCATGGAAACGTTGACAGATTCACGTATCTATGGTTTCTTCTTATTTTTGTTTTTCTTTCCTACATCGAATAGATAAAAAATAAACGTCTAGTTAAATTAGATGTATTACCTGAATTATTAATTTAAGGTCAGTAATTACACATGTTGTCTACTTAAATTTCAATTGATAATTTTTTTCTTCCATTTATTAACTTTGTAATTATGCAATAATCATTTTATATTATTTAAACCAAATTTTTTTATGGAGATGAAACTATATTTATAATTCAATTTAATGATATCATATATTTTAACAATAGTTTAATTATTGCTTAAACATTAAGTATAAAGGTTTTTATTATTGATTTTAAAACAATTATATTTATAAATTGTTTTTTTTTTTACAAATAGAATTAGATTTTATGTTGCAAAATCCAATTAATTGTAAGAAGAATAAAAACAGATACTTCCTATATTGGATGAGTATATATATATATATATATATATATATATATATAATAATAATAATAATAATAATAATATTAAGAAGAAGAAGTTAATAGCATAAGTCAATTTATCATAAATTTTGAGATATTAAATATTTTTTTCATGATAGTAAACAGTATAAAAAGTTTTAAAAAATTATAATAAAAATAATGGAGATAAACCATACATATTTTTTATTATCTCAAATTATATTGAAAAAAAAATAATGACCAAAGAAGAAAAAAAAAGTTGACAAACATGTATAAAAAATAAAAATAATTTTGAAAAATGAAAAAATATATATTATTAAGATCAAATAACATACAAACAAGATAAAATGAAATAATGTTAAATTATATATATATATATATATATATATATATATATATATATATATAATTGCAAACTTAATTACAGGAACTTATTGTTCGTGATAAAAAAAATCAAAAAGATTGTTTTCTTTATCTAATAAATTATGTAATGAATTAATTAACATTGTAAATCGAAATCAAGGACAACATGTAATTTTATCTAAAATTTCACTACCTTCCCTTCACTTAACTAATAAAATTTTGTTTCCAATATTTCCTTTACTGTTTACTTTTTATTATTATAGAATTTATGTTTTTTTTTTAAATCGTTTTAAATATTTGTTTAGAAAACAGTAAAAATATTTTTATTTATTATTTTCCATAATAATTTTATATTTGAATCATCTTTCAATTACTATTCAACTCATGTTCCCAGATTCCATAATTTTTCTAACTCAAATATCTAAAACATTCTTTTCATAATTTTGATTTTTATTCTAATTTTTTCTTATTCTATTTGTGTCAAACTTTTCCACCGCATAGAAGTTATTTAGATTTTTTTTGTGTTATCAGTTCCATTGAAAATCTTTTTTAACAATGGAAGATAAGTAATTGTTAACATTATGAATAGATTTAATGTTACTATATTTTATTTGCATAAATAGACTCAAATTGTTCAATTTGAAATAGTTTCACAAAAATAAGGTTGAATTAAGGAAAAGCTAAACCAAAAAATCCATTTCGGATTGAATGTTGTAAAATGTATTTTCGAAAAGACTAATATGAAAATGTATTTCACATTGAATATTCCAGAATATATTTTCAAAAATACTGATCAGAAAATACATTATGAATTTGATGTTACAAAAATGTATTTTAGATTAGGTGGTCTAGAATGTATTTCCTGAAAAACATATTTGAAAATATATTCAGAATGGGATATTCTGAAATATATTTTTGGAAAAGTCTTTTTAAAAACAAATCTTAGATTAAGTGTTTTGGAACGAGTTTCTTTTTCAAAAATGTATTCCACGTTAATTGTTTGGTGGTGTGGTTCTGGAAAAATCAATTCGAAATACATTCGGAGAATGAAGCTATTAAAATGGGATTTAATATAATTACGGGGTGCAGAACCTAACAGCCTTACTATTTTCAATGACGATGCATCGCATAGGCCCAGGAAGAAGTGGAATGGGCCAAACAGGCATAGGCCCATTAGCGTCTCAGTTTCCCGCCACATACATGTTGATCTTCCCGCCGTCTCACAAATACTCACACATCAATGGGAGAGTTCTTTTTCTCCCATTTCGCGAATTCAATTCTTCAGTCACTTCACAATTTTGGTCGCAAAACAAATGATTCCACAACAAGAACCCGAATTTAACCTCAATCACCTCAAGCTTTATTACGGTTCGTTGTTTACACTTCCCAACTTTTTTTTTTCCTTTAATCTCTTTATCTTACATTGTTTCCTACTGGGTTTTGATTTCTTCAACGTTTTCTCTTCTCTTCTTCTCGTGTCCCCAGGAAAACTGTTTCCTTTTGCTGATTTGGTCAGATGGGTGTCTTATGGCAACGGTAATATCGCCAAATGCTTGCTTCTGACGAGTGTTGAATGCCCATACATTCTTAATTATAATTCCAAGAGTTAAATGTGTACTTAGTCCCCACAATCAAAGTGATATCCGTTTTTAACCCCTCTAAATATTCTTCTTGTTGTAGTTCCTCAGTTGTACGAATATGTTAGGTGTTATTGTCCTTGTACTTTACAAAAAATTGTCTCTTTATGCTCTTTCATTCGTGGAATAGGAACACACATGGCACAGTTTGTCAGTTTCATAAATGATGGACTAAAACATCTCCTTATTTAGTTTACTAAAGACATGTTTAACTCTATTTTTAATTTAAATTTTATGTTTTTGTGGGAATTATTTGTAGATGGGAAGCACCCTGGTTGTGATCAATCCTACTTGGGGCGAAGAGAGTTTTCCTTCACACTGGAGAATGATATTTATCTGCGTTTCCAATCTTTCAACAATGCCCTTGAGCTCGAAAACTCCGTCAAAGAAAAGTCCCCTGTTAAGATAGATATTGGACCTGTCTACTCTGTTGATGTAATGTGTCTCCTTTACTCCAAACCCTCTCTACCTAGACTCCACTGTTACGTAACTTGTTCTTGCAAATCATCCAGCAATTATGATAAATGCAGTGTTCTTTTCTCTATTAATCTTTTTGTGATGATTAGGTGTACCTTTTATTTCACTCACCTATTATGTTACTTCTATTCTTTTTGGTGCAGCCTGCAAAAAGGTATGCCTATGCACAGAGTGAAAATAATGTCTTTGCCCCAGTTGAGAGGGAGTTGATATTTGATATAGTAAGAATTTTTCCTTCAGTCTCCAAGCCTTTAGCTATTGTGGTCTCCTTGACGTTTGACACCCTTTCTTCTTTTGGGTTTATATAGGATATGACAGACTATGATGATGCTAGATACTGCTGTTCAGGTGCTGATGTTTGTTTGGTTTGCTGGCCCTTGATGACTATAGCGATCAAAGTGATTGATACTTCCTTAAGAGGTACTAATTTGCATCTTATATGATATTGGAGAGGTAGTGCAATTTTGCCACATATATTCATTGCATTGAAATAATAAGATAGCAGTACATATCATATAGTCAAAATACTAAGGGAAGGGATATACAATATCCAACATGTATTAGATTTATATATACTAGCTTTGTATGCGACAACCTTGAGCCTATTTAGTTGTGATTGCAAAAATCAAGTGGGTTTTATGTAGGAGCGGGTTGTTCTCTTTGTAACTGTTGTGTTGACTTTTGCTTTGGGGCTTCTGTTTCAGATGACTTTGGTTTCAAACACATTCTCTGGGTATACAGTGGACGCAGAGGTGTTCATTGCTGGGTCTGTGATGGGAAGGCAAGAAGGTGAGGCTTTAAACAATTAAAAGTTATCCTTTGTCTACTTTTGGCCGTACACAGTCATAAATTCAAATTGGTCAAATTTACTCGTACAGGTTGTCTAATGAGCAGAGAGGTGCTATTGCTGACTATTTTCGTGTCTACAAGGTATAGTATGCTGATGACAAGTGGGTTTTTAATACATGTGGAAGTGTTTTTTGATTTCATATGCTGTCCAGGGCAATGAAAATAGTCATAAAAAGGTTTCTTTGACGGGTGCTGCTCTTCATCCTTTCTTGGCGTAAGTCTTAAAATGAATGAACTTTCTGAACCAGATCTCTTATTTCATATCCTAACCTGTATTTTATTATTCCAGGACAACATACACTAATGTTCTCAAGGACTACTTTGAGAAAAATCTGCTTACCGGACAAAATTTACTTGCTACTGAAGAGAGATATGAGAAGATCCTAAACATGGTTCCTGATGAATGTACTTTATTTTTCTTGTTTTTCTTTCATATGAACCTTGTTACTTTATTTCCTGCTATTATCTTATGCGATACACGGGTTACATTTTGCAGCTATTGCATCTGAACTTAGGGGAAGATGGCAAGATAGTAGGCGGTCGTCTACTGCAAAAGAAGACATCAATGTTGTTCGATGGGAACAGTTCAAACAGTTGCTGCAATCTGGAAAGCACAAGGTATGTAAGCTTCCTTTTAGGAAATTTAGTCTGCTCTCTGCAATATTTACAAAACATTGTAAAAATCGAAATATCATGGATCCCACGAACAATGTTGGACTTAAATATCTTGCTATGACCTCCTTCAGTTACATGCTTCCTTTGTTCATTTTAAGTTGATTGTAAATTGTATGCAATGATGCGGAATTTTCTTGAACAAGCATGATTTGTTGTTGCCAAATATTAGTAATGTTTTTCAAATACTTTTTGAAGGCGCAAGGTCTGCGTCGATGTGTTGAAGAGATTGTGTTCTCCTTTACATATCCCAGGCTAGATATGGAGGTTTGTCGATCAACTGCTTCCCTTTTCCCATTTCCTCTGTTTTCTTTCATACTAGTACCATTGCTGTGGTCGAAGTGGCCAGAAATGTCTCTATCGAAGATCAATAACACGTTTTAGATAATTTTAAGTTCAGTCTGAATTTTCGTTCATTAAGACTGTTTATGTTATAGGTTTCTAAACATATGAATCATTTGCTTAAAGCACCGTTTTGTGTACATCCTAAAACAGGTAAGTATCTAATATTTTTATGCATAATTTTTGTTGACATTATAATCATGTGGTTTTATCTTCTGATTTTTAACAAAAAATTCAAACTATAAAGCTTTCTCCATTAAAATTGTTTTCCATTAGCTAATTTGATTGTTTAACATTACATGGTATTCTTCTTTGTTCTTCTAGGTCGTGTTTGTGTCCCTATTGATCCAAATCGTTGCGACGAATTTGATCCTACTACAGTACCCACCCTTTCTCAGGTAAACTTATTCTGCAATGACAATTTTCTGACCTGCATTCAAGGGAGCGGAAAGCTTTCCACTGGCTCAGTTATTTGCATAGTTTTCATTAGGGATGCTCTCCTATTGAGAGTATTAGGAACGTGCATGATGACACTTGCTCCCTTGTCCAACACATTCTCATGTGGAAAAGGGAAATCACCTTTTGACATGGCTAAAGTGGGTATAAAGTATGCCTGGATTCCATCATTGTATTTATAGTTTTGTACCATCAAGATACTTTCTAAACATTTTGTGTCTGAATATTGATATTGTGAGTTGTATGTGACATTGCAGCTGATGGAAGAGCTTAATAATGAAGGCTCAAGATCTGATGTTGATGGTGGTATGTTAATTTTATACTCGAACAATCAAATTTCCTTGTTGTAAAAATCTTCACTTTGCCATCGCCAATAGTCTTGGACTCTTCTGAGTTCAGGTTATGTACATTGATATGTTCCCTCTAATGCTAATTGCAACCTGAAGTCCAGTACAAGTGAAAGTGATTTTAATACTTTGTTTGATAGCAGAATTGAATAGAACTTCGCTTGGAAATGCTATTTCGCTCTTCAGATCGTCATTCTTACAGCCTTTACTAAAAGCCTGCAAGGTATATTTTCACCACAGCACTGAACTGCATTAAAGAGCTTATTCGATGTGTAAACCTCAATACCAGTATTATTAACAATTTGGAATAATCTATTTCCATTTGAAAAAAAGTAATATGAAAATGCTTAGAATAGTGACTCATTTTCTGTGTTTCCTTTACACGTATTTTTTGCTGCATTACAACTCATCATCAAAACATTGGCGTTGATACTGTTAATCTTACTAATTTGATACAGTATTATTACAGATTCACATTCAAGTATACCTATCATAACTATTTCAAATAATGAATATTGCAGGAGGAGATAGAAAATTCGTATAACTTAAAATTGCAGCAGTCAAAGAATTCCCTTGGTTGGTAGAGCCACGTATATTTTTGATTGGTCAAATAGAGCTGTCTTGAGGTCACATTAGATGACACAATCAGTTGGTGAGATGTTCGTGGTACTGTTGAATTATAAAGAAGCATTTTAACTCGTGTATTTTATTGCAAACCGTTCTTTCTGCTTCTGGTGAGAGGAAGACAATTGATTTGAACCTTTTTCATCCACTGTATAAATTTTTGAATAGCTGGGTGTTCCGTGTTACCTAAAGATATTCTGCCAACGGGTTGGAATAGTTGGGGAAGGCAATTCTATGAACTTGGCAGTAATTTTAATGTAGTGCCTTGTAAAGGACTACAAGTGATTTATTATATAGTTTTTTTCCAGGAACATGAGTGACTACAGTTTATTTTTAGAAATTCTCGTACATGACCATGCTAGGTCTTATCATGACATTCCACTGAAAAATGATTGTAATTACTCACTATATTTAATCAACTAGATTATTTCACACTCCGTATCGACTAAGGGAAAATGTCTTGCTATCACGGCAGATGGTGAAGTCTCTCGCAAGGATGTTATATAGTAATGTTTTTTTAACAATAGTTGCACTGAAATTAAAATTTATGGTTTCATACAGGAATATGTTGTAGAATCACAGATGATGGTCTATGTTATTTTGAATGTGACTGAGTAATATATTAAAAGGAAGTTTTGACTAGTTATAATTTTCCCAGGTCCAAAATATAATAATTTCATTCAGTTGTGGATGGGTTCTTTACCGGTGTTTAGCTCATGTGAGATGTTGTTCAATCATGAGATGATTTTTGAATCCAGAATATGGAAAAGGAGGAACTTGGTAAGAAATCTTAAACTTGATGTTTGATTTGATGAACAAGAAAAGATGCAGATGTGATTATGATGGATATCCTTTGCAAGGGAGAGATTGAAGGCACAGGTAGGTAGGTAGGTTCAACCGACAGAGAGAAGGTCCCACATCTCTGCTGCTAGTGAATAGTATATTCTTGCTGGCTACTTATATACCACTCCTACCTATCTAAATTGCGTGTAATGTTCACTAAACTCTACGCATGTCTGTATTTAGACGTCCTAATTTAAGGATGGTCAGATATGTAAATATGCTTAACACATGTATGACAATTTTCAACCTCAATCCTTTGTCATGAAGATTAGATTTTTTTTTTTATTTATTTAGTTTTTTTTTAATACTAATATATTTATAGTATTCCTTTTAACATAAATGAATAAATTTATTAATAGAATTCCTTTTAAGCAATATTTATGTAAGATAAGAATAGTTTATATAAACAATTTAATTAAAAAATACTTTAAATAAAAAATAATAAAAAGCATTGGAAATATGAATTGATATGGAGTGAATTATAAATACCTTAGAAAATTATAAAATTGTATGTGAAATAAATAACTCTACCAGTAACAAGGAAAGATGCAGCTATGTTACCAATACTTATGCCCAAATTCTTGTGTTTCATAAATGGGCCACATCATTTGATAATGTTTCAATTTTTCCTTGTCCCCTTCCCTTCCATAAATCAATTTTCTCTGTGCATCAGCAGCATCATGATTCATGATTGAGCAAATAGAACTCCTTTCTGGCTAACTCGAGATTTATTTTGTCTGTCAATACATGATTATTTATTATATACAATATTATTATTATTATTATTACTGAAGAAAGGGGGAAAAACTTATATTTTAAAAAATAAAATAGATTATATTTGTGGCTGAAAAATCTGCATGTGGAAAAGCACACAGGAATAATTTATAAATGAAACTTGATTCTTAAAAGAAGATCTAACATACAATATTATAAACAAATAAATTTCATTATAAGAAAACTGCAACCTCAATTTATTAATACTATTTTTACTGTTGTTGTTATGTCACATTATATAACCTCCAATAAGTTGAACCCTGAAATTAGTAGTATTATTTTATTTTCAAGAATGTTGTCAACAATGGGTTTTCAGTGCAGGTAAAATGTCCATATTGGAGGTTATGAACAACCTTTCATGCAACCAAACACCCAGGTTAGTAGATTCTTCTGATGCCTCTCTTAAAAAACCAATAATCTTCAACACTGTAGTTCTAGAACAGTAACAACATTTTTTTAATTGAAACAAATTGGTTCATAACTATTGATAGTGAAACACGGAACACTTGTTGCGTAAGCACGCTCATGCTGCTCCCCACTTTAATATTGCTAAACTTTTCAGCAAATTGATGTATAATAGAAAGACCACTAATATATTCCATAATCTTCATTGTTTCCACTGCTTATCACTATTGTTGAAGTTATAATTATACTTATACACTGAGTAGAATTTTGTTTTGTAAAATGCTAAAGAAAAATGTTAATAAAAAGGTTTTGCTCATTTTCAATTTGTTTATGGTAATTAAAACTTAAATATACATTTTTATTAATAATGTTGTTTACATCTAAGTTTATTTTGATTTTTTTAAATTATTATATTGTTATTAATGAGATATTTGATTCATTTATAACTTAGCTTTATGTATATTTGATATTTTGTTTTTATTTATTGTTAACATAATAAATCAGGAAAAATAACTAACACTGTTCATTTTGGTTTACATTAATAACTTTAACTATGATAATATATCATTGCTGTTTGATTTCAACATGAATTCAGAAACTTGAACAACGACAAGTTTTAGTATATCTTAAATAGAACAAAACCAAAACTGCTTTCTGAAACAATTGAAAGCTTAAAAAAAAAATACATTTTTAAACCAGAAAATGTACACTGAACCAATAATGCAACTGTGATGGTTTTTGTCGGAGACCTTTTTATTGTATGGTTCATACTCTTTTGTCACTGGCAATTTAAAAAGAACACATAAACACACTAAGGTACATTTCTAAGTATAAATTAAGTACTTTTTTAAAATTTTGATTGAAGAGATTATCATTTTATTAACAGAGATATCACTGCTTTGATTTTGAAGGATTCACTCTGTCTCTGATGAATGTGTTGCTAAATCCTGTGGTTAATTAGGATGTCTGGTATTGTTGTGGAAGTAAAGTAAGTGTAAAGGAAAAGATTTTTTATGTGATTTTTTTTATTATGTCTCATGGATGATCTAAAGAAATACAAACTTATAACGTGTACTTTTAGTATTGGGTTATTGTTATGCACCAACTTTTATTAATATCCCAGAATTTGATTATTTGTTTTCTAAAGTTATTTTAGATAATTAAATATCAAAATTTTATATAAATTTATTTTTTAAAATTATATATATATATATATATATATATATATATAAATCTCAACTTATAGTTAAAATTAATGATAATTTATATATATATATATATATATATATATATATATATATATTTGTATGTAGTGTAAAAACAAAACTCTGGTAAGAATTTTAAAATAATAATACTTCAAATATGAAGTTAATGCTTGTAAAATAATAATACTTCAAATATAAAATTAATACGGTAAATCAAAAATAAATAAAATGTACTAAATTCTCAGCTTTACTTTCATATACTTCTTCATCAACACTAATGATTATCCTTCACCAACAATTATTATTTCCTAATAGGTAAATGCTAAATACTACTTCTTGATGAAGAAATATCTTGTTGTGTAATATGGAGATGGATAATAACATAAATTAGTTAACATAAAATTATATTAATTATTCTATATAAGTTATATTTAATGTGAATATAGTATGATATAAGATATTTTAATAAGATATACTTTTATAATTTAAGATATTTTAATTATATTTGATTAAATTGATTATAGGATAATTCACTTCATATTATTTTTAGGTATTTATAATATGAATTAATATCTAAATATTTTCATCAATGAAATCATAAAATATTGTATATTCATATATATATATATATATATATATATATATATATATATATAATTTGATTTTCTTATTTAAATCACCAAGAAAATATTTTTAGTTACAAATATTTTAACAATAATTATTATTATAAAATTTATTAATTTAAGATAGTTTACAGTATTTCACCTTTACTTTTTTTTTTAGAGTTATAATTAGTGTTATTCTTGTATTTCTGATTTTATCATTAATAGAACAAATTTATCCTCTTTTGTTAAAAAAAATAAAAAATACTAAACACATTTTAATTTATTTTATATTTAGAATAGTAAGATTTATTCTCCTAATTTCAAGTATAATTCATATAATATTTAAGATGAACTAATTTAGTTTTAACTATTAAGTGATGTTTCCAATGAAATTAATTATTTCATCAATATAATTACATATAATAATAAAAATAATTAATTTAATTTGTTTTGTTTGGTTGAATTTTTAAAATATATCAAATTTACTGTCATTCTTAATAATTTTTTTAACTTATTTATTTATAAAAACAACATATTTATAGTATTTAATAAAGGGAAATGAAAGACAAAAAATATAATGTTTCATAAAAAAAAATTACAAAATAATTTCTTATAAACACATCACAATTTTCTTCTAAACTATATTAATTGCTCACTCATCAACCGATTTCAAGATTTGTTTTAGGGAAATATGAGCTAAATTATAATTGAATGATACATTAATTTTTTTTATCTCGAAATATTTTAATTAGTTGGCTTATTTTTACCAAAAAAAAATACTGAATATTTTAAATAAATGGCATATTTATTTTTAAAAAAGATTTGATTTAAGAATGAAAGTATCAAATATAGTAAAGCTCCCTTAATTACTTTAACCATAAGAATAATCTTAGAACGATAATATAAATTATTGATTAATTTGTTATTTTTAATTAATTTAACATTTTTTTTATAAAAGATATGAATCTGTTAAAATAAAAAGAGAGTAACATATAAAACAGGATTTTGAAGTGATTTATTTAATATGTTTTGATGAATGAATATTCTTTCAACGTTTGGGATCCAAAATGTCTCATTCAAAAACAGATACTTATTCTTTCAACTCATTCCAACCATTTCATTTTATGGAGATTTGTTTTTAGAAAAGAAGTTGAAATGTGTTGTTTGGAATGAATATAATTTATAAAAGAAACTCAATTATTTGAATCCTTAAAAGGAAACTCAATAATTTGAATTATTTGAAATTAGAAAAGAATGAAAAAAAAAAAAGAATCCTAAGAAAAATCCAATTTGGTAACTGTCTCTTCTTGTCTTTTACGTAATTGAAGATGGAGAATCACCAATTCCCACCCTCCACCATGAAACATATCCAATGCTTTAACTTTAAAGACTGAAAATATGATTTAACTTTAATAAATTACAATAAATATTTAATTTATTTTTTGAAAAAGAATAACACAGAATTGTTAAATTTACCAAAATGAAAAGATGTACTATGGTAATGAAAATTGTCAGATTAATGTGTTGAAAGCTGACACGTGTTTGGCACATTCCCTATGCCATGTAAGTTGGAGAGGAGACAGATAGGTAATTCCAGAACAGTATCTGCCACCTTACTTCGTAACTAGGTTTTAGGAAATTCAAGTTACGAAATCACCCTCCATATTCTCTCTAAATACCAAATACGCCACTTTGTATAATAAGAATCCCATACCATATCCGTATCTCACAAGCGAATGCGAAGCAGAGAGAGAAGAGCCACCCTCTCATACAACTCAACAAACAACTCATTCCAACAACTAAGCCTTTCAAAATTTTCACTCTTTCTCCCTGTGTCGGTGTACTCTTCTTCTGGGCCATTCGTTTTTTCTTCTTCAAACGCGCTTTTGCATGAGGAAGCTCCTCTGGGATCTGAGTGAGGGGTGAGAGAGAGATGGGCGAGTTTTTGTCACTGAGTTAGATCTACGTTGTTTCATGTGGCAGTTTGGTGTTGGGATTGGAGGTGGGGTTGTATTTGGATTCCGTTTTTGCTGAAGGAGCTGGGGTAGGTGGGGCAAATGTGCTTGGGTTTGTTTTATGTCAAAATTGAAACTTACCTTTCTCTGTGTTTCCTATTGGTGGCTTAATTTGTAGTGGGCGTTGTCTCAGAATGCAGCAAGATCACAGAAAAAAGGTGAATTTGTTGTTTGTTCTCCTCATTTTCATGCTTTACTCTACATAATTGCTTCACAAAAAACTGTTGTTTTATTTCAAGTTTTTTTCTGTCCCTGAATGAATGATGAGGGTGCCCTTTTTGTGGCTAAGCAGAATTTAACTGAATGAATGATAAAAATAAAATTGTCTTGTTCTGTGTTGGTGGGTTACCTCTCAGAATTTTATATTACTTAAGTCAAAGTGTGTGTGAGGCTCTGCTAAGTTTGTTCCATTTAGGCTTGTTACCATGTTAGTTAGTTCTCTACTGATATTTAGTCCATCGGTGACATAATATTTCTCCGCCACGTGACATTTGGTTGACAAGATCTTTATTTTTTTCACCATTTTTTTAGGAGTCTAATGTATTGATGAATTTTCAATGCTTCTTCTATTTACTGGTTAGATAGCATTCCTGGGGTTGATCTTCCATCCCAATCGACCCATCCTTTTGCTTTTCTTTGTTGCTACGTATTCTGAGATGTGTTTTGCACGCTTTAGGTGCGTCGTACGAGATTGACTCTCCGAAATAAACGTTGGTGAATGACAAGAAATGGTGAATTGGGGAAGATAGAAGTTTTAGTCTAAGAATTGTGATGTGTTTATGGTTTTAAGTGCTGCTATATTTTCTCCTTTTGGCTGGCTTAAGCTGGGGACGTGGAGTGAAGCGGATCGTGCTGACATTGTGTTTCTTTAGTTTATTTTTCGTAATTTTGCTTGTGTTAATTTATGCTGCCGATATGATCAGACTACTTAAAATATACTTTGTACTCTCTTTCTTTGAGTTTATGATTCTTCAAGACCGAGTTAGTTCCATAATGTAAATTCTATGGCACACACAATTTTTTTGTTATTTTGCTGGTTTTAGTTCAATCTATGCTGCTAACATGATCAGATTACTGAAAATATAGTTTGTACTCTCTTGCTTTGAGTTTATGATTCTTTGAGGCTGAGTTAGTTCCATGATGTAAATTCTATGGCACACAATTTTTTGTGTAATGTGTATTGAGCTTATGGATGGATCATGGATTCTGATATATAAATTAATTTCCCTTATAAATTAGCAAAGAATATTTGTTTATTATTTTAATTTCTATTTATCTACTATGAAAACTTGATTCCCATTTGTTGCTTTAGCTTGATTTATTAACATTTGTAGATAATCAATGTTGGGCATGCCTGATTTTCCTCTGTGGATTACATAAATATCTTTGCTACAGGGTTCAATGGAGATGGAATTTTTCTCTGATTATGGCGATGCCAACAGGTACAAAATTCAAGAGGTCATTGGGAAAGGAAGTTATGGTGTTGTTTGTTCAGCTATTGACACTCATACTGGCGAGAAAGTAGCAATTAAAAAGATTCATGATATCTTCGAGCATGTATCAGATGCTGCACGTATTCTCCGTGAGATAAAGTTACTAAGACTTCTTCGACATCCTGATATTGTTGAAATTAAGCATGTTATGTTGCCTCCTTCGAGGAGGGATTTTAAAGATATTTATGTTGTTTTTGAGCTAATGGAGTCTGATCTGCATCAAGTCATTAAAGCCAATGATGACTTAACAAAGGAGCACTATCAATTTTTTCTTTACCAGTTACTTCGAGCATTGAAGTATATTCACACTGGTATTATTCAATAACTGATAGTTATTTGTTCATCAATATCTTATTTAAATAGCTATACCTTGTTTTCAGCACTTGAATGAAATGTAATCGAAATTGCATTCCTCTTCACAAAGATGTCAGGATTATGTATATTTTTTTTCTCTAATTATTGTTGTTGACTTTCTTCCCTACTCATCGCTGAATCTCCTTAAACTTGTACAATACTTTTATGGTTTGACCAAAATGCTTTACTTATTCATTTTCCTTCTTATTTTTTATATATTTTACTTTGTCTATTAATCATCATACGTTTGCTGACTTTAATGTCAATATTATTGCTCATCTAATACTTATCAACATGTTGCAGCAAATGTCTATCATCGAGACTTGAAGCCAAAGAACATATTAGCCAATGCAAACTGTAAACTTAAAATATGTGATTTTGGGTTAGCTAGAGTTGCTTTTAGTGACACACCAACAACTGTATTTTGGACGGTATTTCATCCCAATATTTTCTCTGTTTCTTCATACCAATTTCACAGCTTTGTTAGATGATTTATTGCTTTCTTGCTTACTTCATACATTTATTTCTATAGGATTATGTTGCTACAAGGTGGTATAGAGCACCAGAGCTCTGTGGATCCTTTTACTCAAGGGTACGACTTTTTAAAGATTCTTTTGGATATCATATAAGTGGAGAGAACCGAATTATACATAGTCTTGACTCACCATACCCTAATTCATGCTCAATAGTTTTGTGTAGAAATTGCATATCAACCTATCATGATACATGCTTTCTGTTATGTTCTTTCCCATCAATAGCTAAAAGTAAGGCCCAAGACCAATCTATTATTTATTATTAATACTAATTATTAATTATTAATCCACTGGTTTTCTAGTTTCTGTTAATTTTGTGTCTGCTGGTGGGTTAACGCTTAAGTTATTGAATGCAGTATACTCCAGCAATTGATATTTGGAGTATAGGTTGCATCTTTGCTGAAGTATTAATAGGAAAACCCCTTTTTCCTGGAAAAAATGTTGTCCATCAGTTGGATCTGATGACAGATCTGCTTGGTACTCCCTCACTGGATACTATATCCCGGGTAATTGTTTTTTCTCTATAGAGGGAAACCTGTTTGTATTGCTTAACTTAATTTCACCATCATCATTATTACTTTTGGTGACAATTTTAAGTATTTGGATGCAGGTACGCAATGATAAGGCACGGAGATACCTGACTAGTATGAGGAAAAAGCAGCCTATACCATTTGCACAAAAATTTCCTAATGCAGATCCATTAGCACTACGCCTACTAGAAAAGTTGCTAGCCTTTGATCCAAAAGACCGGCCTACTGCCGAAGAGGTTTGTTATATTGTTCTCTGTGGTTTATGTGTGTGTGTTGAAAAATTATTCTAGTCACATAAGTAACTGCTTCTTGAGGTTATGTTTTTTCTTTTGGAGTTTGGACAATAGAAATGTATAATCAATCACAAAGCAGTTACATTGATCTGCAATAATGTGTGACTTCCTAGCTAAAGAATTATGAAGGATTTGGTGTTTTCAGGCATTAGCTGATCCTTATTTCAAGGGACTTGCGAAAGTTGAGAGGGAACCATCATGCCAGCCTATTACAAAAATGGAGTTTGAATTTGAAAGAAGAAGAGTCACAAAGGAAGAAATTGGAGAGTTGATTTTTCGTGAGATTCTAGAGTATCATCCTCAACTATTGAAAGACTACATGAATGGAACAGAGAGAACTAATTTTCTTTACCCAAGGTTTCTATATTTTTGTTTTTGGTTTATTCTTCAACTAGTTATCTTTTTTTCCTTAACATATATTTTTAAATATATTCTACCCTATTATTCTTCTCCTTACCTTAATTGGTGCTTATTCTTCTCAGTGCTGTTGATCAATTCAAAAAGCAGTTTGCTCAGGTTGAGGAAACTGGTGGCAAAAGTCCTGTTATGCCACCTGAAAGAAAGCATGTATCACTTCCCAGGTAATTCATTAATGTAGTAACTCATTGGATTTCACTTGTCATTCATTATTATCATGCGTTGTTGGCAAAAAGTTATTTTATTATAGAATTGAATATTCTATGATGCATGGTAAATGCAATTGAATGACTATATGAGATGCATAAAAATTATGTTATGTTCAAAAGGGAACTCATACATACAGACAACGTTTTGATGTGATACCAGTTTTAATTTAATCTATGCATGGTATTACATAACATTTACAGTGTCAAAGTGGTCGCCTTTACAATGGTCTTAATTAAATAATAATAATAATTTAATAAATACATCAAATATATTAAAGAAACACGATATCTTGATTTTATAACACTGAAAACTAAAAATGAAACACCTTTTTGTAGATTCTTGACATTTAACACCTGCACTAAAGTTCAAATCAAATATGTCACAATCTGAATAATTAATATATATATATATATATATTTTTTTTTTTTCAATTGAATCGATCAGTTTATATTCATTTCCCTACCATCTTATTAGCTGCTATTTGAATGTCTCATCATGGGATGAACAAAATGGACCAAAATAATCCACTCTTTCTCCAGGCTACATTTTCTTGATTGCTTTCATTTGCTGTCACAACTGCTTTTTATTAATAGAGTTTAATTAGATTACATCACACTAAGCTTTTACTTATTTGATTTCCTTATTTTCTTTCTGGAATTATTGACAGGTCAACAATTATACATTCAAATATAGTACCCTCAAAAGAGCAATCAATTATTGCATCCAGCAAAATCAGGCAAACGACTGAGGAATACAACAATAATTCCAGGGATACAGAAAATCTTGCGCCAAGGTCCATTCAGGGTCTGCAAAAATTTTCACTTGGTATGTCATCGTTATCAATTACGATCATACTTTGTTATGTTTATGAGCATCATTAGTAATCAATAAACAAACATTTTTGTTTTCAGCAAAACCTGGAAAAGTTGTTGGGCCAGTTATTCCATACGAGTATGCTAGTGTTGTTAAGGGTTCATATGAGCCTAGGTCATTTATGAGAGATTCGGTTCTTCCTTCTCAACCTACTCCTCCCACGAATCATTATCAAAGGTTAACTTCTGGGAAACAAGAAAGGTCAGCAGCAGAAGCTGACAAGAGTGTGTCTTTACAATCAAAACTTGCACAGCAATGTTGTGTGAATGCCAAAATAGCACCAGACATAGCTATAAATATTGATTCGAATCCTTTTTTCATGACACGAGCAGGAGTAAACAAGATAGAGCAGGATGACCTAATAGCCATTGACTCAAAGTTGCTGCAATCCAAGGCTCATCAATATGGTGGTGGGATTAGTACAACTGCTCATAGAAAGGTTGGACCGGTTCAGTATGGTATAACAAGGTTGTTCTAGAAGATGTTGGCTTGTGAATAGTTTGGCCAGGTGTAGCAATCCTTGTGGAGCACAAGAGAAGTTTCTATATAGTGGAGAAGTAGTAGTCTCTGGTGGTACCCCTTGTGTAAGATGATGACATAAGTTGGTGCTTCCCCAGAAAGAACCAGCTTTCTCTGGTCAAACCTTGTAAACATTGGTTTCAGTTATCAATAAACTGTGCAACTGAAATTGAGTCCTATCTTGTATGTAATTCAATCCACGCATTCCCTTCCCTAGATATTTTTCTTTTTTAAATTTCCTTCAATGACTATTTTGCAAATTGAAATAAATAAACCAGACTGGCACATGTACTTGTAAAAATGTGAAAAATATTAGTGTTTTATGCGTGTTATGCACACAGGATATAAAGGAGATTCATTGTTTAACCATACTGGTTCAATCCATAGTGGTTCAATCCCCTTTGGCCATTATAAAATTAGATTCCTCACAAGTTTCATAAACAACTGGATTCCATTTAAAAATTTTTCGAATTCTATTGAATTTTCCTCACCTACGCATAATAACTATTCATCCTTGAAAGTAGGTTTGGTGCCTGTTTAATTTCCTTCTATTTTTATTTTTCTTATGCTAAAAAAAGAAACAGACATTTCATTATTTTATTGAAAGAGAAATACCAGTAGCTCTCTTTTTGAGATGTAATTATGGATCATATGGTTCAGATTAGTATGCTAAAGAAAGAAATTATATTGTGATTTTGTTTTAAGTGATTTCGGATCATATGATTCAGATTACTCTTCACATTGAATAAATTTTAGATAAAAACTTTAGTTGAAATAATAGAAAAGTGGCGATCCAACTAAATTATGCAATAATCTTTTGGCTTTAGAAAAAAATTAAAAGATTGTATTGCTTCCACTGGTCTTTATTAGAATCAAACCCCCGAAACAAGTAGTTTTAGTATTTGATTGAATGCGACATGACTGTATTTCATATGATTTTGAAAATATGAACAAAACATGTGGCCAACTTTAGCCTCATAGAGCCACATTGCCCTTCCATGTGGAGAAGTTACTGCAGCTACCTTTTGGAAGCTCTATCTATTAGCTAGCTCTACAGGATAAGATTAACTTTATGTGGAGGCTAGCTTTCAGAATGTACATCCACTTATAACTCTTCCTTTTCTCTACTTCTTACTTCAGAATAGTTAAATTGGTAACGGTGGAAAGTGTGATGCAAATAGACTTGTTGCTACTTACTATCCTATCACAAAACCTGGTGGATCATTCCTGTCACAGTGATGTTGCATTGCAGCCCACATAATAGAATTGGAGATAAAAAGCAAGAAAAATAGCCTCCAGTTGCTTGGCTCTGAAATGTAACATTGTTTGTTGATTTACAATAATCATTAATCAAAGTCATAGATTAAAGGCATTGACAAGAATGTCCTAGAATATGAGGTAAATCTGAAATTGAAACAGAGTTGAGATAATGCATTTGAATGATTTGGTCGCTTGTTTATTGTTTGGCATTTACTGCATATGCAAGCTGCAAACAACGCGGGGCTCACCAATAAAAGTCTGAGTCAGTTCATGTGCTGAACATTAAGTTATAAGCAGTTTGAGAAAATCCACATTCCTCCCTCCCTCTATGAATATTCCTCACCAGCTCCATGCATTTATTTTTCTTTTTCTAAACCTAATTGCTGATATTATTGCAATAAGTTTTGCTCAGCTGGTTTCTTCTTGTATTCACCTACACATCCTAAACTGGATGACAATACTTCCCTTTTCTTGCTACAACCTTTTCTGGTACCATGCCCTCCTACTCATTCATATTCACAGAATTTTCTTTAGATAAAGATGTTTAATTAAATAATTGGGTACATTCTTTAATTCTGTATACCTAATGTGTGCATTAAAAGATCATAGAAGATATTAAAATGAAATTCTGATTCTGATTAAAAAATAACACCAAAAGGCATTATGTAGTTAATATTTTTTATTATGATGTTTTATCATGTGCTCCTGAACTTCTAGGGGGAAATAATGGAAACATGGCAATAGGTAGCCCTAGAGGCCTACCATGTGAGAGTTTCATTTGGTTGTACAGTAAGATGATTTTGGAGATGTCAACATGTCCAATACAAGAAGAAGGATAAATAGATAACCGGGAAACAGGGTCTGATGCAAATGGTGAACAGAAACAAAACTCAGGTAGGATATCCACACAATTAGATGTCTGATAATGAATTTCACTAACTCTCTCATCAATGATATACATGCCAAGACCCTATGTAACAATTTGATTCAAACTTCGTACAAGAAATGGTGGTACGGACCCCATTACCTTACCCCTCGGAACCAAAATAAAGAAAAATAATGAAGGATTGAAAAAATTGTGTGGCATTAAATAAAAATGTTAATGTAGTGTGTGAATGTGACAAGAACAGAGGGATCCGAGTGGGTCTGAGCACATGGAGTCCCATATGCCCAACACAACCAAATCTCTCATACAATCCCAATGACCCAATCCGCCGATTGGTTTCCTTCTTGGAAACACCACCACCTCCCCTCTCTGATTCTCCACCACACTCTCTCAGGGCCACACCATCCATCACTAATTACGGATACCTCACTAAAGCTGCAACACCAATCACCACCAAATTAACAAAAACACACACACACACACACACATACACCAATCATCTTTTCTTTTCACTCTTTCATTATCAAAATTACAACACCATCTAATCCATGGTGTCAAAATCTTTTATCCACTACTAGTACCATTCATCTTTAAATAATAATGTTCTCCGGTATAATTGATTCTTGTTTCTTAATCACATCACATGATGTAATCGCAAACATTAAAAAAATTACTAACATAAAAATATGTGTTCTTTCTCTCTCTGGGTGTATAAACTGCTTTCTTACAGATATCACGAGCTTTCATCACCGTTCACTTTTTTCCGTCCTTTTTTTCTAATGTTTTCTTTATCCTTTACTCACGATCAATTAATGATATTTTTGGGTTGTACATGATATGATGACACAATATTTGTGTTCTGACCGTCAATTTACCATCTGGGCAACTTTTTTTGTGAAAAAAAAAAAACTGTCATTCAAGGCAGTTGATAGCTTTCCTTTCAGATTTCTGATTTTTTTTACAGGCATTTATTGTTATGGATGCGACATAATCAATCATTTAATAAAATACTGCAGTCATGTTTAATTAAGTTGTTCATGCACAGAACCAAGTTGTCCTAAATTAGCTAAACAGAGCGCGTTTGATTTCCTTAAAATGACAAGTTGTTAGTTTAATATGGGTTGGGATTGATATGATTGTAGGATTTTGCATGATTAATTTGGTCTAAAAGGGTTAGAAGGGAGGGTTTTGTGGGGCTCAAGGTGGGGTCACTGGGAAACAAACACGTGGCACTCATGCGAAGAGTGGTGATGCAGATCATATGGCATATGAGAGAGAAGAGAAGAGAAGAGAAGAGAGTGGAGAGGCACATGGGTGGGTGTTAGGTTCAAGGAATTCATGTGAGCACATGTGCTTCCTCTCCTTTGTTTTGTGCCTGTGGGACCATCTTTTATGCTCTCACATCTCCACTCCTCAACGGGGTTGCATATCAGTCACACTTGTAAACTTTATACTTTCACCTTTACCTCATTTCAATCTTACGAGCTAAGAATCCTCACTTTCCAATGCCAATATATATTTCATAGATTACTACCATCATGCATGTGTTTAACCTGTTCTAATCAAACATAAATATCTTTCATCTGTGCTAACATGCCAAAATCAAAGTTAAATTGATTCTGAAAAGCAACACATTTGGCTGCATGTAACTATTTGTGACAGATAAAAGTAGAAAATAACCTTAGGCAAACAAAAAGAAGGAAAAGCGAAGATGATGGTAAAAATTGATAGTATATATGTGTGGCTGCATTGCATTAAGAGGAGGAGGAGGAGAAGAATTTAGAAGAGGAGAGGGTAAAAAATTGATGAGGTGGAAGAGGGTGTTGGTGTGGAGCGTGAAGGCCACCTCATTGCTCCAATCCAAAACTTGGGGGCTTCTTCTTCTTGTGTTGTGAGGCCAAAACCAGTGGGGCCAGCTTCGTTGGCATTGACATTTCTAGAGCTCAACAATAATTTAACATCTTCCTCCCTCCCTTGTTTGCAGCCACCACAAGACAACCTCGCCTCTCATATAACTCCCTCACACATTAATCTCCCTTCTCTTCTCTTCTCTTCTCTCTCTCTCTTTCAACCCTCTTACACACACATCACATTACTACTACAACAACAACAACTACTACCACTTCTACATGTCATCATCCATGGAACAAGAAGATAACACCCCAACGCACTCTATCATACCCACATTCCTCAGAAAACCTTCTGAGCAGGCCAACTCCAGCATCTCCTCTCACAAGTCTCTGCATGTTTTCCGCCGCAGCAGGAGGAGATGTAGGAAGGAACTCACTGTAAAAGAGGCTGCCAAAGAAGGTGAAGATGAAGAGAAAGAAAAGGAAGAAGATGAAGATGATGAAGGAGATGACAGAGAAGAGATAGAGAGGAAGATTCATGCATTGCAGAGGATTGTGCCTGGTGGTGAGGCATTAGGGGTGGACAAACTCTTTGATGAAACTGCTGGCTATATTCTGGCCTTGCAGTACCAAGTCAAAGCCTTGAGGGCTCTCACTGGCTTCTTCGAGAAGTTGGAGAAGGAGAAGACAAAGTTTGGAGGTTGATATCATCATCAACATGAATGAATGAATGAATGAATCAATAATCCATGGTGATGCTGCTGCTGCATGATGGATTATGAAGCAGCCTAGGTTAGGTTCTTTTGGTTTTTCCCACAGACCCATTAGTTAGATATTTTTTTCCTTTTGATTTTTCTGTTCTTTGCTGTACTTTTGGAGGTTGGGATCAAGGAAAATGTCTCCCATGTTCTTAGATTTTTAATTTTTTAATTTTTTACTTTGAAGTTCTCAGTTTCTCACTGTGTTCTTTTGATGACTTTATTATCTATATATCTTAAAAGTTGATAATCTTACGCCGCAGATTAGTGTGAGGGAAATGATTTGGGGGAAGTGATGCAGGAATCTTAAGGTGTTAGATGATGATCTGGAGTGAAGTTAGAGTGGATGCAAGTGTATGACATTATGGTGTGTCTGTGTTGGATGTACGTGGGCTATGTGTGACAGGTTTTTTTGCTCATCTTGGTCCAGTGGGCCACCCCTATTGGGTCTTAAAATCCGGATGAGAAAAAGTAACATGGCACATACACATGTTGTCATTGGTCACTTTCTCTTTTATTTTGTTGTGAAAACTTTGCTTTGGGGATTTTGGAATAGGGTTGTTTGACTTTTTTGGCAGTTAGCCATTACTACCACAATAACTTACACTTACAATGCGGTGTACACAGAAAAGAGACCACCCCACTTGAATTGAAGGCTTATAAATTTCACATGCCTTCTTTCTCATCCCAGTTTCATCTTCCATGATTTATGCTAAAAGCAAGGTGTTACCCCAATCATTGTACACCCATTTATCACTCTTCACTATCTTAATTCTTTCCTTCCATCTTTCAAAGATTGAACACCATACCTCACAAATCATCACAACTCACCACAGTTCTTTGCCCTTCTCTTTTTCTTTTGACAAAAAAATAAAATTAAAGTTAACAAAAGCAAGTAAGAAATTCCGAGAATAATAAATACAAGATAAAACCAAGGGTGCTCTGAGCAATGTAGCTACTACTACAGTTACATGCACTCCCACTATACTCTCTGACTACTGTTTTGGAGATCCAACACCACACCACACCACACACACACTCTGTGGCAATCAAATTCTATCCACCATGCTTTTGCGGAAACTCATCTGCATTCTCCAATTGCCAACTTCTTGGAACAGTCACAGTCACAGTCAACACCACAATTTTTTTGGAGAATCATGACAAGCCTTATCATGTTATCGTGTAGGCAGAACCTTGGGCATGTGGCATCCTGCACAACAACAATGTGTATCCATCACAGCACAGAAATCATGCAGAAATGCAGCATCAACATTCATTCAACATGCAGAAACCATAAATGGTTTTTTTATAAGTTTTCTCAATCACTTAAAATGGCACAAGCTAAATACAAAATAATTAAAACAAGTTCTTCCAAACACATCTTCAATTGATTTATATTTACATACATTTGATAAAATTTGATTTTAAGGTAATTCAAATTATGTGAAAAAACATTTTTATAGTAAAATTACAGAACAAAGAAATACAAACTTATTCATAACAAGCAGTTATATATATAATAACTATTTATTGATGAGATAATGAAAAAAATAAAAACTAATTCTTAGTTCTTAGAGTTTAATTTGTATGCATTCTCATGTAAAAATAAAATAAAATAAATACTCGGTCAAAGTTAATATGACTTTTAAGATAATTATATAAAAATAATCTAACTTGTCAGCTATTTTTATTTCTGATTGAATGACACCATGAGATGTACTTGTAGTATTTTTTCTATTTAACGATAGAAACTGTAATGAAATAGCTTTGCCGAATTAAATAACAAAATAGAATAAATTTATGGGCAAGTTTTATTTATGGAATGAACAAGTTATTGTTAAAGTTTGCATATAGTTACTGTTTTTTTATAGAAAAAATATTTTTTAGCACAAAATATAATAAAATTAAGCATTACTTAGTTACGCTATAAATAAACATTATTTACTCGACGGGAACCAGTATACTTGTTTTTTTATATTCTTTTTCTTTAACTTAAAATTAATAGGTAAAAATCTAACATTTAAAATAAAAATGTTAGTATTTAAAAAAATTAAGTGATAGTACCATTTTAACAAAAATGACGGAGAATTAGAATAAAAAAGCAAAACAAACAATTTTAATCTTACGCAATTGACAAGGATAACTTGGGGCCTGGGCCTCTTGGGCTGGGTATAAACAGTCGCAGAAGTTGAGACTGAGATAGATACTATTGGCACCCAGACGACACTATTTTCCCCTCTCCGTTTTTGCCACTTAGTTTCTCATTTCTTCCTCAATCCCTTTTAAACTCATGAGATTTTATGAATTTTTCTTTTTGTATTTCACTAACAACCCAATTAAAAAAATTAGAGGTTGTAATACATATATATAATATTAATGCAACAATTTTAATATATTTCTAACACATTATTTTAATCTTATTTTTTATAAATAAGAGTGAGAGAGTGCCACATATTTATGTTCTTTAATAAATTTTAATCTATAAATATTTTGTTGTAAAGAAAGAGTTTATCGTATTGCCTTGTATGGAATTTGACATGCTGGCGCACCCACCACGACCGAGAACATATCCTAAAATCTGAACCGTTGGTTTTGAATCTGATCACACTTTTTGTTTTTTGCCTTTTCAATCGGAAAAGGTGAAAAAGAAAATGGTAAAGTTAAAGATATTTTTCACTTACACCACTCAAAACCCTAGTCACACCCCTTCCGCCAACACAAACCTCTTATTTCCTTTGTCACCTTCCCGGGAAATCCTCTCCATTTTTCCTGGAGAATTCATCTTCCATTTTCGCGCTGACACCACCGCACACTCTCTTTACGCCTTCTCTCGCTTCGTACTGTCCTTAACATGACACAACGATTTATTTATTTACTATTTACTTGCTTGTATAATTCGATTCACGGATCGTTCACCAGTTACTGCGAGTTATTTACTACAATTTTTTTTTCTTTCATTTTTTTGAAAATTCTCGGCAACAACCAGCGTGGTTCATTTTCGATTTCGATTTCTGGCTTACTCGGCTGATTAAGTAACCACTTGCGATTATACTTTGATTCGCAGAATCAGCCATGGCGGATGACGGTGTTGCTAACGGCGGCGTCGATGATCAGTACGGTGAAGAATCGGTGACGAAGATCGCCGTGTTGCAACGCGAGCGCGAAGAATTGATGAGTGAGAACGCCGCGAGGAAGGAGGAGATCAAGAAGCTGACGGCGGAGCTCGACGGATTGAGGAGCGACAACGCGGTGACTAACGAGAAGATCGAAGAAATGCAGCGAGAGGTGGTGCAGTCTCGCGAGGCGGCGAAGGCGGTGGAGGTAATCGCGGCGAGGGCGGCGGACCTGGAGACGGAGTTGGCGAGGCTACAGCATGATATGATATCGGAGATGAGTGCGGCGGAGGACGCTAGGGCGGATGCTACTGAATTGAGGAAGGTTTTAGGAGAGAAGGAGTCTAGGCTTGACTCTCTGGAGAAGGAATTGGAAATATTGAAGAAGGTGAAGGCAGAGAGTGAGGTTAGGGTTAGGGACTTGGAGAGGAAAATTGGAGTTCTGGAAACCAAGGAAATTGAGGAAAGGAACAAGAGGATTAGGTTTGAGGAGGAGATCAGAGATAAGATTGATGAAAAGGAGAAGGAGATTAACGGTTTCAAACAGAAGTGTGAGGAGTTGGAGAAGGTTACTGCTGAGAAGAAATCTGAGTTGGAGGAGTCGGTTAAGCAGAAATTGAGGTTGGAGGTGGCACTTAGAGAATCTGAGGAGAAAGCAACAGATTTGGAATCAAGTATTCTCCAATTGCGTGAGGAGGCAAAGGAAGCTAAGAGGGTGATCATATCTCTGAATGAGAAGGCGACTGAGACTGTTGAGACTATTGATAGAGGTGTAAATGGCATACATGATGAAGGGAAGGGGTTGAAGTTGCAGTGGCCAGTGGTGGCAGCAGGGTCTACAGGAGCTGTTGTTGCGGCTGCTGCTGTACTCTATGTGTGCTATGGGAAACGGAGGTGATTTCTTGTGGTCAGAGAGTAACCAAGCAACGACGGGATTGGAACGGGAGGTTGTAGAAGTTAGATTTACCAGGTCTTTAGTCATAGATATGCTGCAATTTTGTTTGTCATAAAATAATGCTTCTTCTCTGGCTTTTGTTTTTTGAAGCCTGTGAAATTTTTATGTATGTTGAAGTTGACATACTTGTTTGTTTGTTAGTTGCCTATTATGAGGAATGAACCTCTGTGTGTGTTGGATTTAATAAATAGGTTTTGAAATTGAGATTAGATGTTTCTTTGTGATCAGATTCACCTTATTAGCTTGGAGGATAGGCATTCAGCAGTGCTGGCAGTTTAAGGCAGCACTTGGCAGTTTCTAAAGTTGAATGTGTAGAACCCACCTGGTTAGTTATATGATCTTTGATGACACTGATTTGTTAGTGGTGTTGTTGTTATTGCCTTTTTCTCTTGCTTGGTGTCATTCTGGTTCTGTTTGATGGGTTTGGAGAACCTATTGCAATGTGCTCAGAGAGTTTTTTCTTTCTGGTCTTGTTCAATTTTTCATTGCTCATATATCCAAATTGTGGTGATTGTCTTCCGAAGAAGAATTCGGATTTAGTTGAAAGGTTTTTTCAGTTGTAGTTGCTTTGCTTGGCGTATGGAAGCGTTAACGAGCATTGCGTCCATTCAATCCACTTTCTAATGGATTCTGTTGTGTTGACTAGTATTAATTATTAAACAGACAATTCTTCAAAAACAAGTTAAATATAGTGGGGACTGCAATGCTATCGTTAGATAGATAGTATTACTAAGCTATTGTAGAGACATAATTTGATGGGGAGATATTAAGTTACTTTAGAGGTCAAATTTTGTCTGTTAATATTTTTTTCGAATTTATTAAATTCATTTATGCAGTGAGTCAGTGAACTGTGGGATCTTTAACTTCATTTTTCTTAATTTTTCTTATAATGTTCATATATATATTGTGTTTTTATAATATTCGAATTCATTTAATATGTTCATTTTTCTTATAATGATCATATATATTTTGTGTCTTTATAATATTCGAATTCATTTAATATGTTTAAATATTTTGTGTGTGCGCGAAGAAAGTCTATATATATATATATATATATATATATATATATATATATATATATATATATATATATATATATATATCTTAATTTGATTCTGATGTTAAGGATCCCTACCCTAGACAACTGCACCAAAATCAACATAATTATTTATTGGTTTTTAGAACGCGGTTTCTTAGGGCTGACCTTATCTTGTAATATTAGTTTGCTTTAGTTTTTTGGGTACATAATAACATCCTTAAATGTAAAATGGAACAATTTTTTTCAGTCCATACTAAATAGTCATTTTTCTAAAGGAATAAAAAAAGAAAAATTAGCTACTGTAAATTGCATGATTAGATGGTGAATTTTTAATTTGGTTTTAGGATCTAAAAAAAATAATTTCTGAAAATATTCATTAACACTGTCCGTTAGAAAATAGAAACATAGAAAACGAGAGTGAGTTTTCATTTAATAATTATCCTTGATATTCCATTTAGAGTTGGCGAGCGTGTGTGGAAAGAAAAACACTAGAAAGAAAAACACCGTAGCTAGGCAGTATCAGCCTTTAATTTTTGGGCCCAGCACCAGGCCAGGATATATCTTATCACGAAGACCACCTCTCACCTTCTTTGCGTTTAGATGGCTGAAAATAGGCACAACAAAGTAAAGAAAGGAATAACATGATTTTTTTTTTTATGCTATTTATTTGATGGCAAAATAGAAAGGAGAGAGATTTTTGTGCATTCCACACTCAACTAAATAATATGTGGGAAATACCTCTTGCTTTCAATTTTACTGTTTGAATTTTTCCTAAGAATTAAACAAAATTCTTATAGCAAAATTTATGGTTGATTATATATTGATAAAAAATCTTAAGGTAAAAAGTAATATTTTTGTTAAATTTATATATTGATAAATAGTCTGCTGTGAATCATAATTGAGATTATTCATGTTTAATCCTTTAAATGTTCAATCAACCTTGGGCGTCGAATTATTCAACACTTAAACTTGTGATGGTACGTTAAAATTAATTTAATCGCTTCTAGTAATAGTCAAGAGGCTATAAAATTTTATTTAATGATTATAAAAAAGCAATAGTGTAAAATGTTCAATATGCTACTACCGGAATTAAAATAACTCCACTCACTCATTTACGATTTGAGAACGAACAAAAGAAAGATGAGAGGTAACTGGATCTGGAACATCAAAAAACTAAAAAGCAGTGGGAACACGGAAGCATGAGAAAGAAAATATAACCTTTCCCTCAAAACAAGAAAAACATAAAAAATATTATACCATTTTAAGTATTCGATTCTATTGTGTTTTTAACATTTTTTTACGTAAAAAATTCCATAAATAACTATGAATACGATTCTTTAAATTTTTGACAAAAAAGTTACATAATAAATAAATAAAATAATGATGATATTAATAAATAAATAATAAAAAAATAAGAATAAAACAATGATATAATAAAAATATTTTTCCATTGATTCTCTTCCATCAAATAAATTTTAATTTTATTAATTTTTCTTCTCTTCTTCTACTCTCTTTATATCTATTTTCTCTATATGAAATGTAGGTTACAGTTGTAAACATGTAATTAATTGTAGGAAAAAGAATATGGAGAACATGAACTTACTTGTAAGTTATAACATCTCAGTATAAGGCCGTGACTATAAAATAAGTTTTGATAATAAATTGTTGTTCATGGAAGTTTAGAAAATGCAACAAGTGAAATGAATGATAGATTTTGTCGTTTTTGAAACGAAAATATGTAATCACTCTGAAACGAAGCAGGAAAGCATAGTGGAAATAGAAGATGCCCCTTAATCTGAGGCTCAAAGAATGCACGCGGAACAGAGTTTGTCTCCTTAGAAAAGTCACCTTCACAGCCTATCATTCTGCAATACCATTCACACCTTACAAAATGCCTCAAAACCAGGTTAAAAACATACTCTCTACAAAAAATTAAACTATAATTCTGAAAAACTGTTCTACATTATTATTTAACACTATTAGATTTGTTAATTTTTATAAGAACTATTGTTGAAATCAATATGCCATATTTGTAGACTAATAATTCCAAATGACGCTTACAGGACTATTGAATCTCTCTGAGCTCACTCACTACAGATTTCATAACCTCCAGAAGGTGAACAGATTACAGAACCCAAGTCTTGGTCAACTAAAGACCTAAATACTATATATGAAGGAAAATAAAACTGTGACCTCCTACTATCATGTGCATGTTATGTTAACCATATTGACATAAAATGATGCTAAATTGAGTTCATCACAAGTAAACATGATACTGGCAATTTGACTTGCTTAGAAGGGATACTTTCTTTATTAATACTTTCTTAAAGTCTTCTGCTTTAATCTCCCATTTTTTCCCACAATGTTTTACAATTCTTAAGTCTCATTAATTTCTTTTTATTCATATATACCCTTCGATGGACTCTCATATTTTCTAATGATGTAGAATGAACTAATATACCATTTGTTAGTGTTCCTCTGTTTTTTTTTTAAATGGTGACTTTTTAGAAAAAAATTGTTTCTATTTATATGTAAATAGGATTTTATTTTAAAAATCATTTTTTTTTAATATGAAAAGAAACCTATTTGTTTGAATCCTTCCCCTTCACTTATTAATTTCGTTTCTTGCTGCTAGTGTAGTCCAAACAGTTTTCTGATACTTGAATTGAAACAATTTTTAATCCTTTTTTGACCGACAGTTTGAAAGAGAATTGTACAATTTTGTTTGAGAAAGCACAGCAGTTCTAAAGCATTGCTATTTCCACATGCTACCTTTTTTCTCGTTTCAAACTTAACAAGACAGAAAGCAAGAAAAAGATTCTGATGCCAACTAGACTGTTCTCTTTGGTGGGTAACAGAGTCTTAAAATAAGGAAAATTTATAATATTCTGAAATATCTCCATTAGGTTTATGTTATCATAGTGACACACTGAAACTTAATACTACTTCAGACCCGATTAATATGTAATCAGAATTAAGTTGTATACCATTTAGGTAGGTATACAATTAAATTAAACTAAATGCTTATTCAATAAGTTGTACAAAGAACATAACTCAGTTTCATGTGATGAATATTAGCCTTTCAAATATCTGATTAGTCAGTTATTATTATTGGCCAAAGAAAAAAAAGTCCTTGGTTGAGGTTTTCTTACCTTGAATTATCTATCACCACCCGTCATAATCTCAATGAGTCCGCAGCAACTTTTCCAAGAACTGGTTTCCCTTTGAGTCACAGGGACTATGGTCTGTCACAGCAAGAAGAATATGATTACTACATACATATTCATAAACAAATGAATATAATAACCAAGCTAACTTGCTTAGCACAAACTGAAATGCCTATATGAAACCATCAGAAAGTGTGAATCACCTACCGGATTTTCATTGGTTTCAGCATCAGGAACAACACTAGGTGATGGTTGAAAAGACTCCTTGGCACTTTCATAGGATGACTCTTCTAGAGTACCTGATGGTTCCTCTACTTTCTCATCCAAAGGTTGGTTCAAATCCAATGATTTCTCAATCATGGTTGGAGCAACCTTGCCACTCTCATCTGATTTTGGAACACTTGTCTCCACAGTTTCCTCTGAAGCCACATCAGCTAGAGTCAAAGAAGAATCACCGCAAACTTCATTTGCTTCCTCACCCTCCCCAAGTAACTTTTCTGATACAGCATGAGACACAGCATTCTTCTCCTCTTCTTCAACCGTCATGTCCTTGACAATTGTTGTTTCAACCACTTCAGTTTCTCTCAATCCCTCATTTCCTGAAACTGAAGGAGGCAAATCTGTTTCCTTGACCCCATCTGGATCGGATTCAAAATCTTCATGAAATTCCAACTTAACAGTATCTGATTCCACTGTATTCTCAATTTGAGCATCTTTCACAGCATCAGCCTCAAAAGTCTCAGCAACTGATTCAGAAACATCTTTATGTGTCTCTTCAACTTTGCTTGACTCAACCAACTCCTTACTCTCCTCACTTTGTTGTGCCTTCTCTTCATCAGTGATGACAATATCACCATCTTGGGAATCATCAACTTCAACAGCCACCTCCGTATCTTCATTCAAGGATTGTGTTTCCTCTTTCTGGCTGTCTTGCATTGTTCCATTGAGAAATCCTTCTTCCATTTTCTTGCTGTTGTTTGCTGAAACAGCTTCCCCTGCAGGTAAAAGGAATAACCCTTATAATTATCCTCCCCAACTACTACAAAAGATATAATGGCTTATCAAATGGGTGCCAAAAAACCTTTTTTCTTGCTTAAGGGATGTAAGACCAAAGTAGCCTAAACCAGTTTTGTGTTTAATTGTTATTGACTGAAAAACAAGAAAACAAAAAGGGGATTAAGGAAAGTAACTAGAAAAAACATAGGATACCCAACAAGGATGTAAAAGAAGAGATGGACATAAAGAAAGAGATGACAGAGAAGTAGGTGGGGAGGATGGCAGATAGGTGGAGATTGATTGCCTTGGATTTGATCAGAAGGAGAAGAATGGTTGTTGAGAATGGTCCAAGTTTTGAGCTTCTTGGGTTGTTTTGCTTTTCTTCTTGAAATTGAAGGCATAGATGCTGACTGGTTGTTTCAGAGAATGGTGGATGAAGATTGGTGTTGGTGTCAATGCCAATGAATATACAGTGTGTCACTTCCCTTTCTTTCTCTGCTTCTTCTGTTTACTTATTCAATATGCAATCAAAATAAAAGTGCTTTTAAATTCAATTGAAACCCTCATGGAGGGAACTCAAAGTTGATCAGGGTTACGGCTACAATCATCACTGTTCGACAAAGAAAGTGCTTCAGCACTTTACTACACTTTTCATTTCTTAGTACCATAAATATGTGTACTATGTTTTATTCCACTACCAATTTTATCCCAAAAACCTTAATTTATAATGTGTTTTATGCTACAAGCATGCAAGAATTTAACTATGATAGACTAACAGCGTTGGTTTTTTTTTTTTTTTTTTTTTTTATTATTATTATTATCATTGTTCAATTAGAAAATGTCATGTAGAGTAAAATTAAAATCTCTTGGACCTACTCTTACACAAGTTAGGTCACTGTATTCACGAGTGTAATAAGTGAAACATTATACTCCATACTTACAAACACTATTTCATTAAATTTTCTTATCATATTCCATAAACACTTTACTTTTAGGAAAAACAAAATCATAAACTATTTTTAGTTTATTGAAAAAATTATTTATTTTTTTCTCTTATTATTTATTTATCCATGTGGATTGGGTATTTTAAAAAAAAAAGAATTATAAGTAATGGCATCAGTCAAACATGGTATTTAAGGTTGATTGAGTTTGAATCAAGGTCGAATATATAAAGCAATGTTAAAAATTAAAATAAAAAATCAATTTATAGGTTATTTAACATTTAAAATATAAGTAAAAGTAAAACAAAACATGTATATCATTTTCAAATTAAAATTTTAACATTGCACAATCAAATTTATTAATAATAACAAGCAAAAAAAAAATCATATTTCAAGTTGATCTTTATTCTATTAGAAAAAAATTTAGTTATCATTTTTTTAAACCAATTTAACTAGTTTTGAACGATTTTAATGATTTGATACTAATTTTATCGATTTAATACTTATTTTATAACGATAAGTTTTGGATATAACAATGTAGTTTAAGTTAGTTTTGAGAACCATGTTTTATACGAGTAATGTATTATTATTAGCAATATGAAATTCTTTTCAATAGTCAAATCAAATGCTATATTGATTTATTAGTTTTTTTTTCGTCTTAATTAACTTCTCTTAACATGAGTTACATTTCATTTTAATTACTTAATTGTTGACTCTAAATTCCAATTAATCACATAAATAATTATTCAAGTTACTGTATTTAAATTATTTTATATTCCAACCTAACTTCGTAACTAACCAAAAATGTTAGAAAGAAGAAGATCAATAGAAAGCTATCATACAGTACTTTTCGTCTATATGTATTAATCATAATTATTTGTGTAAATTTTAAGTCTTGATTTTTTTTTCTAATTAATGGTTATGATTAGTTTAACAAATAGTTTATATTTACACATTATTAATTATAATAGAATAAAAATCATTTTCAAATTTATCGCCCCCTAATGGGGGAGGAAGAAGAGTGTGTTTGATGGAAATATTTTCGAAAAAAAAAAACAAAGCTATTGGGCTTTAGATTGCTTCGTGTTTTCGAAATTGAAAATTCTAAATCAGTCAAAGCCCAAACACAAGTTAATTCCAAAATGATCTACTATGGGCTGGACCTTCACTACGCCTTTTTTTTTTTCTTTTTTTTAGGAGAAATATATGTGCATATATCATTCTTATTTAATTTCCTCAAATATTTTGAAATTTAAAATATTTTTGTGTGATGCATGATTTTCTTGTTAATTTTTTACCTGAAAAAGAAAAGAGAATAGACAAAAGCTGGATTTATGGTATATTTTTTAAAATAAATAATATCAATATAAAGATAGTATTAATTACGGTATAAAATGTTATTTATTAGGTCAAGAAACATAATTCTTAATATAAATTTAGAAAAAAAATTGGAAAACATATTAGATTAGGGCATAGAAATATAAGTTAATTTTCTTAAATAATAAACAAGATTTTATTTCTAAAATTTAAATTAGTCAAAAACTAACTTCAAAACAAATTAAGATAATAGACGAGATCAATCATAAACTTTTTTTTTTCAACTATTGCTGACAAAGGAATAAATAATGAAATCCAACTGATAATTTTCTTTTATCAATCATTCGATGTACATATATTTTTATACCAGGATCAGATTTAAAACTTCATTTGCAAAGAACAAATCTAGTTTCCATTATGATTTATTAGAGCATTAGAAAAATGGTTTAAAGGATTATTTAATAATATAAAAACTGCAGTGAAGTACGTAATCTATTACATAACAAGTAAACAAAACTAACAATGAAAAGAGTTATCCATAAATGAAAATCAAATCGTTTTAACAAATTCATCCTGGTGAAAATAAACAAAACTACACGTGGTCTTGTAAAACGTAATTCCCTTGATAATTAATTGTGAGTGAATCAAAATATAAAACTCTTCTGTTCATCTATATTATTGTGTTCATTGAAAACAACAACTCTGCATTGGACTTGCTTATGGAATTTGACGGTGCAAAGAAAATCTCTCTCTCTCTCTCTCTATATATATATATATATATATGAGAATCAAGTCGTTATTGTGCAGTGCTAGGTGTGGAATACAGTGCCTCTAGTTGGTGGCAAGTGGGAAATAGGACAGACAGTCTTAAGTTAATTCACGTTGACGCCCCCACAGAAGAGACAACTGGCAACTCTGCTACGTATCAGAGAATGCAGTGCAGTGCATTTAGTCAAAGTGTATCAGAAAACTGGTGTAGCCAAAGTGTGCCTCCTCACTCCCCAGACCCACATGTACATCTACTGCAGACAAAGTAGTAATATCAGTTGCTTGGTACAATTCCGATTTACATCTTCATACTATTTTACATCTCATCTACCATCCCTATGAGTCTTACAAATATGATTTTTTAAGTCTTCCATCCCCTCATAATATAATAAGCCTCTGAGGCCATTCTCAATAAATGCCTGTAAAACCAACCTGCTGGTAAAACCTTATTGCTTGAATATATATACTGCCGCAAGTTTCATATTTCACAAGTACATATGTGACAGGACATTTGTTAGAAAAGGTTCATTCCTTAAAATAATATCAGTACTTGAACAAATTAGTCATTTTTTTTTACAGAGAGATACCATGATTTACAAAGTAAAATTTATTAATGTTAACCAATTTTATGACCTCTTACTCCAAAAAGTAAGTTGAAAGTGTGTTGAGAGAACGTTTAGTTTCTTTTGATTGAAAGGTACGTTATGGAGGTTATCAAGTATAGAAAAATAAAAATAGAATTGAAAATAGAAAATGTTCGTTATTCTAAATGATTTTCAATGAGATACATGTAGTCCCTATATATAAGGAAGATACAGCTGTACAGCTCAGCAAATATTCTAACAACCTAATAAATTAATGATAAAAGAATATTTTTATATATTTACACATATTGACATACACCAATATCTCCCCTCAGACTCATGTGGAAGATTTGTTAGAGGAAAAATCTTGCACATGAAGTTTGTTTTTAAGAACTTTAAATCTGGAAGGAGATAGAGACTTGATCAAGATATCAGCCCATTGATCCAAGGCAGGAACATGTTGAGTCTGTAATTGCTTAGCTAACACCTTCTCATGAACAAAAAACACATCAGTTTCCATGTGTTTCGTTCGGTTGTGAAAAACAGGATTATGAGCAATAGCAACAACACTCTTGTTGTCACTTAACAAGGTAGGAGGAGAGAAAGGGACATGCAATTCTTTTAACAAAGCCTGAATCCAAGTTAACTCAGCAGTTGTTTGAGCAATAGCCCTGTACTCAGCTTTTGTATTTGACCGAGCAGTAACTTGTTGCTTACGAGACCACCAAGATATCAAATTAGGACCAAGAAAAATGGCAGAACCAGATGTAGAGCGTCTGTCATCAACATCAGAAGCCCAATCAGCATCATACATTGTAGTTAAATTGAATGGCTTCCCAAAGTTAGCAGGTCTGAAATGAAGACCATGAGAAATAGTACCCTTTAGGTAACGCAAGATTCTTTTTACAGCAATCCAATGAATGTCCAAAGGTTGAGCCATAAACTGACAGACCTTGTTAACAGAGTAGCTAATCTCTGGACGAGTCAAAGTGGCATATTGTAATGCCCCAACAACAGAGCAAAATAAGGTAGGATCATGAAAGAGATCATTTCCATGTTTGGAGAGTTTGCAGGAGGAAACCATAGGAGAGGAAATAGGTTGAGCCTCAGCCATTTTTGTTTTGTGCAACAGGTCCCTAATGTATTTGCTTTGTGTCATTAAAATAGATTTGTCAGGAAAATATTTGACCTCAATACCAAGAAAATAGTCTAGTAAACCAAGTTGTTTAAGAGCAAATCTTGCATTCAGCTGAGTTGTGAGCTCTTGAATAAGAGATGGAGAGCTTCCAGTGAGAATGATATCATCTACGTACACCAATAGGTAAATTGTTTGTTGCTGAAATGTGTAAGTGAACAA